GGGCGGACGACCCATGATTGATTGAAAATTACAGACTAATTTCAATACTTCCTGCTTTTTCAAAATTGTTTGAAAAAATTGCATAAAATCGTATCTCGAGGTACTTAACTGAAAATATGATCTTGTCTAACAACAGTTTGGGTTTAGAGACTGCCTGACATGCATTGATAAGCCCTATCAACAAAATAGCAAATGGGATTGATAACAAAAATTTTTTTGCAGGTGTCTTTTTGGACTTATCTAAAGCTTTTGACACAATTGATCACTGTATTCTTACATAAAAATTGGAATTCTATGATCTAGCAGGTATAGCACTTGACTGGGTGAAATATGCATTAGTGTTACTTGACTAATAGATTACAAGTAGTCCAAGCAAATGGGAAAACTTCACGTGAAAGAGGACTTGTCTGCAGCGTCCCGCAAGGATCCAATTTGAGGCCATTGCTCTTTATTTTGTATATCACTGACCTCCCAAATTACTTAATGAACCAAGATGCTAAATGTTTACTTTTTGCCGACGATACCAGCATTTTTTACTAAAACCGAAATCCTGAAATTCTTATGAATCACATCAACGATGCAACTCGTCATGCTGCGACTTGGCTAAATGCTAACAAGTTGTCTATTACTGTGAAAAAACAAAAATCATGATTTTCAGACCTAAACAAAAATAATTACTAACGACAAGCCCTCTCAAAATTGATGACACAATTATTGAGGGAGTTAAACACATTACATTCGGAGATGTTTACATAGACCAGCATCTTGTGTGGAAAATGCATATTACCTACATTTGTACTAAAATTTCTTAAAAAATAGGAATGCTATATAAAGCAAGGTTTCACGTACCTAGCAAATCTCTTCTCTTATTTTATTATACTTTAGGCTATCCATATCTTACCTACTGCAATTTAGTATGGGATTCTACATATCCCACAAACCTACTTGTTGCAGAATCTACTTGTTACAGAAAAGAGCTGTTCGAATAATTTTAGCTGCAGATTATAGCGCGCCTAAAAACCTCTTTTCAAAAATTTGGTATTTTTGACAGTTACAGTTTTTATTCTTTCCAGGTTTGAACCTTCGTGTACATGTATCACCATGAAATATTGCCTTGCTCTTTTGCTAAACATGTTTCAGACAGGAAGCCAAATTCATAATTATTCTATTAGATATGCTGAATTATACTGTCCCCAAGTCTGTAGAACTAACATCAAACAATTCACAATATTATACCAAGAAGCAAAATTGTGGAATTCTCTGCCACATTCGATAATCGAATCTAACAATACAAAATCTATCAAACAGTTACTTAAATCCTTTTTAATTAATTTGCAATATACTCAATGAATTTTATAGCAAGGTTATTAATATTAATAATATGCGTGAAAAGGTTACTCAGTTCTGATTGGTTAAGATAAATTCAGTTTTCAGGTAATTCAGTGCAGAAGAAGGTTGATTCAGTGCAAAGAAGTAACAAACCAGACATTCTGATTGGTCTATTATCAAAGAAACTCACAGATAGCCAATCAAGTGCGAGCCCTGAATGTCGCAACATTTGGATACGCTGAAACTTTGCTAGCGAAATTAAGTAAGTTTCCTTTCGCCACCGCAACAACAATACAGTAGCTGAAAAACAGTTCTAACAACGAAAACGCTGTAAGAGAGCAATGCTTTTTGGTTGTCGGTTTTGGAAAAAGTGGTGCTAACAGAAGGGAATTGCCAAGGAAATCCCCAGATGAAGGCACTAGTAAGGAGTGTCGAAACGTTGGGTCTCTGAATTGAAACTTCTCGGTTGAATTCATTAAATCTTTAAACCAGAGTAGCATCAAACCATGTCTAACAATCGTGAAATTGCCCATTTACACGAATACGGCATTTCAGAATCCATTGTGAGAAAATGATGCAACCAGCAACATTTCCTGTTTCTGGTGAGCTGTGGATGACAGCAAAGTGTGCATCCATGGAACGTTACCAACCGAAGGACCTGAGTTGGATATCATGTTACCGAGCAGGTGTTGTTAAGCATGCAAATTTCCGTTTGTTCGCATTTCTATAGAAGTTGATTAATGTTCTAAAAGCAGTATTCCTTTTTAATTCATAGCAATAAAGGATTGAATTCGACGCAATATTCGCTACACCTCAGGCCAAAAAGCTCTGCTTTTTCTACTTTTTCTGCTTTTTCTCTCAACAATTAGTGTCTTATTCTCGTCTTTTTAACTGTTAGTTCTACTAAAATTGTGATCTTAAAATCTTGTTGTGCAAAAATACTTGGCTATAAGACACACCCCAATTTCAACACCAGCTTTCCAACCGAAGACAGGATTTTCTTCAAAAAACCGTGCTCCTTATAACTGAGAAACTACGGTAATCCAAACCTTCATTACCGATTTCAAGACTGGCAGTGTTGCCTGAGTTCACCGCCACGATATGTCAACTAACCACACAAACGCACGTCGCGTCAATTGTATTCTTAGTCAAGATCGCTTTCGCCGCCGCTACGAGGAAGCAGAATTAATGCAAAATGTTCACGTCAAGTCAATTATTCCCTTTCGCCCAGATTTCGATTCATCATAACGAGCTGTTGTTTAAGTCGGTCTTTCGATTTTATATAGAGAGATACTTGGTCTGGATGGTGGTTTCGTAGCACCAGGTCACTTGAAAAAAAAGACCATCTTCCCCATTTATTTGAGGTGATTTTCCGATTAAAGAATAACAAATAATTGTTGTACCTATAATAATACAGTTTCCTACGCCAAAGAAACAACTATGCTACTCTCCAGACACATCAGCATAACAGCGAAGTGTTGTACATGCACGAGTATCCTTGTTTACTCAAGTTCAGTTTAATGAACGAAATCATGAGTGGCTTGTTTTTTTCCTCATAGTCCTACTCACCGATGGTCCAGAAGGAGCAGAAGAAAATGTAACCCACCAACAATACGGTTTTCATGATGCCTCGTCGAACTTGAATTGAAGTATACCTCTAAAAGCACCAGACACTGTCGGCTATCAGAAGGATGAGATCAATCGATTTCTTAGAACTGCAGGCTCTAAGAAAAAAACTTATTCTTTGCGGGGGGCCACACCAAAAAAGGAAGAAAAAAAAAACACCCTTCCGTCACAGAACTGTTGACGACTAAAAGTGAAATACGAATCTTGTAGCTCTCGGGATATGAATACGTTTCTTCCAAAACCTTCCAAAAGTTCTACTCTGGGAGAGAGCCTAAAACTGCCGCAGCCTTTCCTATGGCGATCCGTTCGTCACTCATCACCTTTTACGTCAAATTGGACTTTATACTTGGGCATAAGACTTTCCTTCTGCAGCTGGTGAGGAAATTTGAATGAAAGTAGCACGCATGGCTTAAACGAAGAGTCTCCAACCTTTTTTACGACGAGAAAAGGCGAACAATCAGCAAAGTCACGTTGCTATGACTAAAACCAATAGCCCATATTTTCATTCTGAGTCGAAAAGCTATTGAATTTAACTTGCTTATTCATGTCAAATCTAAAGGCGAGCCAGCTGTGACCAAGGATCAGGCTTAAACAGACAGTTCAGTTTTCTCGCCATCACGGAATTCTTGTAAGTGACCTGCAGATCAAATCAACTCTGATCAAAAGCTTTTACAGTTTTCTCACTCCGTCATGCCTTGAATTTAACGCTAGGAGGGCACAGATTCACTTTGCTTTCATTGAAAGAAAATGACAATTCAAAGTTTATAAACAAGATCGATTCTTAGAAAAAACCTGGTAAGTTTACAGCTTCATAAAAGACATAATTATTTACTGTTTACTTTTCATTTGACCCTTTTGTGTACAGTCTCACAGGTCACAGTGATCTTTGAAACAGTTGAGTACGCAACAACTGAAGAATTTCAAAATTTTCAGTTGTTTACTTTCACAAAAACTCTGGAGGCTTATGGTCTTTGCCTTTGCCTTGCGAAGTCGTTATGGCGCTAGTAGTCGCAGCTAAGATGATAACGCTACCATAACCATATTTTAGTTTGAAGGGTTGGAATCTCATGATAAGTTTTTGGAACTGATGACTACCCAATAATCATCGCTTAAAGCGTAAGTGAATAGGAGGAAATGAATCAATTGCAGAGATGTTAAACTCTACAAAACGTTAGACATCAGAACAAATCATGCATATCTGACTACTACAAAGACACGTTAAACTGGTTTACTCCTCTTAAAAAAAATTATTTCAGATCTAGAATTATTCGCCTCCAGAGATTAAAATAACGAGGCTTGCGAGACTCTTAAGCCGTGGAAGGGTTAATAACAAGCTGCACTTTTGACGGTAAACAACCTTATGGGTGAAATTCTCTCGGAACGACTCACAGGTGAGATTCTTAAGCAAAGAGTTGGTAACAAGCTCCTCGGTGGGTAACAATCAACCTCTACTCAGAGAAGTAGGCCACGCGCCCCCTCGCCCCTCAAAAAGGAGAGGAAATCCAGGCAAAGTATATTGATAAGTGCCAAAACATCTAAATTGCTATTTTCAATAGAAGAAACCAAAGCATCATGTTTCACATCTACGGTTTTCGGGAATATTTATGACTTTATTGAACAAAACGTTTACACTTTTTCCACGATAATACTACACAGTAATTACCATTAGCTAATCTGAGCGGGATCTGGTATTTATTTTTACCTTTGTTTCTTAAGTTACTTATCTCATAAATCAACATGAGAATCCTCTCAATATAATTTGGAACTACAACAAGACGATTTCACGAAAATCTTTGTCTAGAGCAGTTTTAAATTGGCTGTCGAAAATAAAAACCAAAGTAATCACAACAGCCTATCATAAAGAAAGGTTAGCGTCATCATTGACCAATCAGAAATGAGGGTAAAAACAGATTTGCTCCGGGGCTTTGCATAAGGACTCCATCATAACTTCAACCTCAAAACTGTCTACATATTAATACTAACAGCTAGATAACACACAAAATTGATTCCACTTCAACCACATGAATCATCAAAACGTTCTATGACTAGTTTACACTAAAAGCTGAAAGAGACACACCTAACAACAACCCCATGGCTACGACACCATCGTTGATATAAACTGCTTTCTTGGAGCTGGAATCTTGATCAGTTGTGTCCAGAATATTTCCCTTGTTGCAGTAATCTTCATAGCAGCACTTTGCTCTGCATTCATAGAAAGGATGGTGGCATTCTTCGGTAAAGTTTCCTTTGCTGAACTGTTCACAGGAACTTTTAGGTACGGCCGCTTTGCCAAAAGTATCCATTTTCACTGATCCATTGTCGAACCTGGCATGATATTGCATACATGCAATGTTGTCATAGGTCTCATCCGATTTAAGATTTCTTTGACATTCCTCAAAACTCCGGCCAGTGCAGTAATAACAGTGCATTTTGAAAGTACCTGTGAAGACAGTATGATTTACTTACTGATTTTCTAAAAGTGGGTGGGGGAGGGGGGAAGCTGAAAATAAGGCTGGTTGCTTTTGTATAGTGGGTCACAGGAGGTTTCTCCAACCGGGGATACATTTTTCCTGCCATTAGCTTCTAGTCCTTGATAGGGCGTTTGTCAGACGGTTTTCCCTCTACATTAACCCCCTTTTTTAATCTTTACCCCCTATGGGCTGACGACTGGACATGCAGCAAGTAGTTATTGCACATCACTAACTACATGACTGTTATTCACATAACGCAAAAAAGGGAATTCATCGTGAAATTTATTGTCGTTTTTTTTCTCCCTGGAGATGAGTCGCAGGTTACGCTTCAGTTGCTTTTCGACTTTCCGTGAAAATCAGCAAAGAACCGCCGTAAGACCTTTCAAGGAATTTCTTTCCCATGAGAGCCTGACAAGGATCTACGGAGCCACTTCCAAAGAGAAAAACATCGGAGATGCTAGGGTCGATAATCAGAACATAGATTTAAAACTTGATTTGTGAGGATTGCAATGACTTACAACAAGTCTTCGGCATTGGATGTCGTTTTCTTTGATTATCGTAAATCTTCAGTCTAAACAGTGATTTAGCGACTCGCAAAGCGTTGTTACACAAATTATTTGGTTGGTTTAGAAGTCCGAGTACTCTAATAAATTCGATTCTCAGGTTTGGTATAGTTTACAACTAATCCAGAGTAGTGGCTAACCGCCATTAGCAACCCTCATTTTCCATTTCAAGGCTAGCAATGTTGCCTGAGTTAACCAAGAACGATGTGTCAACAAAACTCACAACATGCATCACGTCCATTGCATTCTTAGCTAAGATCGCTCCGCAGATCTTTCGCCGCTGCTAAGTGGAAACAGAAGTTGTACAAAAATTTCGCGTCAAGTTAATTATTCCCTCCCGCCCAAATTTCGATTCATCATAACGAGCTGTTGTTTAAGTCGATCATTCGATTCTGTGTAAACAGATACCCGTTCTGGGTGGTGGCTTCGATTTGACGTGATTTTCCGATTTAGGAGTGACAACTAATTGTTGTGCCTAATACTGCAGTTTCTTACGCCAAACGGAAACAACTATGCTACTCTCCAGACACATCAGCACACCAGCGAAGTATTATACATGCACAAGTATCCGTGTTTACTTAAGTTTCAATGAACGAACACACGAGTGGCTTGTTTTTTTCTTCACAGTCCTACTCACCGATGGTCCAGAAGGAGCAGAAGAAAATGTAACCCACCAACAAAGCGATTTTCATGATGTCTCGTGGAGCTTGAATTGAAGTATACCTCTAAAACACCAGACACCGTCGGCTATATCAGAAGGATGCGATCAATTGATTTCCCAGAACTGCGGGCTCTAAGAATGAACTTATTCTTCGCGGGGGTCCACACCGAAAAACAAAACAAAACAAAACAAAACGAAAACAAAAACACCCATCCGATAAAAACTGTTGACGACTTAAAGAGAAATACGAATCTTGTAGCTCTCGGGATATGAATACGTTTCTAAATTACAACCTTTCCTGTGGCGATCTGTTCGTCACTCATCACTTATACGTCAAATTGGACTTTATACTTGGGCAAACGAATTTACTTCTGCAGTTGGCGACGAAGTTTCAGTGGTAGTAGCGTGCATGATTAAAATGAAGAGTCTCTAATTTTTTTTTACGACGAGGAGAGGCGAACAATCAGCGAAAAAACACGTTGCTATGGCAAAAACCAACTGCCGCAATTTTCATTCCGAGTCAAAAAGCTATTGGATTTCCTTATTCTTATTATATTTAAAGGTGAGTTCGCTGTGACCGAGGATTAGGCCTAACAAACAGTTTTCTCATCATCTCGGAGGCCTCCATTTTCTGAATTAATCTGGAGGAGCATGCTTCATTATCCCATAGCAGTTAGCGCCCTTGGCGCTCGTAGTCGCAGCTAAGATGATACCGCTGCCAAAACCATTATTTAGTTTGAATGGTTGGAATCTCATTACAATTTTTTGGAATCGTTGATTACCTCATCTTCACCAACGTCCCACCGAAAACAAAAGAAAGGCGTGTTTGAGGGGGCGTAAGTGAAGAGGTGGACATGAATAATTGCAAAGATGCCAAACTCTACAAAACGTCAGACATCAGAACAAATCATGCAAATCTGACTATTACAAATTGACAAGACGGCAAGAACCGCTCGTCTGAAAAACGAACAACATCTGATACAAATGATGAAGCCTGTTTCGCAGGCTCTTCACAAATATATTTGTACGAGAGAATACAGCTGATAAAGAACTAAGACCGTTTGTCAACTAAATTACAATGTTCTTAATTAATTTCCAAATATGTTTCATTCTAAACAAAAAGCGGCAGGAAAATGAAGCTTGATCACAACGGAAACTGATATTCTCGAAAAAGGGGGGGAGGAGTGTATTTTAGGGGGATTACATGGTTTTCGGGGGGGACGGAGGGGGCATCGGAGGGGGGAGTATAACAAGGATACTATAGAAAATTGACTTCCAATTACTATCAATGAGAAGGGATCATACGAATATTAAAGAGACTTACAAGGAATTAGTAAAATTTATCGTAACACAATCAAATCTTCTGACACTCTCCCCCCCCCCCATCCTTCACCCTTCCCATCCGCTTTGGCGACCCTCCATGGGATTTCATGGAAGAAGGTGAACGCATGCAAACCGAACGCTCGCCCTCTAAAACAAAAGAACTAGCTTTTAACAAGTGAGCTGCGTGTTAGTTACTTGCCTCATTAACTTCGTAGCCATTGTCTTGCTTCGCACGGTAGAAGCAAAGGAACGTGTTAAGATCTGCTCGCAACTTTGCACGATACAATACAATAACCGTGCCAATTTTATAACACGTCTCTTAAAGTTAAAGTTGCTTTTGATTTTTACAGGGAGCTGGAAATCTGGGCTTAATAATTGCGTGAAGCGGTAAGGATTTATAGTTTACAAGGTAAGAATTAAGCTTTGAAAAAGTAATTCATGTGTTCAAACTGAGCTCCTCTGAACCTTGTGAAACACGTCGTGCTCATTGAATTCTTTGTGAAAATCGTGAGGGAAAGAGCCGTGATTTGCCGTGAATGTTCTTTTTTTTTTGTTACAACTTTCGGATAAGAAAGAAGATCTTCTTTATTTTCGCTCATATTCTGTAAGCAATATACTTTACAAACACTATTCTCACAATTAAGAAGCTGACAAACGCAGGGGTGTACAAGATAAGCTTGCGTGTTACGGAAACAAAGGAACTTAGCGTGTTAAAAAAAAAAAAAATCTAGCGTGTTAGAGAAACAAAGCTCTACCGTGTTCCCAAATCAATTGTTTTCATGTGCATATCTGCACGGTAGGCGTGTCATGCCATTAGCGTGCGAGCGTGTTATAACGTGCCGTATGCGTGCGTTCATCTTATTCCTTGAAACCTACTCATTACGTTAATTACACGGGGCCCGTTTCTCGTAGGTCCCGGTAACTTATCGGGCTAGTAAAGTTGTTCTGTTTTCATTCGAGCCGGAGGGTTTGAAAAGTCTTGAAAATTATACAATAAACATTTAGCTAAAAAAACAAAATGGACTGGTCATGGAACCACAACCTTTAAATTTTTATTCTAAAATATAGCTTCGGGACTTTCGAGAAACGGGCCCCGGTCCTTGATCCCACTTGTAGGGCTTTAAAATGTGTACTTGCGTCAAGTACGCCCAATGGGCAAGATTTCCTTTTTTCTGAAAATGGCGAAGAGAGCTCGTCGGAGAACTTCTCCTGGTGAAATTTTCCTGAAATAGTTCCCCACCTCCCCTGCACTCCATTACAAAAAGATAAAACTGGCTGTGAAAGTTCCCGTCTGACTTGAGGGAACGCTTCTCATCCACTTCAGACTAAGACGAGGAGTCGAGAGATGGAAAATGATAGCGGTAACGTAATCTGGTTCACTAATATTCCTATTGTACAACTTTTCTTTTGGCAGTTTAGAACGTAGTGCGATCACGTTCTACCTCTCGATCCTTAAGATTGATTGACATCTAATTTCTCCTTACAGTATTATTACTGAATCAAACACTTAAGTCATGAGAATAAAGAAAATGATCACCAATCAAAAAAGCTCCTAATTGTGAGACAAATTCTTCTGGTCAGTATCATAGGAAATATATAAACGGCAGTATGCAGAATGCGGAGACTGATTTTAGGAACTGAAGGGTCAGAGTTTATTGCTTTCCCACCTGTTCGCGCGCGACCTGTTTCTCGACATTTGGAAGACGCGTTCGTTCTGCGCCCGATCGAGTGAACCTGTCATTTGACCAATTCCAAATGAATCCTCTCCCTTTTCCTCTTTCTCTTTCGGAAACTATTTTGCTTTATCATGTATGTTTCTCAAAATGCTAACTTAAAGTAAATTTTATAATTTAATGAAAATCGAGTTGTATGTAAATCAGTTGTCACGCACTGACTGTGGCGGCTACATTGTGACATACACAGGCTACGGTGGGAAGCGTACGTGATGATCTCTTAGCCAGGTTGAACACGTAAGGCAGGACACATCAAAACGAAAGAACGAATTCGGTATTGGAAGACTTATTAGATTCGATAACAGGAAGGCGACCGGTAAGTGAAGCGATTTTTCTTTCATAATTTGAGTTGTATTAGATATTTGGGGGTTTCGATTCTCGGTGTAGACTTTCACTGGCGAGGACCCGACTGATTTGGCCAAAGCCCTTAGGTGTCGACTCTCACATTGTTGAAGACACTTGATGTCTACTGCAGGTTCAATATAAAGTGTTTTGAACGTTATCTTTGACCGCGTACTCCATGCTGAACTCCTTAAATTATCTTAGATATTCATGGATTAACGACGATCTAGATAGGTGCAGAAAAGCGCCATTTGTTTTGTTCGAATTCGGTCGAGCGAGTTGTCCATGCTTACTTGAATTTTGTGCCGGATCGAAGTCATCTGGAAGAGGGAAAAGTTGGTGAAGGTAAAATTCACCTTGAGTTATATATTTCTCCTTAAAAGAATGACTTCTTAAACGCGGAAATAGTAAATCTACTCGATTTCGTAAAGTTAGCCGAGATCGATCGCGTAGACCGCCAACTTATCCAGCAAACCGAATTTTGAAAGCGTTCGATACCGTTTGCAATCCAAACAATTCAATTGCTCATAGCCCATTAACGTACTGTAGAAGAATTGTTTGCATTTGCTAAATAGCTTCACGAAGTTTTCTGTTCGTTTGTAGCACTTTTAAACATTAATATTGCATAGAGAGTAACAAGATTGACGCCGTCATTCGTAAGAAATTTTCGGTTGGAGTAAAGCTTGTCGCTTAAAGCCCATGGGAGGTGAGTCAAATGGATTCGAGGCCTTCCTTCTTTGACGTCTAAACACTTCAAGAAATATTGCAACGAGCATCGTGTTTGCTTTGTTGAATTGAAACGCAAAGTTAGTCGAGATATTGCAAATCGGTTGCGTGACTGCGCGGAAATTTAACTTAAATGACGGCTTGTTTGTTATTGAAGAGACGAAAATATCCTCTATCTCATCAGCAGTTTTGAAGAAAATTCAAGATATTCACATTAAGAAATGGAACAACGTGTGTGTACGTTTTATTTTTGTCCGGTAATGTGTTACGATGTGATTGGAACTCATTTCAAGCAAAATTACGTGAATGGCTTCCGTTCGCACAGGAACTTGAAGTTCGTATTCTGTTTTCCAAAATCGAAACTGATATCGCACTACCGATGATTGCAGCAGAGACAACATGCTAATGTCACTGTTTTTAAAGTTACATATTTTCATAAGCGGCTTTTTAACTGGATAGGTAAAGGCTGGCAGAAGCGGGATCGAAAAGTAAAAATTTTGGAAGAAAGGAATTAATGAAAGGATCCTGTTTTGAAAACAAGCTAAATTCTAAATAATGACAATAATATGAATTATTAATGTTGGTTTTGGTTGCTAACCTACATTTATTTTTGTATTCGAAACAATACCAGTACAATTATCTTGCAATGAAATCTGCATGGGAAAAGTTTCGAAGATTTAGGGAAACTGGCAGATTTTAATCCATAGATTAACGAGAAAAATTAAAACTTAAGATTGTTCTCAGGAGTCTGTGGTTATATGATATGTCAAGTTGGAATTGACCTGTGGACCCGAGGATATAGAAACAAAGGGCTTGGTTAAAACAGTCGCTGCAAATAATTTTTTTCTCAAAGATATTCAGACCACTAATAGCCACTTTTTTGGTTGCCAGAGACATAATAAATAACTTATTAAAGACTATCACCATTTTTGAACATGACAAATACATTATTTGCTACCATGAAGCTAGGGCTGTCCCTAAGTGCTATTTAACCCCTTACACCCTAAGATTGATCAATATGCAAACTCTCCTTACTGCTCTCTATACATTTCTTATGGCACTTAAAGCAGTATTTATCTAACAATCAAGAGCTTCTTGAGTCCGTGATCTATATCCTAACAGTATCAGTAGTAATATTGTTAGGAGAGGTGAAATATGTATTATTCACTCTTAGAAGTTGAAGAGTGAAGTCAGCAGAGATGTCTTAGCAGTTCTGACCTCCACCAATATGAATGCTGTGACATAATTTACTAAAATTAAAGTCTATGCGCACAAGGTGGACAAGAATTAGCTCAGGACTTCTTATAGGTGCCTACTCTTTTAAAGCAAGAGCACAAGTTTTTTCCTCATCAGACAGTCTCTTGGTTTTGTGTAGAGAAGTATTCTGCTATGTTGATTAAGGAACATAATATTCTAACAGGGAAACTTGTAGATGAAATGTCAAAATGAGGTTCCTTAAGGTGTATATGTGACTCTTTTAAATTTTATTCGTCCTATTTTATTTGACTTATTTTATTCTCATTTTGAAGTATTCTTATTGAACAGTCTCAGGAAAAAAATGTTTCCTATGAACATCAATATCATTTTCTTACTGTTTAGATATTTGTGAAATAATAATATTTCTCCTTTCTTTAAAACAACATCATTGCTCACATGTAAAATTATAAATAATGCCATGGTAAGTGGGGTTCTTTCATGTAATCCTCATTATCAAAGCTTTCTCATGACAAAGGTTAATTATAATTTACTCTAAAAGAGAAGGTTTTTTTGCTACAGAATGTACAGTAGCAAATTGAAATAACTTATTTTTGGACACATCCTGGCCACATTTGGGTGATCATAGTCTTTTATTGTTTAGTCAATATCTTTAAAACTGAAAAAAAGATAAAGGTGTTTCATGGCACAGTGCACGCACACCAAACTCCTTCTTCATCAACTGCTTCAGCTTTGAAGCCAAGTTTTTGTAAGCACCATCTCGTTTTAAGTCAATCGTGTGTTTAGCTTATGCAATCAAAACAGGTTTGTGATCAAGAAAGCCGCTCAACTTGTTTTGATGAATCTGCAATCGGTTGCTGGGATACTGAGTGGTGTCCAGTATCTCTCGGTAATTATAGTGCCTCATTGCGCATGTGTCGATTAAAACTGGAATTCTTAATGAATTACACACTTTGTCCGTGTTGAAGTCAGAATGGTGCAGAAGCGTGGAAAGATGGGGAAAAAAAAGCTAAGTGTCTTTTTTTTTTAACAAGGTATTAACCCCAGAACTTCAGATTCCATTCTTTGAAGGTCTACCATTGTACTACAGAGAACCTGGTTGTGGCCTTAAACTCACCAAAGAGTTTGTAATAAGTCAGTAGTAGATATTGCAGCATGAAATTATAAGGAGTGGAGTGTGCAGAATCAAAGTTCTCCTTTGTCCCTTGCTGGTGATAAGATGAATAGCGTCATTCTTTGATCAACAATTAGTATTCATGTAATAGAGTGTGATTTTCAGTAAAAAAAAGTTTTTTGCCCTTGTTCACCAGGTGTAATAAGACTTTTTAAAGCTCATGCAAAAATATTCCACAGGAAAAAGGAATCATTATTGGATTGTATATTGCTATAGATTTTAAATTATCAGGCACATGTATACTTTGTATAATAATAATAATGATAATAATAATGATAATAATAATAATGATAATAATAATAATAATAATAATAATAATAATAGCGTCCCACCATAGCGTCCCACCATGGTACTCACCATCAACGCCGAAACCTGAGTACCACAACACCAAAGCAAGCGCATTCTGGGATGTACCAGTATTTGCAGAAAATACGGAAGTAAGAGCCAACCGAATAGATGTCAGGATAGTTGAAAAGGAGACAGAAACAGTAAAGATCATAGAGATGAGTTGCCCCTGGATAGAAAACAGGAAGCAGAAGAATCAAGAAAAGACCACCAAATATGCACCCTTATGATGGGAACTCAAACAACAGCACAAGGGCTACACCATCAAGCAATATAACATCATTATAGACGTTTTAGGAGGATATTCGTCAGAAACGAGAGAGAATGTTATACTACTTCTTGGCAAGACAAAAGCTGACAAGACCTTATTTAACATGCAAAAGGCAGTAATATCAAGTACACTGAACATTACCAGATCATTTAAAGTACTTTCATAATAGTTCATTTCAACAAACAAATCCTTATAAAAACATAATATTAATCAAGTTTTATAATATTTTTATGAAAAGTCTTATTAGCTAATTACTTAAATATAGACATTTTTTATATCTTTTAATATTTTAAGAATTTCAAAAAAATTTTTTTTTCTCTTTTTTTTTTTTTTTTTTTTTTTTTTTTTGATGGACAAAAGCGAACAGTTATGGACACTAATTTTTTAATGCATATAAACAAATTAGATATATAGTTTTAGATGTGTAAATATATATTTATAGGTTTTGTTTTCTCGGTCACAGCTAGCCTGCCCGACTTAACGTAATCATGCCTAGGCATACTTAAGTATACACTGCCACGATAATACCTGTATAGCGCCAATATCAATATTGCCATTTTCATCAGCGCTTAAAAATAAAAATATTTCAAAAAGAGTTAAAACAATTATGTGAACACTAAAACTATATGAAAAATCAACTTTTAAATCACCTTTGAAACCCTGGACATTATTCAGGCTCCTGAATTGTTGTCCACCCTTTCACCCCCAAAATCTCAGTAGTAATTCTCCTTACTGTCTGCGATATAATTTTTGGTAGTTTGGAGAATTTGTTATTGGATCAACTAATATTTTCCTAATTGATATTTTTCTTGATTCTTGTCACTTGTGTGCTTGTTATTGCATTGATATTGCAAGGAGAAATTCTGTCTTGGTCTCTCATTGGAGTTGAAGCATTGAGACTTCTTTGACAGTTGCATTAGGAAGTTTTCTTGGATCAAAGGATCATCTTTGTTTCTTTATTTGCTCCAGGTTGCTGTGGCATCAGTAATGACCAACAACAATGTGGTAACCCTCAGTTGGTTATTGGCTCAAGATCTGCCCCAAGCCTACATCTTTACTGAGAGACCTTCAACATTCAACCATAATGCAACCTTTGTTAATGATAAGAAATATGTCATCCACGACTACTTACCAAACATAACAGAAGACAACAGGCACCTCAAGGCAATGAGGGCATGTCCTGTGGCTGGAAGTAAATTTCCTATCCTGGTAACACGGGACATAAATCCGCTTATTAGAGAGGTAAGACTACCACAAGTGATTGAAAGATAACTTCTCCTTACAATATCCATACATTATCTAGCAGGCTGAGTTTGTTATCTTGATCCAACACCAAATTCTCATAACTAGAATTTTCATTCTGGAGTCTATTTTTTAAAATGTTTTCTTCTTGTTTGTTTTCTATTTATGAAAGAGCAGTAAAGTTTAAATCGAAGTTCTGATTTAAAAAAAAGGAATTTGACGAATTTGTTTGAAAAACTAACAGTCTTACCTGTATATTTTCATGTTTCTGATGTTTCTTTTTTTCTGAATTCGATTAGCACTGGTCAAAGTGGTTACCATTTTTTCCTAAACCTGATATAAGAATCTTCGACAAAGAAGACACAGGAGACAGACCGTTGATCGTCAATTTCCCTTTCCAAAGTTTCCCCGCAAATAAGCACGCCGTCAATCCTGACGTTCACTACAAGCTTAGCTCCAAGGCCAGAATTCCCGAAATGGGGGCGCCGTGTCCCAGGCACATGTCACGTGATAATTATACCCTCCCTTGCATTATAAAGGCTGCACAAGGGAAGGGGAAACGCGGAACTTTTCTCGTGAAAACAGAGGAGGAAGTTACAGAAGCTTTAAATGAGCTCAGTAATAATTTCTGCGATGCGGAACTTGTGGTGACGGAAGTGATAGAAAATGTCTCTAAATGTCTCCTTGCTCAGCTGTACATCTTTCAAAATGGACTTTTCTACTGGTTAGGCGTCAAGTGCAAATCGAACCTACCATTTGTTAAGCGACCCGAGGGCTACATCCCGACTCCCGACGTCAACTGGGACGAGCAGGAAGAGCTGGAAGAGATGTTGCGTGACGTTGTGCATCCAGTCACGCAATACCTTCACGGAAATGGTTACTTTGGATTTACTGGGGTAGAGATTTTAGTCAACGATAAAGGGTGTTTTGTGGTTGACGTTAATCTCAAAATTGCCTCATCGACAAATCTTCTTTTGATCGCACCTCATATGGCTGCTTTAAATTTTCCGATTTCTTATGTCATGGAAATTTTGCCGACTAACATCAAACATTTACTCGAGGCTATAGACAGTTTAAACCATCAGGGAGATGGAAGGGCGATTCTCTTGGCTGATGGCGAGCTCTCCGTAGAAATTCAACACAAAGCTTGCGTTGTGATCTTTGCGAAAAACTGCGAAGACGTCTTCAAATTTCAACGAGAACTTTTAAAGGTTGCCGGTAATGAAATTTCTTCCGGCACTAGTTTAGGTCCGTAGCTTAGAACGCTATATGCATCAAATCTCTTTTTTTATCATTTAGAGCCTTACGCAAGTAACGAGTTATTCCCGAACATTGCTCGCACTTCCTCGGCCAATCGATCACTAGTCGATAATGGGTAAGTGACCTTATTTTTGTGGTGTAGACAATATTCGCCTAACACGGCGAATAATGTCTACACTAGTCGATATATGATGGAGTAACCCATCGATGGTTTCAAATACAACGAGAAAAAGTCCCATAAATAGCGAATCATACAGTACACAGCATGTCAGTTAACATACGTTTAATTTGAATTAAAATTAAAAAAAGAGTGACATGCTCACGTGTTTTCTCGAAATTTAAATGACTATTACAAACTGCCGCACAGTTTGTATAGTCGATAGTAAAAGGTAAGTGACATCAAAGTCGATCAATGAAAATTGCTAATGTGTGAAATCACTAAAATTCCCTTAAATCAACTTGTCCTCGAGTTACAAAATAAATCGATAAATTGGCGGGTTGATATGTATTTGAAATGTTTCGATTGATGGGGCTGTTCCATAAACCAATGCAACTCACTCAAGAAATCTTCGCAATGTCAGAATCTGAGCAACAATCCACCCACCCCTCCCCTAACCGAACAACAGTCAACTAATACCTTACTATATTAGGGATAGTGATAGTGGCTCGGATTCTGATATTGATCCAAATCTACCAACGTATTTTTTACATATTCAAATAAGGATTCTAAATTCAATTAGAAAATAATATACGTCAATAATGCTGCGCTAAAAGAAGAAGTACATATTTATATCGCAAGCATACATTGAATTTAAGCGAAAAAAATTTACTCGCCAGTTTGATATTAGAATATATAAGACTAAACTGAATGTATTTACTGTTTGTACATTTTGAGAGTTGAAATTTCACTCCGCACCAAGGGCTAGGTTACCATTTTAGAATTAAATAGAATTTAATGAAATTCGGCTAGAAGTTTGTATCATGAAACATCCAGAAATCTGGGAATTGAGGATGCGCAGAACCTCTTTTGTGGCTAAAGTTTTTCGTTCCAATTTTTCGCTCATTCCATTCTCGTCTTTCTATTTTGAGAGGAAAAACTGTATGCCCATTCCCCTGACAGTGCTATTCGTATTTGCGCCCCTAATTCCTTGAGCCAGCTGCTTTTATAAAGCTATGTAGGACATGTAGTGTTTTTTGCAACTTTTCATACTGTATTTCTAGTGTTCGTTGTGTTTTATAGTGTTGGTATCTGTAAGAGAATGCCATGATATTGTCACTGTAACATAAACATGTCTTTGTGGAGGTTTAAAAACTATGTAGTTTCTTACAGCTTTCTTAGCTATTATTTAGATCGAAGAAGTGTAGCGTTAGGTGTCATCCAGCAACTTTCCATCGAGTGTCAGCAAAACTGCGAATTTGAAATCGCTTTGGTTTTACTTTAAGGGGCTCTGTGACTGGTTCCGCTAGATAACTAGCAACAGCTTCTCGACCAATCAAGCACAGCTGTAGAATCAGTCGTGACTTAATTCTGCGCGTTTTCTCTGGTGATTTTAATGGTTTCACCAAGAGAATATAATCTGTTTAAATTCTCTCGTTTTCACGGAGTCCTTGTTGGTTCTTTTCAATTTTCGTTTTTGTTCCGATCAGTCGAAATGACTACTTCTATTTAAATTTTGACCCTCAATCGAAAAGTGTGAACTGCTAGAAAAAGTGACTTGATAATTTTTAAGTGACTGTGGTTGGCTCCCGTTTGACGTAATTATTTCTAAGATTGGAATAATATAAAAACATTTTGTACGTTTATTTTGTAAAAGAATTTTATTCTGAACAGTCTTCTGTTCATTTGCTACTCTTTCATCATACCTGAGATAGTGAATATTCTGATCACTACTGCTAAGGGATAGTTTTTACTCTAAATTAACTGAACGATTAGTAAAATCGCTTCGATATTCAATTGTTCTCTAGAAACGTGTCAATTATGTAGTCTGCGAGGTTAGATGAACGAATATTGGGTGATTTAGTATTATCAACTGAGTTGATAACGTGGATTGGCCACCGTAAAGAGTTGCAAAACTTACGTTTCGAGCGAAGGGCTAACGCGGCTCGAAACGTTGGCTTTGTAACATTTTACGGTGGCCAATTTACGTTATAAACTCATTTGATAATACTAAATTACCTTGTTATACTCTCCCACCGACGCAGCACCACAGTTTCTGTAAAGACTTTCTCCCTTTATTTATTTGAATAAACATTGGCAAAATTCTAGTCATTGTTTATTGCCAGACCTAACTGGATCTTTGTGCATGGGCACGACACTCGACGTTAACAGTGACCTTCCCCACCCAGGAGGAGAACAGAAATTGTTGAACTGCTGTCAGGGAAACAGGACAAGATACTTGGGAGGGGGGGAGAGAAGGAGTAATCTGTGAAGTATTAGCAACCTATCGAGGAGGGAAAACGATACACGTTGGTGCTTCCCGTTTAGCTTCAGCGCGTTTTGAGCATTGATCATTGTTGTCGGCTGGTACGGTCAGTTAACTGGGCACTGAACCTTTCCTTTACCATTAAACTATTTGAGAGAGGTACTGGAACCGGTTGATTTTTGATTTAAATGGTAGTATCAAACACAGAATCAGTATAACCAATGTGTTTTATTATTTGACCTAAATAAATCTTAAACTCTGTGACAACAAAGTTATAAACAAATACTCTCTTTAAGACAAATATAACTTTGTGAATACGTAAAAAAATTCATTTAAGAGATACATTCCCCAGTTACACGATCCAGTAGTTGATGCATACATTAGGTCCACAATTTCACCGGTTGAAACAATTCCGTTTGGGGCTCGGCGGAATTCAGCATGTCCTTGGTTTCCTAGCTCAGAATTCTTCCCAGCTCCGCGCGTGTTTGAAATTGAAATTCGTGAACTCTGACGGCAGTAATTAATAAGTGAAAATTAAGCGCGCGAAAATTTTATACAATGAAGGAAGTGGCCGCTGAATCATATACCACATCCCTTAGAGCATTGAGAATTTTGTTTGCCCTGCTTAGACTCAATTGTTGGTTAAAGTTCAAATTTAGGGCCGTCGAGGGCCATTTTCAGTTTTGTCTTTGTGTACTTTTAGACCCTACGAGAAATAGTGCCGTTTCAGTGCCTTTACAAGCGAGACTCGTTGCCTTGATCGCGTAACTCGGACATAACGCTAAAGTTCCATCCATAATATATCATGTTCAGCATCTTTTCATAGACATGGATAAGTGAAAAAAATATAGCTCTGTCCTGCATTTTAAAATATTTCTCCAATATATTTACAAATATTTAATTTGGCTCTAATACATGTCTGTTTCCTAACACTCATCCGGGATATAACTGGAATCCATCCGTAAATGTGTAGTGCATTTAAAGCCTCCATTAGCAATTACTCTCTTACAGGCTGAGCCTGTTTTTGTAAGAGCACCACAGCGCCTACGTGGAGTGGTTACTTTACTGCTTGGGGTCGAGGCTGCTTCTGGGTAGGAAAGGTTCAATTGGCGTTTGGTGTTTCCCACAGGACCTTTGGGTGTCAAAGTCAAAGCTGATTCGTCCAGACTCTCGATACTGTCTGAGATAGGAGGGAAAAAGTAAACAAGCAAATTAACTATTGAAGTCACAAGTAGTAAGAGCCTTAAAGCGCTTTTCGATTGATTGTCGTAAAACCAAACCCAAAGTAGTCACAACGGCCAATCAGAAGAAAGGAAAATACTTTGGCAGCCAATGAGAACTCAAAACTGCCTGAGGGGCGGGAAAACGCGGGCGACCAAGTCGTCATTGGTTTGAGTTTTGCATCTGATTGGTTGAAAAAGTAGCGCAAGTTTTCTAGACCAATCATAGAGCGAAGTAGAGCAAATCAATGCAATTACCCTCGACGCTCAATTGAAAAATGCTTTATCATCAAGAGTTTAACTCGCAAAGGATTGACTTGATTGGTCGACTCGCCATGGCCTCGCTTTGAATTGTATCATGAGGTTACTTCGAGCGCTTTTCTGTTCAATTCTGTTTTCGCTTGTGTAAAGCTTTAGAGAGGGCAAAGTAATTGGAGGTGCTCGGAAAGTTTCTGCTGCGATTAAAGTTTTGGCCTCCAAGTATGCGGGCAATTAAACATGTCTAATGAAAGTCTGAAAACTTGGAACGAAAACATGTATATCAACGTAGTATGTCGATACATTAACTTATGTAAAAGACGCACAAACAATTCTTACCTGTTGTGTCCAGCATGTTCCTTGTATTATAAGGAGTTTCATGATAACCAAGATATTTCGCCGAATTTAATGCCAGAGGCGAAGATTTAGAGACTCGATCAGCGTTAGATGGAAAATATTTCTTTGTTAAGTAGAAGTATAACCAGTTCCCTAAAAGAATATGCAAGCTATTGTAAGGTCTTCACAAGAATTAAATAAAAACAGGAAAATACCTCGTCAGACAACCAAACGGGTCTGGGTTTCTCCTTGAATGGAGACGATTTAAAGGAAAACATATGTATACCAATTTCCCATTTCCGAGTCATTTTGAGGGTTTTCTTCAAAGCGAGGCTTGATCTACATTCTTTTCATTAAGATGATATGATTTGCTCGTACAAACAATTCAAATTACTAATTAAAAAATGGCCCATTTAAGGCAATGAAGTCCAGTGTTTGAGAAGTAAAAAATAATTCGTAAATACATTTTTCCAACAGCGAGTGCCCTGATGAAGCTTTCGCAATTGTATGGAAGATTCGTGTCAATCGGTAAACTCACAACCACAGACAGACCAAGAAAAATTTAGTTGTAGTAAAGATGTCGTTTTTCCGCAAACGATCATTGATGGGCAAAAATTATCCTAATTGTCTCAAAGTTCTTCACCCGTCGCATAAACTTCTATCTTTTAAGACAAACGCGGTATTATGATGTGCCAGTACTTACCTAGTAGAGCCACAGAGATGATCGATGAAAGTGTACTGTACGATAAACTGGAGTCAAAATTGATCTCGCTCCATGCGTTGATCGGTACTGCGACCAAGAGAACAAGTCGAGTGAAGAGAGGCGCATTCAGGAACAAAATACAAAGGGTCGCTAAGAGGAAATACCCAGCATGCATCAAGCAGGTGGTGACCACCACTAGTTTGTCTCCAGTTCCTCCTAGATGTCGTGTCAACCAATTAAGTCTGTTGTCGATTTTATCTTGCATCTGATTGGTCACCTGAGAAAATAAGTTACATATTAACACTTGTTTTAGAAACTCTTTCGTGAAGTAATCATTTTAAGCAAACGACAATTCTATGAAAAGCTCCTTTGTTGAGGACAAAGCATGTAAAAGTCTTTAAAATACAAGCATAACCAAGACACGTAGTTTTGTTTTAATCAGACTTGTTGATTTCCCATCAGATTTCTCTTACCTCAATTAAATATCCAATAGTATCGTTGATAATTTTCAGATTTTCCATTGTCTGATTGTAATGTTGAGTGGTCTCACTGTGGTACGACATCATTTGAAGGGTGCTGTGGTCTACAACCAAATACAAACAAGTTTAATCAGAAGGAAAAACAAAAAAATTGACATTGTCTTTGATGCATAATTGCACCAGTAGAGGAGAAGCGCAGAAGCTTTTTGATTGGTGCAGAAAGAAAACAATCCAGAATTGCTCACCCGCGCTTTGTATCCACTTTAGATTCTTATTGGAAGCACTTGATTGGCCATTGTGATGATTACGTTGGGTTTGATTTCTGAATACCCAGTCGAATAGACTATAGCTCTGTTGCCCTTATTAAATTTCGTTTGGGTCGTTGTCGGCTGAGTTCAACATCAATTTTTTAACAAGAAATTCCTTCTAAGTCATTTAGTCATTGTCTCCATATAATCATAGTCTCTGTTACCTATCTTATTCCACACTTCTTCCGCCTTGCTGCGAATATCGTTTAAGTCCTCTAAAATTAAGCGGTGGCTAATTTTACGGTTCAGATCCTGTTTCTGAATTTCTGTTGTAGCACTCTCTGTTTATTAAAGAACAGAAAATAGTTTTACGTTATTGGACAAAGAATTGACCCCTCTGTCGAGAGACCACTGTTAAGTTCTACTTATTACAATCGCTCTGACGAAGGGCTAACGCTCGAAACGTCAGCTTTTTTACCCTTTACGGTGGCTAATTTACGTTTTCAACCCAGTTGTTAACACTAAATTACCTGCTATACTCCCACCGACGCAGCACCACAGTTTCTTTAGAAACTTACTCCTTTATTCATAAGTTCTACTTAGTTTGTTTACGTGTATTTGTATCTATTTTAATGAGTTGATTTGGAACAAGCTCATTAAACAAAACATTTACAACGTGTTAGAACGTTACCAGGATAAGGTAGAAAATTTATTCTCAAAATTGAATTTTCTGATGAAGGTCGCTGTACTCTAAAATGATTAACTACAGGCTCTTTCTTAAAAGAAGGAGGGGGACAATAACCAAGCGAAGTTGAAGGAAAGAACTTTCTTTGATCAAAAACTCTCAAATAAACAAACCAAGCTTGTCTTGGACCGTTTTTGCCATCTCTTTGAGCTGTTTCCGGCCGCTGTCTATCATCATTCTTTCCTGGTGCAGTGCCCTGACATTCCCTCTTAATGAGAACGAGATCGACCGCTGCACATCGTCATAGCTGGCATGTAGTTTCGCTTGCTGTCTTACAAGACGTTCCTGACCAGCGGTCACTCTAATCACGGTATCATCTGCTGCTTCTGTCAGTCTCCTTTGACCTTCCTGTTTGATTGAACAAATATAGGGGTTGAGCCTATCAACAGGCTTTCTGGTCGAGGAGGGGGGAAGGGGAAAGTGGGAAGAAATAGAGGTAGGAGGGAGTGGGAAGGGTGTGGGGAGGGACGAGGAGAAGAAATTAGAAAGCCTTGCTGCTTCCCTCCCGCCTTTCCCCACCGATCGTATTATTCGAAGCCATTTCTTCTTCAGCCCTTCCAAGCAAAGACTGCATGTCAGTGACAGGTTAATAAATGCTTGTAGGGGCCTCATTAGTAGAATGTTTAAATGACTTTCGTGAAATCAGCTGACAAACCTTATCATCACAGCATTAAAATTGTGCAAAACTTTCTAGTCATTTTTGTCCAATTTGAACATGTTTTAAATGAGAAACTCACACCTTTTAGACAGATTTCTCGTCACCTAAATCGACACATAGCTTGTCTGAAGGAAAAAACAGGAATAATTGAAACTTACTTGTAAACCGTTCATAAGCTCCATTTGATTTTCTGCTTGACTGGCCAGCTGATTGACAGTAAATTCTGTCTTCAGTCTGAACTGCTGCTGCCGAGTGGCGTAGCAGATCGACCGCGCCCTGTTGCTGATTATGTGATAACTGTTCCATGTATTGGCATCCATACCATTTGTGCAATCACGCAGTTCCTATACCAAAATTACAAAAGAAAATGACCTTGACTTCGGTTTCCACATTTTTTTTGATGATTGTCAAAACTGGCCTCGCCACTCAAAAGCGATCATTGAAAAAACGAAACTAAAATTTCATCAACAAAACTCACCATGTCGTCTGTGCACCTGTACGTTCTTCTTCCTTCGGATTTTGATTGGCAGTTTAAGAGAGCCACGCCCAGCTTTGCCAGTTCAACTTCATTGATATCGCTACAGGATTTCTTGATTCGGTTTATGACCTAGTGATCATGAAAGATTACAAAAATTTTATATGACAGAATCGTAGAACAGTTTCACGTGTACTCTTCCTCGCGTGCTGAGCATGCCCCGTACTACAGAAACTTTTTAAAAAGAAGTGAATATAATCCGCGTTTACCATTTCATGGTTGTTCATTTATCTATGGAGTGTTTACCTCTATTGTCAAAACATAATTTGTGAAATTAAAAATAATGGTATATTCTTTCAAGATTTTATTGCTTACAATCTGATGACAGGTGTCCAATGGAGTAAGATTTCCCATATACTTCTTTGCCTCAGCTAAAAATTTTTCTTCGGCTGTCGTCATTTCAAAAGGAACAGGGCTGTTCTTCAAATAACGACCTTGCTCTGCTTCAGTGTCTTCAGTAGACGAGCTGGAAAACGGCCACCAAGCATTTGTGGATACCAGTAACATGCACAAGAACGTGCCAATGAACAAACAACCCTTTAAATTCATTCTATTTGTACTGAAAATAAATAGTATGGCGATTTAGAGTAGCAATACGTAAGTCACATCCAAAGGTTATTTTTGAAAACATAGTTACAGTCACAAGTACTACATACACGATGCTTATGCGCAGTAACTGTATGATAATTGGGTTTACCAACTGAGTTAATCATCACGAAATTGACCACCAAAGAGAGTTTCAAACGAGCTGAAGTTTCGAGCGTTAACCCTTCGTCAGAGCCTTTCGTTGTTAGCCCTTCGTTTCGCTCCAACAAAGATCTACAAGAAAATTTGTCTGCAAAAGTACAGCTGGACTTCAAGCCGTGGTGAACAAAGTCAAACCTCTAGGAGTCCCTTTTACGATGGTCGCTTCAGAAATAGCGAGCCACGACAGTCGACGCAAATACGCATCCAATTCTTGCTAAGACAACCGTGCCATTAAATTCCGCCCATGAGAACATTCTAAAAATTTACTGCCTAAACGTACATGAGCTTCTAGATGACACTTGACTTTGCCAAACAGAGCGCACATTTTCTAGGAGCCTTCAAATCTTACCTGACAAACGTCCGCTAAAACTTCTTGTAGTTCAATAATGAAATACTCGATTCTGCCTTCGTAGTTGACATTTAAATCAACTGTGCGCAGTTGCACGTGAAATTTTAGCTGCACGAACTAATTATCCGAGGTTCTCTGTGACGTTTCAATTTTCGCGCGTTAATTTCTTTTGCTTTTGGAGGAAACAACAAGTGACACAATTCGTTTTTTTTTTTGTTTGTCCAAATGAAAACTTGAAAGGCTGCGATCAATGTTCAAGTATTTGGAACGAACGTGAAACTAAGAAAAATTAAGTTCCTCTTGAGGATTCGAACACGAACCTGTAGTTACGCAGCCGGATGCCTGTAAAAGCACGTGAACTACAGAGAACTTGCTGGCCGTGGATTGAAGGTACATGCTGATATAAGTGTTCTCTTTGTAAAGAGACAATGAGATATAAGTGGCAGAGCAGAAATAGACAAAGACACAACTTTGGGGCCAGAAGCAAACCTAGTAGGGAAGGCGGGAAAAAATGCGTCTAATCCAAGTTTTAATGCGTAAATTTATTGTCTGACGCCTGGAAAGGAGTGAAATTGGGTCCATACATAAATCTTATATTATAAAGTTATGTATGGACCCAAAATTTCCCTCATGGTATGACGTAAGCGTATTTTTAAATACGCCTACGTCAAACCATGGCGTAAAAAGGAGTCGAGGTCGCGGGAAGAGCAATATCCAACGTCACATTCTAGTTTCATATGTCACCAGGGTTCTCTAAACTGTTGAGATCAGCAATTTTGCGGAGGTGTGAGTGAAAGAGATGACGAATTTCGAGCTTCATAGTGGAGTAGGGAAGTTTCTGTTTAAAAATAGTATCACTGGCGAAGACAATTCCAAATTTCAAACCATTCGTGAGTTATGTTAGCGGTCCTCTTAAGTGGCTCTTGAGGCCAGATCCGAATCAATTTCATCGCAGAGATCGACGCAAAGAGAGGGGGAGGAGGAGGTGGGGGATGGAGGCCGCCTGGGACACACCTTGTTTCTGAGACAGAACCTTCCATTTGCTTCAAATAGATTTTAAATAATGAGACACAATTCATCTGAAATGTTTGAAGTAAGCTTTACTATAAACAGACCAACAGTTGAAATGTGTCCGAATTTCATAAATTTTGAAGAAATACGTTTTGTACAAATATATAATAAATCTCTATTCAATAAAGCAATAATCTCAAACTCTTAAGAAGGCCTAAATCTGTAAAATCTTAAGTTTGTGCGTTTTGAACGCAAATTTTTAACCAAAATCATGGCATTTGGTAATTGTTAACATTAAGTACTTTATGACTGAGTTTGGTGGAGCCGCACGAGATCTTAAGGTCCACAGGGTTTTCAAAATAAGACGGCAATCGGCGCGTTTCACCATCTACACTGAAAAACGCGCCAGTTATTCCGAATGTGTGTGGCTCAATTTTCGGCATGGAGGCATGTCAACGATTACCCCTGGTAACGCCTCCTAGAATCACAGTCCAGTTAATCAAAATCTTTTTGACGACCCTGGGTCCGCACGTCGTGACTGAGGGCCAAAAAAACCAGTCAGTCCACTCAGCCTAACCCAACTCAGTCAATAAGCGTTTTACCTTAGTCGCTTTTTCCCAAATACACACTTTACACAATAACTATAAAAGCGTCCCCTAGCGCCCTTTTGTTCCCTCGCTATCACAACCAGGGCAACGCTACCCATACGCTACGCAACCCAAGAAAGAAACATGGAATAATCACTTATTAATACCTTGTACTGCTGCATGCCATGCCATGGATAAAGTAGAAGAAAAAAGATAAAAACAATAAAAATATTCAATCACGTTTTAGCGAACGGCAAGCGGCAAAACTTAAACTTTTGCGGCGTGCCTTTCAACAGTTTGTGAAATAAGTTCAAATATTTGCTTTTGTTGTGTCAGAAACATAGAACCTACTAATTGTGAATGAGATAAAATTTTAAACTTTTCTGTAATTTTAAAAGAAGGCGAAATCAGTAGTGAAATCTATCGCTTACACTTGCCGTAGCCATTGATCGTAATAAACGGGTTAAAAAGGACATTAACGGAGAATGTCAATCGGCAAAAAAATTGAAGTTCTTGCCGCCTGCCTTTAGCCATTAACACACTTGAGTGAACATTCTTGCATCAGTACTCATTTTTCTCTTTTCTATACGAGGCTGGTTAAAAGCTTGAAAGGAAGAACGAGTGAGGTCAAGATTTTCACCGGTTGCCGTTGCCATTATCGGAAACATGCAGTGGCATTTTAATCACCATTAGCCGCACCCATCTCCGATGAAACGTACATATGTATTTTTCTTTAGGAAAAGAAAGTAAAATAAAACCGAATATACTCTTCTTTATGTATGTATATAATCTTATATTAAAACACTCTTTTAGGTAAAGCTTATACTGAAACACACATATCTTTTATAGCACTCTTGAGGAATTTATAAAATATAATATAAAAATGATATTGTTTTGGGAAAGAAAATCTTCAAGTTTCGATCAGCAAAAGCCGAAAGCCTTCTGTCATTTTCAAATTGCTATGCAAGTAAAGGGGCAAAGTTATACGAACAAGCTGACAAATAAAATGTATCACAAGATAACAGGTCATTTAGAGTTAACATCAGAGTTGAAAACGTAAATTGGCCACCGTAAAGAGTTTAAAGGCTGAAGTTTCGAGCGTTAGCCCTTCGTCAGAGCGACAGACAAAGGGCCAACGCTCGAAACGTCAGCTTTTAAACTCTTTACGGTGGCCAGTTTACATTTTCAGCTCATTTGATTTAACCAAATCATTTTGTAATACCTCTCTCATGCGCAGCTCTACAGTTTCTTTAGAACCTTGCCCCCCTAAAATTAAATGTTCTGTTTTTCTTCGAATGTTACTCAGGACGTAAGTTCGTTCTCTGCAAGAGACTACCTGAAAACATAGAATAAATTAAAAAACATTCCGTATTAAACACTGTCAATGGAGCTCTCACTTCTCACACAAGGTGCCTGCTTTGTCTCTGGCCAGCGGATATATTCCAAGCATGCCTCTCTCAGGTCGCGTAGCCGCAACTGTCAAATGTTCTGCATGTAATCCTCTGCAGGTGTTTCTGCAGCTATCTCCGTCACGATGTCCATCAATTGATCTTGTGACTGTTCGTTTTCCATCTTATCTTCAACCCCTAATGAATCCACAACACTCTCTGGTTCATCATCTACCATTTCACCCGCTGTTTTGATGGGGGTTGGGCTACACGAGGGTATACTGTCAGTTTGCTGCTTCTCTGTCTCACGTGGTTCTTCGGTAGCCTGTCAGTTCAATGAAGCAAAAACTGGCGTTTTGAGCTTAATTTCATTTTGATGTTTGAAAAGAATTCCTAATTTGACGAGAGCATATCCCCTTTTCTTACGAACGACACCACTTTATTATCCTCAGGTAGTCACTGGTTTACGGTTTGATTTGTCTGGGAAAGACTACGTGAGCAATTGAACCAACTCGCTAACCTTTAACCCTTTAGAACTTATTACCTTGTAACTTCTCTCTATAATTTCCCCGCATTATCCAGCATAGAGGTAATGAGAATAATCAAATTTATCAGGTAGAAGTTACCACCTTGATCTAACGCCAGATTCCCGTAACTAATTTACAAGGGAATGTGTTACAGCCCGAGGGGAGAATTAGTAGTCGGGTCCCGGTTGTTGAAATGTCGGATAACGCTATCCACTGGATGAATCGCTATCCGGGGAATAGCGCACTGCATTTTATTAACAGTTTTCCGCTGGATAGCAAGTTAATTCCGTCGTATAGTGTTATCCGCCCTTTATAATACTGGGCCCTTTTGAAGTTACGTGGTTCAAAGTATTAAAAATCCTCCTGTTTTGGACACCTATCTATAGATGCTCACCCACAACCATTCAAGTATGCAAAAAGATTCTCACTGACAAACAAAGAAGATGAATCAAATTTACCCACCTTGCCCTCCAATATACTGGCAAAGGCACTTTCAGACATCGAGCTCGCATCAGAGTACACTCTTGATATATCTGAATTAAGTCCTTCTCCCACACCAAGCATGGTTCTGTCAGGGTAACTTCCTTGAGATAAAACCTCAGCATTATTGTTATGGGTAGGACATTCTGCAACATGAGGCCCTTGCAGAGCTGATCCCACTGCTACACTTGTTGAAGGATTCTGTATGTCGGGTAAAACCTGTTTAGTCTGATCTGGTACGGGATCATCTAGAGTTTGAGTGGACACTCTGTTTGAAATCGTTCTTGAATTGGAAGGGACTGAAGACGTTTCAAAGTGCACTCTGCGATGAACTTTAGGCCTACCAAAAACAAGAAGAAAAGAGTTGAAAATCTAGTAACACATGGCAAGTAAGTCTATGTGTTATGGAATGTCCATTCACCTTCCTCCTGAAGGGTGCACTTCATAGCACATGCTAGTATTTGCTTCACATTTAATCTTTAGGATCACTGGAAAATAATGAAAGTCATGATCTTAAAATTATATCTGACCAATCAGTAGAAAATCACTCACTTGGGTTTTGTTTTCCGTCTGTGTGCTGGCCCAGTTCCTTTACCTAGACTCCTAGAAAAATCAGAAAATTAAAATGCATGTTAGAGAATAAGTAAACTCAATGTTATACAGCAACTTACACGTTTGCATCAGCTGGCTTTGATTTACGAGAATAAACAGAGCGACATTAACAAGGTAACTTACATGATCTTCAAGGGCCAAGTTTCAGGCCATTCCACAACATAATTTAGTGAAGTTGGTTGAAATGCCAAAGTTCTTCTGTTGTATCCAAAGGGATTCAAACTGGTGCGAGAATTGTAACGAAGATTTTCCACCCCTGCTGACTACAGAATTAAGAAAATAATTGGTGAAAAAAATGACTGAGTTGCACCTCAGGAATTGCTCAAGTCAGGTTACCTGTAGCTAATGGTATGGGCATGCAAGACTTTGAAAGGGGTGGATGATATTATTTCAGTTGCAAGATTTTGAAAATTCAATAGGAGACTTTGTGCTGTTGACACTCCTGGGGCTAAAAAGGTTATATTTATAACGGCAATCAATGAACAACATTTTAGTTACACTTATTTAAGTCAGGATTTTGGTTATTGTGAGAGATTTGAAAGGCTCACTTCCAGCTCAAGTCTTTATAGTTCAAGAAGTGGCCCAGCCTGACTCCCACTGCCTCTTTTTACTCTCAAAATCTCTCTGGAGTTTGAAAAGTTATTACTACTGAATTACCAAAGAAACTGAAGTAAATATGAGATTCCAACTAAGGCAATACCAGCATTAAAAGTCTCTGCCATTTCATGCTCCAGATGCCACATTGTGACCTAACTAGAATTGGAGCACCTCAGGTAATCAAACCCTTAATAATGAAATAGTGAAAAGACACCTACAGGACTATCAGACCAGCCACTGAATGCATAACCCAGTCTGTCTTGATTCTCAGCAGCTGTTGTTCCTCGTGACTTGGCAGGAGGAAATGTCAGGTTTAATTGTCTGTCTGCCTTGGCCTGCATGTACAGTGCTGCCTTCTGATCACTGTCATCCACAGCATGTTGTAACCCTGCATTTAATCTGCAAAGGCAAATTTTAAGATTTATATCAAGATTTATTAGCAGAGAAACATACTTGATCTAATTTTGAAGTTATATTAATATCATGGGTGACGCAATGGCTTGAAGGTTAATGCCCTGGACTCCAGATCAAGAGGTCTGAGTTCTTGACCTGACCATGCTAATTTGTGGTGTTCTTTAGCAAAGTTCTTTACTCTCTCAGTGGTTCTCTAACACCCAAGAGTATGTATAAATGGGTACTAACCAGTCATCAGGGAAGCCTGATTAAATACTGGGAGGTAACCTTTTAATAGACTAGCATTCCATCCAGGGGGGGAAGAGCAATACTCTTAGTCATTTCATGCTGAGGAAACCTAGATAAGCTTCAGTTGGGTGGGTAACTAGGCTGGAATACACATTTATTCTAATATCACTTGATGTATCAGTTTTAACTCATTGTTCCCAAATGAATAAAAGGGTGTATGTTAAAAAAACTGTAGTGCTGCATCAGTGGGAAATCAGGGGGGAGGGGGGGAAAGGTAATTACCATATAATTTGGTTTATCAGCTGAGTTAATAATGTAAGTTGGCCACCCAAACTTTTCCTAGCCAGCAGTGTACATTTTGTGATTTGTCAAAGGTGATTCCATGACCTCACAAGAGCCCTTTAGAAATCATATAATTTCATTTGTGTTGCCTCAAATTGCCCAAACTTAGATAAGTTCCTTTTCCTTTCATCAGCTCACTCTTTGGGAAGAACTTGTTAAATAAAATTGTTAAGTTTTTCTCTGAATATCAGATTAACTCTGCCTGTGTGGCTGCCTTTCACTGGACTATTAAAGCTATCTTCTCCAATCTTCTGCAATCAGATACAGTTCTTAGCCTCACCACACCAAATACTGTCTTGATTGTAATTTAATGCCAGCTTGGAATTTACCTTCTGTGAGCCTTCTGACGGGCAGCTGACAGGTCAGGGAAAAATGAAGAGTTCTTGCTTAACACTGAGGTAGGCTCTAAAGAAGGGGAAAGCTGTACATCATAGCAGTCCATGAACATGAAAAAAAACCTCCCAGAATGCTTTGTCCAGAAGACCACATCTCACAAATTACTATGAAATTTGAGGAGGCGTGGAATGGGTTAAATCACCACCACCCTCGTTTTCTAGATGACTTACCTAGTCTTTAGTCTTCAGTCTTACTAAATGACTTGAGTAAGTTTAACCCCATTGTAAACATGCAGAGTAATTACAACTTGAGTCAGAAGAATGGATGTGGGTATGACAGCTTAACAAAATGCTCCTGGTTTGGTCTTATTACTTAATTTGGAAATTTTCTGCATAAAATATGGAAAATTGCCAAAATGGCACAAGAAAACTTAAAAACCAATGACTGCCTGTGGCCCTTGTTCATAGAGTACATTAAGTACATCAAGTGGTGAAAAAGAAATAAAATGAAGAATTGCCTACCACTTGAGGGATTTACCATAGGTAAAACATCTTCCTTCGCTGGTTCATGGACATCAGTTGTTGAGTATAATGATAACCCTGTCTACAAGTTAAACATTAAAATTAAGGATTGATGTTCACACATAATTATATATAAATACACAATATTCTTCTGTAAATTATCCTCACTATTTTTATCATATCTAATTTTCCAACTGCACAAAACCGAGAACAAATAACACGTGGACAGAGTACAAATATCCTGTGATATTGTGCAGTTGGTTATTTTGTATTTTAAAAAAACCTGTTTCACAGGTTAGCTGTGCACACTATGCTTCTATATCTGCTTTGCTTTTCCTGCCTTATGAGAAATGAGCAGAAACACTTGGCAGAAAAAAAGCAGTTGGATAATAAATAACTTATGAGACATTTTGGTTTGTGGTATTGCTTAGGATATTTACTCATTGTATTTCTACTCGTCCTACAGGCTCATCAAAATACAGCACAACTCAAAAATACCCAGGGATACTCCACATCAAAACGTCCTCTAAGACATATATATTACATATCTTAAATCAAATCATTTTAATACTTGCCCAGGCCTACAAGGAAATTTTTTGTTTATTTTGCCAGATAAAACTGTCATGAGTTCAGTGACTGGAGACAACTGCACCCAGTAATTTTTTTTTCATCCAATTTTTGTCAAGCCTTACCAATCTTCAGAGGCCCCATCTTCCTGCCTCAGAGCAGGAAAAATTTTCACCACGCATGAAATTGCACAGATTTATCAATTTACTGGCCACATTTTGAAGGTAAATGTAATTCAAGAAAATTTGATATTGCTTTTTCAATGCAAGTCTTTTTGGCAGAAAGCTGCCAAAAGATTAAATTTTCACGCAGCAATCAAACCATAAAGATGGACGATTTGTATCTCTGGATGTTGCATGATGATCAGTACTTAAGATACCCAGAAAAAAACTATCATGGCTCCCAAGTTTACATTTAAGTTGAATCCTGCTCAATTTGTTAATCCATGTGATTGACATTTCATGGTTATTAAAAAATAAGTTAAACGTAAATTACCATTTTTAAATTTGGGAACTGACAATTAAAAAAAGACAATTCTAACATAGAATACTTGGTTCATTTTACGAATAAGAAGAAAAAATCTACACCTCATATGATTATCTTGTAGCATTATAATTCATGCAAAATTTAAAAGGCATGTTTCTATGGCTACCAAGTCGGCGCTACGCCAGTTGTTTAACGCAGTATAAATTCCTTATTCAGCGTGAATTTCTCAGCAAACACAAAAGTACACAAAGCAACAGTTGAGAAAAGTACAATGCTTTCATTTGAGTTCAAGCTCGGTCTTATCCTAACGTTATTTCAATTATTTATGATGTCTATCGTAGACACTGAACAACGAAATCAAATTACTCCTTAGCGAGAGTATAAAACAAAGAACTTGCCACAGGGATTAAGATTAATTATGATCATAAAAGTAACAAGAAAAAGCCTCTAAGCCATGCAATTAAAGGATTTCTTTTACCTTGCTCTGTTTTTCGTCGATTCGAGCCAAGATTTGCTTGACCGGGTCAACTTTTCTCCTTCGCTGTATGCCGTAATGAAACCGCAAAAAATTAATGATCACGGAGTCAGGAGGAAAGCCAGCTGTTTATTAAAACAAGAAGTAGGCATTACTAGCCCGTAAGATGACAACAATACTCTTACCTTTTTATAAACTATCATTTGACAGCCTTTATAGAATCCAATACGTTATTTTCCCTCCAAGAACAGCTGAGGTTGCGAGGACGACCAAAACGCAACGCTACCACAATAACTATTCGCATACCATCCAATCAAGCACTCCAATTTTCTGATTTACATTTTTCTCCCCTTCTCAATGGTCTTAGCAATCATCTCTGTGCTTCCTGTTTTCTAACCATGGTTGAGAAATGAGTTCAACCATTCCCTAGAATGAAGACTCCGCAATTGTCTGCAGAGAAGGAAATTTAGCAGCGAAACAAAGCGTTACACAATGGCGCGGCAAGCGGTCGCCAACAGCTGCCAATCAGGGTTTACGAACATCAATTAACCTGAGGACCCGTAACAAGAATCTTAAAACGTTTATTACCTTCCACAAAAAGAAACGGAACCAAAATAATCAGAAAATAATAAAAAATTTGAATACTCTGGTTTTATACGCGATTTATTACAATCAACTCAGGAAAGACATATTCCCATTGTAAAATTATAAGTGCTGTATCAGGATTGTCAGCTTTGATATGACTGATCTCACACGTTTATAATTATTCAAATTACATTGAATATTCAATGACAATGTTCTCCTGAAAACTTTCAAAATTTGCTATTTAGCTAATGTCCATTCTCCAAAATACTTCAATTTTTTTTAATAATTTAATTTGAGTTCATTTTATATTTAAAAATATAAAATCAACTCAAACTAATTAAATAAAACAACAGATACTATGTTGCTGTTTGTCTGCCCTGATATAGATTTATAAAATAAACAAAGAAGTGGAACATGATATGAGGTGCAGCCAAGTGTCACTGATGTTGAAAATGAGTTTGTAATGTAACTTGGCCATGGTAAAAGGTTTCCAAAGCTTAAGTCTTAGGCTTTAGCCCCTCATCAGAGCAAGGCTGAACAGTGAAACATCTTAATAACATATGTTTCCCTCAAGCCAATTGCAAAGCTACTTTTACAGATAGGACAGTCTATGTGTACCAACTATATTTCCATTCAGCAAGGGAAGTAAAATGGTGAGGAGAGAGGGGAAATGGGGAGTGGCAGAAGTGTATGTATAGTGGTTTAGCATTTAGCAGAATTGATTCAAGACCTGCCACAAAAGTGTGCCTCACATCTTTATCAACAATTGTGAGTTATATATTGACTTGCAATGTGCTGGTATACCCAAGTATAGTTTGTTATTAGCCAAATGTTACCGATACATTAACCCTTTGACTTCCATGAGTGACCAAGACAGAATTTCTCCTTACAATATCAACCAGAAAAGTGACGAGAATAAAGAAAAAGATCAATTTGCAGATAAATAGCTGATCCAATATTAAATTCTCTGAACTAACATTAAAAGAATTGTATGGTTGACAGTAAGGAGAATTACAAATTTGATCTGGGAGTCAAAGGGTTAAAACAAACTCACACTAAAGCTATCAATCATTGAGCTCCCAAATAACTTGCTGAATTGAGACAATTTCTTAAAAAGTTTCTATGTGAGGAAAATTTTGTCATTTGCTATCATCCTCTGATCAAACATTTATTAATGATCTCAAAGTAACATTCACCCTTTGACTTCCTAGATAGCTGTATAAATTTCCTTGTAAATTAGTAACAAGAACTTAGCGTTAAATCAAAATAACAACTTCTATCTGATGAGTTTGAGTATTCTCATCACCTGTTTGCTGGATAACAAATTAATATTATAGGGAGAAGTAACAAGTTAATCACTCCTGGAAGCTTAAGGGTGAAAATATAATACATTATAATACAGTCATCCAGTGGTAGAGAGAAGATCTATAGCTACAGAGATAACAAATATTACTTGTGGCACTGACCAGGAGAATTTATTTCACAATCAAGAGGTTCTTTGGTGGGTGATCATTTCTTTTATCTTTAATGCCTTGATATTTGATTTAACAGTAATACTATAATGAGAAATAATATGTTAGTCACTCTAAAGCTGGCATCACACTCGGTAATTTTATGCGCTGATTGGCGAAAAAATCACCAGGTGTGTCAGGTGCAGTAATTGCACTTTTTGTTGACCTCTTGCAATTGGCGTATGAAATTGCTGACATCTGGCATGAGGTTGGCTATTTTTGCCAGCCCTCATATTTGCCATGATTGGTGAGCAAAATCCCCAAGTGTGTCAACAGCTCTTCAGATTTAAGGGGGGTAAATCAAAGAGGCTTTGTTTCCTATAGAAGAAACATCAAATAACTGATTTTGAGAACAAGCCCAAACAATTGCCTTCCTCCTTCTCCTTCCTAATCATCATCACCCTCTTGTTCTTTTTCCTTTTCATCATCTCTCATGGTTTTTAATTTCTTTATAAGCTCTTTTGCAGGATTGAACACACCATTAGTCTGTGTACCACAAACATAACACCTTTTGCTTTTCTTATAATGTTTAAGAGCACATGCTTCACAAAAGTAGTGTTGACACTTGGTAACAACTGGACTTGTGAATGATTCTCTACAAATAAAACAGGCAAATGGAAGATCATCATCATCATCACTTGCAATTTCGTACTGATGTGGATCTTGTTTGCTGTAATTTCCTTCTTTCCATTCTCGTTCAAGTTGCCAGCCATGTTTGTAGTCACTGCGATCATGCAAAAATTTGCAGCTGTCTCCAAATCCACAGAAACCAGTTTCCTTGTAATCTTTGCATATATCTGGCTGATAATCCCAACGAATTGTTGCACGCAAATTTGCTGGCGCCCTGATAGGCCCTTGTCTGAAAGAAAAAAGTGTTCAAAAGATATGAATTCCTCTAGTTATGTTTCAAAATTAAAGATGTCTTTGAAAAGTAAACAGACAATAAAAAAAAACAATTATGAGAAACCAAATGACAGGCCCATCAAAATCATTCATCCATAAAATCAATCAATCAGCAGTCTCTCTTATTTTCAGCATAGTTGGTAAAAGAACTTTTCAAACCCAAAGAAAAAACTTTTATCTATTGAATTTACTGACTAGTTTGTGAATTGCAATCAAAGACAGAAAATAAATATTTTTTTCTGATTCTGACATCACGCTTTGGCTATAAAAAAAATTTACTGAAATACTTCCCAGAATGGTGAGAATAATATCTCAGAGAGTTTTAAACATCAAATTCTTCAGGGGGGAGCACCCCTCCTGGATCCCCCCAGAAGGGAGAGCTGCTTTGTCACATGCCATGCTTGCTATACAAGCATAATATAATTCTACCTACACAATTCTGATAACACATTTTTAACATTTCCTATTGACAACCCTGACTGTGAGATACTAAATTTACACAAACTCCCTCTAAAGATTGGATCTCTTGCTAACTGTTTACGGTTCATCCCTGTATACACTTTACCTGACCATTCCACTAGCAGCATTTCCTTGTGCATTCCCCTTCTTTTCGTAGAATGTCATGTAGTTGTTCAATCCTCTGTACTGTTTGTCATCTTTCTCCTGGCCTTTAAGTTCTTGATTTGTTTTCAAACTCTTCTCAAACAAAGCTTGTGCGTCTCGATCAAATTCGGTATCAATCTCCACAGTTGCTGTGGCTCCGAGATCCTCTGGTCCAGTTCGCATCGCAGAACGCGTTGATTTAAACGTAACGTCAAGGTCATCGTCTATCTCTTCACGTTCACGTCTGGACTTCGAATCAAATCCATCAGTCTTCTGAAACATTGGGTTAGAGAGCGGCTTTTTCTCCTTTCTAATCACCGTTGTAACATCTTCATCTTCACTGTCTGACTTTTCAGCTTTCCTTTTGCGCACATTTCGATTCCTATTTGCCTTCTTAAAGAAAGTACAAGTAGGTTTTTGAGACGAAATATCTCCATTACTTTTGGCATTCTCATCCGCCATATTGCTTGTCATGTCTAGAGTCCAGTCTCTTCTTGAACAAAACGCTCCTCCCCAGCGTTCGCTCAGTTGAAATCATCCGGGTGATTATAATATCATTGTTGTTTCGTGTTGGTGTGGTGCTGTTCGTGATTGTGTGGTCACTGTTTGTTCATTTTTACGTTGTGAATGTTCTCTATGTACCTTACTGTACTTGTGATTCGTTTTGTAGCCGTGTTAAAGTGTTCAGTGGATTAATTATCCGTAAATGTCTTGTCTCTCTTTGTAATAAATGTTGTAATTACTGTCGTGTGTGTCTCAGTGTGCTACTTTAAAAATTTTACGCGATACACTTGTTCTTATTTGATCATAACACTTCAAGTGTTGTGAAGTGACGAGAAATCTTACTGGAGCACCTGATTTGTGCGATGAAAGTATGAGAACTATGGAAATGATGAAAATTGGTTTGAGACTGAACAGACTGTGACTGATAAAAAACCACATTTCTGATCCACCTAACATCAAGGAGTAGCTTATGTGTAGCCGTACCCTCTCCTCCAGGCTACATGTAGGCGAGCCGTGGAGACAGGTTTTTTGGGTAACGTCACAGAGCATTACATATAAAAAAAAATCTAGAATTGGTGGTTGAAAATGAATGAAAAATTCCATTTTTTTTCCAATACAGAATGATGCCATTTCCTGATGCCATTTCATTTCACTATGCTCAGGGCAGTGGTGGCTGCAGGGTTTGAAGTGTGGGCGCTGATTACAGTTATAATAGGACCTAAAAAAGTCTAATTTATAATAGGAATTGAAATGATTGGAGTGCAATTTGATGTAAAATCATATTGTGAGACTTTAAAGTCAAACAAGTGCACAGCATCACTTTGATTTGAAATCACAAGTATGTTTTCAGACCAAAATTGCATGACATGAAGTCCAGGTACGGCTTGATTATATCCATTTTGAAATCCCAAAATTCAGTTGCTCATAAATAGGTTTTATTTTATCTGTGTACAAATATTTTATTGATCCAGAAGAGTGGGGGTTTGAAGAAAGTTGCTGAAGTTGTCGTTCATTTTCCTGCAATTTTATTGGTTTCTTCGAAAAAAGCCTTAAAATCTGATTGGTTGTTGTATTTTAGTACAGCTTCCTCATTGGTTGGGGAAAAGATGCAATTTAGAGAAAACAATGGTGCAGTTTGTGTGTAAATTGTACCAGTGTGAGCCAATCTGATTACAAGGATCACCAGTGATTTCAACATGAATGTAATAAAGTTTGTAATCAAACTGGTTAAACTGGACTTTAGCTTTATGCAATGTGACTTGTTAGCTACTCAATGCCATATGAAAATCAACTATATTAGAGTTCACTCAGTCCCATAAATTACTGTAAATTTGTCAGTCCTGAATGGTGCTAACATAAAAACAACTAACACAAACAATATTAAAACTTAAGTCAAAGTCAGGTCAAGTGAGATGTAAGTACTTTATTAAACTTCTGATAATTTTTAATGATCAATGACCACCAATATTACTTTACATTCTATATTAAATAACACCATGACAGCACAACTCCAATGCAACAAACTGTTCATTAGCAAAGTGTTTGGTACAAAAATATCATAAACCCACAGGAGGATTAATGTGTGTAACAAAACCTTAAATGTAAAAAAATGTAGAAAAACATCCCTGAAGGTGAACACAATCCAAACATGAAATTTCTTTTAACCCTAGTTTAAAATAAATATCTTATTGGTGAAGTTAAATGTGACACATTTTAAATGCAGAAATTAATAGTCTGATTCCAGTTGTTGATTGTATGTACTCCTTTGTTCAAAAAATACTGATCATATGTCAAGAATCAAACTAATGGCTATGAGGTGTGAACCAACATATATACAAAATCAAAACAAAAAAATTAATTTCTAGTTCTTAAATATAATTCTTGAAAGTTCCCAAAAAACTAGGACTTAAATCTTTTTCCCTTTCATACTGTTGAGTATTCCCGACATAAAGAACTTAAAGTAACAAGTGAACATCTAATTTTTACTTACTTAGATGATTACAAAGAGAAAAAAGCAAAGAAAAGAGTGTGAATTATACAATGCTTCACGTAAAGAGAGGGTTCTCTTGTGAGTACATGTATCTGCAAAGGAGTGAAGTCCCCCAACTTGAAATTTTTGTCAAAGACCCTGAGATAATTTTATTGGTTTGATTTTGTTCTAAAATAAATATTTCTATATCATCAATTATAAACCATGGTAAATAAACTTTTCAACTATTTCTGCTCCAACATGAAGCTTTCACAAAAACTTCCATTAGTATTTTTAATTCAAAAATTGATTCTAGTAACTCTTCATTTCACAGGGTTTATTCTAAAAATTGTTTATTCAGGGTTTGTCCATAGAAAATTGCATTGTATGTTTTGAGAAGTGACACACATAGTAGTAAATTAATCTCAGACTCCAATGGTTGAAGGCAAAGGAAGATGAAGAGAAGGTGACCAGAAATTTTATCTTCCTCTCTAACAGCAAACTGCTGTTGTAACACCATTCAAAATGGCAACTTCCCAAGACACAATTTCAGCTATGGTTGAGTGACCGTTGCAAAATTTTAGTGAACAAAATATCCTTGACTAGCTGAATCCTCTGTTGAAAAAAACTATCTGTTCAGCCAGGAGTCAGAAATTCATGTGAAGGAGTGAAGTCCCACAACTTCACAGTTTTGTCGTAAGAACCTGAGACAATGCTATAATCATTGAACTGTAAGCATGTCACACCATCTGTGTGACAACGCAATGTCAGCAAACGCTGTCCACTTTCTAAGCTCCACATCTGTTTAAAAAAAAAAAACCAAGAAAAAAAAGAAATTGTTGAAAAACAATAGTTGTAATTTTCACATGTCTGACAACAACATCATTAAAATGTCTTGCTCTTTGCTGTAAGTTCCAAACAGCTTTGGGGTAAAATTTATCAACACCAACAATAATCCTACCATTCTATTACAATAGGTGTTGGTTTCTCAGGATTGTTGCTTTAACCCTTCAACTCCCATGAGTGACCAGGACAGAATTTCTCCTTACAACATCAATACAATATCAAGCAGACAAGCAAATGAGAATAAAGAAAAATATTAATTTGGGGATTACTTGTAGATCAAATATCAAATTCTCTTAACCAACCATGTAGGAATTGTACAGTAGTCAGTATGGGGAAGCACTAATAAGATCTAGGGAGTGAAAGGATTAAAACTTGTGGCCAAGCTAATTCGTACTAACAGCAGCTCACTAGAATCACAATTTTACCTTCAGTGTTTTGTCATCCCCTGCACTCACTATTCTCCAACTGTCTGTCTGAAGACATCTGTCAAATGAGTATAACACATGTATCACAACATCATGGCAGTTAACCAAAATATGAAGTTCCATGCAAAATACTATCAATATTATATAAATTTTAATACATAATTTAATCTAATCTTGAGGAACAGGGATGGTGCAGTGGTGAGAGTGTTTGCCTCCCACTGCTGTGGCCTGGGTTTGATTCCCGAACCTAGGGTCACATGTGGGTTGAGTTTGTTGTTGGTTATTGCTTCTGCTGCAAGGTTTTTTTTCCAGCTCCTTGGGTTTTTTCCCTTCACAAAAAACAACATTCTAATTTCCAATTTAACATGGAAACGATAGACAAGAAGAGCCACCTAATGGAATGTCCATTGCTAAATTCCTATTCCCATTTATTTATTTAAATACCTTATAACACCAGTGTGACCCTCAGATCTGATCCAATCCAATGTGCCAATGCACTAAAATAGATGAAAAGGTAAAAAATTATATCAAACAATATCACATCATTAACAAGAGAAAGGCTACTTACTCTCAAAATAACACAAGGAAACAGTGACCTTTGTGATCATTTGATTACCTTTCCAGTCAGCAGATCCCAAAATTTAAGATTGTGATCCAACGAGCCACTGATAACCTTCCTGCTGTCAAATGTTAAATTTAAACAAGTGACAGCATCATGATGGCCCGTCAGTGTCATAAGACATGAACCCTCTGTCAGGCTCCACACCTGTGAATGAAACACCAACATGATTATAATTATAAAGCAAGTGGAGTCTCGAGAAAGATGCTTTTAATCATTTTGGTTGCTTTGTCAAATGTACTGTCATGTTAAGTCACTAACATTGAAAACTGAGAATACTTCATATAATTATCTTAAATTATTTTAGCTGTATCAGTATGGACATCCTGACTACCCACTTAGCTTATGTTTGTTCTTACTCAGGTACAAATCAACCAGTATTTTTTTCATTCCAGTCAGATTTTCAATAGAAACAAAAGGAAATCTTTAGTTTGTTTGTTGGGTGGTTTGTAGCTTGTAGGTAGGCAAAATTCCTTTATTACTGATGAACAAATGAATTTTCTACTAGCTTTAGAAGTTTGTTGCTTACCTTAATAGTCTTGTCATATGATCCAGAAACAATTTTTCTGTCATCAAACTGAACACACAGCACTGCAGCATTATGACCTCTGAATACAAAAATAATGTCATAATCATTCATTATTCTTACATTGGTTATTTTCAAGTGCCAATAACATTGAACAACTTGAGAGTATACACTACCTCAAAGTTAGCTGGCAATTTCCAGTCCTAATGTCCCAGACTTTAAGGGTCTTATCGTATGACCCACTCACTACCTTTTCATCATCAACCTGATGTCAGAGATGAAAAATTATGGAAATGAATTTGTTTCTTAAGGCATTCATGTTAGACATCGCAAGTAATTGTTAATTTCAAAAAACTTTAAGTCATATCATAACATGTTTAATCTCCCCTTTAACAAAGCTAAGTTAAAGAAAAAAAATAAATTAAACAAAAAAGGAACAGCTTGGGTTTTGAGATGAGAGCTTGTTAACTAAGTTGTAAGATTTTAAAGTTGTGCCTCTCAAGTTTTCAGAACTGTTTCAAGTTCTTTCCATCCTGGGGTCACTCAGTGCTTAAATGAGGCTCATGAATGTAAATATGGAGAAAGTCCTTTATAGCATAATGATAATAATAATGACAATGATAAATATACATTTATCTCAAGCATTCTCCATATGAGTATGCTCTAATGCACTTTAAACATTTTGTGAGGGACTTTAGCCAGAAGGCATGGAGCAGTTTTCCAATTTTTGAAAGGAGACAGATGGCAGGCTCTTTACCTGAAGGCAACGGACTGTGTGCATGTGACCAACCATAGTCACCTTACATGAAGCACCACTCCAGTATGACTTGAATGACAGATCCCACACCTTTATAAGGTAAAAAATTTACAGTATTTGAAATAAGCAGAAATTAACCATTAATCCTTTAACTCCCAGATCAAATTTGTAATTCTCCTCACTCAACCATACAATTCTTATAATGTTAGTTCAGAGAACTTAGTATCAGATCAACTAATTATCCCCTGATTGATATTTTTCTTTATTCTCATCACTTATCTGGTTGACATTGTATTGATATTGTAATGAGAAATTCTGTCTTGGTCACTCATGGGAGTCAAAAGGTTAACACCCTAACATCAGTATGCATACTCTCCATATCAATCTCCATAGCATCCTGAGGTGCTGACAAGGAGAATTTGTTTAACAATCAAAAGCCTTTTTGGTTGGTGATCATTTCCTTTATTCCTACGACCTTAATGTGGGATTCAGGGGTATTATTGTAATGAGATATTAGACACTAGTCACTCCTAAGGTCAAAGGGATGACCAGGTATAACTGATGTTAAACATACCTTAATGGATCTATCCACAGACCCACTAACCAATCTGTTTCCGTTAAGATTTAAACATCTAACTGTCCCTGAGTGACCAGCTAGAGTCAGCACTACATCACAATCACCACTATGAATATCCCAGACCCTTATAGTCTTATCATAGGAACCACTTGCAATCCTTGTGTCATCAAATTGAACACATGAGATGCCTACAAATAAAATTAATTCATTTTGATCCCCACCTCAACTACATTTGCCAATCTTTAAGATAACCACACAAGCCAAGTATTAACACAAAATATCATTATAAAAGTCAGGAGGGAGGGGTGGGAAGATACAAATTAAGATAAGGAAAGGAACCTGTCAATTCAAGTAAGCTTTGTCGTAGTTTGTGCATCTCACAACTTTATCCAAAATCAATCAAGATTGCCATTTTCAATTTGTATTTCTGTTCTTCACTGTTAACTCTCCTTAGCTGGATTAAAATGTCCTTCAAAGTCAAGTTTGAAAAATCTTTCAAATCACAGTGACTATAATTGTGAATTGTCTTAAATTTTTCCACAAATTTAAACAATGGTAGAGCTTTTCTCTAAACTGCATTCCATCCCAAAAATATTAAAAAACTTTGAAGTAGTAAAATAATTAATGATGAAAGTCATTATTAGTAATTCATAAAATGAAACAATGTTTTAACAGCCTAAGGAAGGCAACATACACAAAACAAGAAGTTTACCTTGGGTGTGGCCCTCAAATGTGCGAACATTACACTTTCCTTTTAACCAATTCTGATGTAAAAGATACCTTGATGCAAACATCTTCTTCCACTAACAACACAATCATAAATAATAGTATATCATTAATAAAAATTACTATTTTCGCTCATCTTAATAATTCTACTACAGAATAAAAGTGATTGTTACAGTAGCTATAACTGTAAACTTTTTTCCTTTGTAGCATTATTAATAATTGTTTTTGTTAATAGGTATGGCCTAAAAATGACACCCAAACCCCATATAATCATAGAACTTAACCCTTTCACTCCCATAAGTGACCAAAAACGAATTTCTCCTTACAATGTCTATACATTGACAAGCAGACAAGTAATGAGAATAAAGAAAAATGCCATCAGGGGATTAGTAGTTGATCTAATACCAAATTCTCTAGACTAGTATCACAAAAATTGTAAGGCAGACAGGACATAGAATTACTATTGAGATCTTGGGAGTTAAAGGATTAAAAACTTACTGAAAAGGTATTGAAAAATAAATTATTAAATCTGCTGCAGTATACCTGAACTGTCCCTTCAGCCATAGTGTATTTCTTTTTTTCTTTCTCCTCCCCAATCCTTGACAACTGCCAGTCAGGGCGCCTACAGACAGGAAAACATTCACAGCATTGTACTGGTATTGATTTTCATTCTAGCGTACCCATTGAAAATCCAAGGATGTTGGAAGCTTACTTTTTAGAATACTTAGACTACAACTGAAAGATGTAAAATATACTCTTAGCCCAGTCCTCTGACATGCTTATCATTTCCCTCCTGTAAATAAATTCAGCTTTAATAAAACTTTGATTCCCTTCAAACCTCATCTTCTTTATTCCCAAAGGATATTCAATATTTAATTAGTTGCAGGTTCTCCTTTAAAAATTGTTGCTTTTGTTTACTGACCCCTCACCCATTTGACTCATGGAAAATTGCCAAGAATGATGACATATTTCTTTCCTGGGCCCTGTATAGACCCCATTAAAATCTGAAAGATCATTAAGCAAGATAAGCATTCAAAACAATGTCCAATATCACTCAAATAGATGAGCACCAAGCAAATAACTTACCACACTAAGTATTACTGAAACAAGGCATTTTTAAAACCTACCCGCAGAGACTTTTCCATAGTAAGGGGTTACTGGCCAAGTTGTTCCATGTGTGATTGACTTGACTACTTCGACACAAACTCACTGGGAGAAAAATGATTCAAATTCATATTTATTCAAATCTGTGTGTTGTATCTAATAAAGGAAGACAATAATCTCTGGCCCAGCCTTACGTTGACGATTATGCCATAACTTAGATGACTGAACTACACAATAAAATGCCAAACTGAGAAGCCAGTCATCAGCCAATTTGTCATCCCTCTACCCCAAAATACTCATAAAATAAACAGCAATTTAAGAATTTCACTGTTTATGTGAAGTCAAATTAAATCTCTGTGCAGTCAGTGGCAATCCAATTAAAGGAAATACATGCCCTGATCGGTGATTCTGTAACAAAATTAAAACAGGTCTATTTGACACCCTCCTAAAAAATATCATTACCCCTCCTCCCAGACTAAACTCTATAAGTCCTTCCCATATTTGGTATAAGCTCACTCCCATGGTCCTCTCTGTCTCAATACCAAAACATGATATGCACTGGTATAAGAACATCTACTATGATCTACTGCAGACAGCCTTCTTCAAATTTTTTTCCCATCCAAACCTTCAGAGCCAATCTTATTTTTCTGTGAGGTAAGTTATGTCACACCTTCTGAATTGCACAAAAAAAGACAGTTGTCATATGCTTTATAATAATAGTAATCACAGTCTTTCTACAGTTCGCCTCATCCACTGGTGGTTTTCAGGCAAGTCCTGTTTTTTAAAAACTAAAAACTAAAATCTTCAAATGAAAAACTAATAATAATAATTAAACTAATCTTAATAAAATAAAGCGAAAAACTGCTTTTCTAGCTCTGTTTAATCCACTGGACCTATGTTGCATATCATTTTTAGTCCTTTCAAATTCTCATATCTTATAGGAAGCAGAGAGAAGGAGTAACAAAACCAATGAAAAAAAAACACAAAATACCTTAAATAACAAATAAATTATGCCAAATTGCTGTTTCACTGGTAGCCCTCTCTGGCATGAAGAGATTGAGAGTGAATTGTGTGATCATTGTTTTGTTTATGGTAGAATGTATGTTTTGGTGTTTGGATGCTAATAACTCTCTTGATGATATACATGAAAAAATTATGTATGTCTGACTGGCTAAAAATGAGTGCATTTTTCATGTAACATGATAGTAACGTTGTAACACAAGTGAAAATTACAAATAGCACTGCCAAAATTTTGTCCATCTTGACTTTCTGTGATGTGTTTTTCAATCCCATGTAAAAGTTGTCTTTAAAAATTTGCTTGTGCTTATTATCACTACATTGCACTCAAAATCATTTTGTTATATACGCAAACAAGAGGCAATTCCTGCAACATGGAAAACATCAATTTTGAGTACCTTACCTAAGTCAAGAAAGGACAGAATGTGCAATGCCACATGATGTGGTAACCAAGCCAACATATCCTGACAATTTGGAGGGCAGCTTTTATGGAGAACAGGTTCCATGGCAACAGACAGCATATGCATTTGGGGCAACTCACATTCTTCCTGTAAAATAAGAAAAAAAAAATTACATTCTAGCTTCCAGTGGAAAAGTGTTTTTTATCAGTCACAGAACAAGCCTATCTTAGCTCACCTTCATTATGGTTGGTTACATCAACTGATCTATTAATTCACCATTAAAATAAATGTGATTTCTGGTTTTTAGTTTCCTTGAGGTAAATAATAAAATAGAAAGAATGATGAAAAGAAATGCATGAAAATAAGTTTTCTCTCCACCAGAGGTTAACTGCTATGAACCTTTTCCTGACCTCCTTCACATCTGTTTTAAAAATATCATTATTTATGTTTTGATGTTTATTTTTAGAATTCCAATTTAAATGTGTCATTGCAGTTAAAAATATCAATGGAAACTGATGTTTTGATGTTTGTTTATAGAGTGCAGTTAAAAACAATGATTTACTTTTGTATGTTAGCTTAATTATACATTAATTGGTTGAAAATGTTCTGCCAGATATCTCCTTATTTCTATCATACATGTAACATTTATTTACCCCATGAGGAATGATACAGGCAGTGACAGCTTATTTCAAGCCTTATAAATCCAAAATATTCACTTCAAAACTGTTTAGCATGAGAATTTGAGTATCTAGAAAGTGACTACATCCATCTTATTTCATTCAATCTAACATTAATTTAATGCAGCATATATTTCATGAAAAAACACTCAATTTTTTCCACATGCAAACAAAAAAACATCACCAAACTGATCTAAGCATTCATATATTACTGATATAAAGCACTTTTATACAAGATATTTTTTAAATAAGCATAAGCTCCTAGATTATCATTATTAGCAAGAACATAATGAAAATCAGGAGGTATTTTATGGTAAAGTAAGAAGCTTTACAAAATCAATTAGAAATGTTAATTAGCATCTAATTAAGCTAATAAACAATACCATAAAAAATGAAATTAGCTCATTAGAAGGGGTTACAAACAAAATTATCCTTTACCTGCAATATACCTTTTAGCTTCAAACATCATAGATTATACATTGTAACTGCTTTAATATTAACTATCCACAAATTCTGCTGTTAATATTTCTTCAGCTAATAGTCTCACCTATCTGTGTTTAAATTTGTGCAAATTAAGTGTGGTCAGAAAAATCTTTTCATCTAGTCTTGATTTTTAATTGCGATGGTTGTTTATCAGTTTCTTTTAAAACAAAAATGGAAATTTTTAGAATGAAAAAAGATCAAAATAAACATTTAAGAGTAACATCTACCACCAAAGTGTGTTCTGAACATTTAAAAGACCAGAGTTTTCAGTTAGGCATTTGATCTTGGAGACTGAAAGACAGTGCCTGTCTTCCATTGTTTTAATGGTCAGCCAGAGGCTATTTAAAAAAGAAACAGTGTTTCATTTCCAACACAGTAATATTAGGCATGGCTATCAAAGGTCAAGAAAATCCAGGGAAAAAGGGATTACTTCAAGACATGGGAAAAGTTTGGAAATTTCACTTTGAGTTTAGGGAAAATTTACATCTTTGAAAGAAGTCAGGGAAAAGAGGAATTTCAAGTAAATATGAAGTTCTCCATCTTGTCTTTCATGATGAAAGATGGTGACACTTTCCTTTTTGATGTTGATTATGTACAATGTGTGGAACAGTCAACAGATTCCTGACCACCATATCCCTTTCCTTTATAATGCAAGTTAAAGTTAGTTCGTGAATGAAATCATACACTTTCATTTTCTTCTGAACATTTCATGGACATGAAAGATACAGGATGGGTAAAATAAGCTTATGTTTGGTTTTAAAGAAAATTAATCCTTTTTCTATGTTACCTTGAGGAATTTTCAACTCATGTACACTGTATGTGACTTCCTGAAAGTTTTAATTTTTGGGTGGCTGAATGGAGAGGTTTGAGGTCATTATCAGGATTTGCTTCTGAAATTGTTAATTCAATTGGTCAAAGAAATTTATGTTTGTCAGATATAGGAGAGTTTGAATTGCATAGGTTGTCATGATTTCTTGAATTTTTAGAGAAATTAACAACTGCTGGTCATTTAGTTATTTGAGAACTGAGACGGCAGTTGACCTCACTTAATTTTTAAGTATTCTGAGTCAGCATAAACCAAGAGTTAGACATGAGATTTATAAATCTCCTCGACAATGCTTAGTAGTTTCTCATTGACAGATAGTATTTTGGATAGAATAGGTTCTCTCAACTTCTGGAAATTTTCAGAAAAATTTGCAACTGTGGGTCATTTAGTTATTTGAGAACCATGATCAGCAGTGGACCTCGTGCAATTTTTCAAGTGTCAACATCCATGGCTCTGTATTCTGAGAAAGCCTACACCAAGCTTTAACAAAAGAGTTATAAATCCCCTCAAGATCTCTAAGCAGTTCCTCATTGACATATTTGTCAAATTTTCAGAAAAGTATCAGACTGTTGGTCATTTAATTGTTTGAAAAATTTGACTGGCTGCCAGTCATATAACCAGAGCATACAATTAACATGAAACAAAGGAAAGTTACAGTTTTCGAAAAAATATAGCTTCGTTCTAACCTTAAATTGCAAAATCACCATAAAGTTTGTGATACATTTGCTTCCCTTTTGCACCTGTTTCATAGATTTTTTTTAAATCTTTATAGATCATATGCTCAAAAGTTTGTTTTCCAGCTTGAGGTGATTATAATCTCAATTACAAATGCCTTTCTTATGCAGTTGATTTCTATATTACCACAGTGGTTTGAGTGCTGATTCATCTGTAAATATGAAAATTTTGGCAACAGAAAAAACAGTGTCACATAGGAGATATTGTTAAAAGCACAAACTTGAGCAGCCATTTTGAATTCTTGTTTACCCATTTAAAACCATGTGACCACATAGCTAAAAATGTCTATTATGATAACACTTATTTTTAGTTATGAATAGTATATGGCCCCTAATTGCTGAATTTTAGAGACAGAGTGAAATGCAAGCAATACAGAAAAAAAAAAAACTGCAAGACCTGGATCTGTTCAGCCTTGCTTTAAACTATCACAGCATGCCTGTTTTTTAATGATACTTCTGAGATCATTTTATTAGTAAGAAACTCACCAGAATTTTTCGAATTAAAATGTTCTTCTGTTCATCATTAAATTCTCGGAACCACTGCAAAATATCCTGAAAATAGAGAAATAGGTTCCAAAAAGGTGATTAGCCTTGAATGTGTTCCAACTAACAATGCACAAAAAAATGTTTATAGCGATACTGGCCCCAGTTTTTCGAAAGTTGGACAATGCTATCCACTAGATAAATTTCTATACTGTGGATAATGCCATATGTTTGGCTATTGCTTATCTGCCGGATAGCAATTTATCTATTGGATAGTATTTATCCAACCTTTGTAAAACTGGACCGTGGATGTTAATACATTGTTAATGAAATCTAATTTGAAACAATCTAAAGAAAAAAGGGTCTTTGGAAAATACTTTTATGTCTGGAATGATGTCAGGTACCATTAATAATATTACATAGATGTCTTCTTTGTGAGGCTTTTTTTAAACCCTTCCACTCCCATGAGTGACTAAGAAAGAATTGTGCCTTACAATATCAATACAATATCAAGCAGACAAGTGATGAGAATAAAGAAAAATATCAATTAGGGGATCATTGTTAGTTGATTCACTAACAAATTCTTCTAAATAACAATGTTCTTCTGGTCTGGCCCACTGAAACCCTGGACCTTCCTCACAGTAGTCTGGCTCTTTACCAACATTCAATCTAATTACTTGGTGTTCTTCCTTATTGTAAGCAAGACAAGTAGAAAAAACATGTCAAACCCATTGAGCAATCCTTGTGACTGTTGATAAGAGGTACTACAGGGGTAAATTTCACCAATTACCCCCTGAATAGGAGAACACTGATCGCTGACCAAACTAGGTTGCAGTCTAAAATAGGACCTCACAAACTAAAACTCATACTACTAGGAATTCTCTTTGACCAAAACTCTCAATTATTTCCTTGTGTGTTTATCTTCAATCTATTACCAGTTTACTTTAAACTCTCTCAATCACAAACCTGTTTTGGAATTCTTTTGGAGTTTTGAGTGGGCAGATTCTACCCTATGTTCAATAACTTCCATTTACACAGTATTTTCAAATCAAGCATCCACAAAATTCAATCTGCCATACTTTCCTAAGTGCAAAAAAAAGGTGGAATTCAAAAGGAGTTACCTCACTGCGCTTTTTAAACTGTGGTCCATCAACAGTAGGCTTTCTCTGCCAAATCATTTGATTTCCTGACCATAAACTTTGCCCATGACCATAGTGACCAGGAGAAGAAGTCCTTACTTCACCTCTTCTAATTTCATCCATCAAAGAAAGTTTTTGGGATGCAAGAGCTGTACCTTTTTGTGTATCACAATGAGCTGTAGCACAAATTTCATTCTCTGTTCTGGTATCAATGGATTTTACGCCAGACACAACTGCAGGGAAGGAGCTATCTCCATTGATAATGGAAGAAACTGAATGTTGTCGGACAGCTTCCAATTTGTGGACCCTGGCATGATGATCTTGGTTATCTATAGCTTTGTTATTGTCAATGCTTGCAAAAACATTTTCATGCACAATACCATCTTCTGATATAAAATCACCATAATTGTACTTCACCACATCAACGTCTTCATTTACAGAATCAACCTGTGTCATATACTCAGATGAATCACTTGGCAGTGACAGCTTCTCCTTCTCTGAATCCTCATCAGAAGAATCAACAGGACTAGATGTCATACAGGTACTAGAACACTCTCCCTCTAACAGAAAAGCAGAAATGGTTGAGTTTTGACTTTCACTGCTTCTAACAGCAAAACTAAGAAAGTTGTTTGAACAGTTTGCTACTTGAGTGCTGCTGATGAGTTCGTCATGGACCAACTTGTTCTCATCTTCATTTTTCCTCAGCATCTCATGATTTGGAATAGCAGCTGTATCATGATGTTGGGTAATGATGTCTGATCCCCTTGTTAATGAAACTGTTATTGCCCTGTCATTTTCCAAATCAGACTTGACAGTCAAACTGCAGGGACTTGTGCATTTAGAAAAAGAGTTGTCACATGTTAACTTCTCCTGCATCTTCGGTTGTAAAATTTTAAGAGCTGTCTCTTCTTGATAAAGAACTGGACTTTTATAGAAGTGAATTGCACCAATAGTTAAACCATTCTGATTTCTAATGTGCCCACCGTGCTCTAAGTGAGTTAAATGAGGGGTGCTTCTCACTCCTCGGTACTGTGGCAAAGAAGAGTTTTGTTGTACTCTTGAAGAATCAAATCCGCTGAAAGATGCTCGTTTTTTTATACTAGTGACACGTTTTTGCTTCAAAGGTGGTGAAAGCAGATGAGCGTTTGAGGAGTTTTCAAGATGTGATCTTTTCTTTCGAGGCCAGCTGTTATAAGCTGGTCCGGAAAAGCTTACACTGCGTCGAACTGGAGGAAATGTTGGAACAGTGATATTATCAGGAATTCTTCCTTCATTTAATGACAAGTCGTGTAGTGGGAGAGATAAGACGCTTTTCACGTTCTCTTTGGCTTTCAGCGGTGATCGGTTCATTTCCTTAGCTATTTCATTGAGCAAGCTGTTGTTGCTTGAAGTTCTATGTAATCGGGACATTCGCCTCTCACAGTTAAAATCATGGAAGGTCCCCGTCGCTGTTCCGCACTCCTGTACAGTGACTTTTTTTTCGACAACTTCTGGGCCCAGATCGTCGCCAAATTGTCTTTCTTTGCGTCGTTTCAGATATTTGATGCTTCGGTTCTTCCGTATTTTATGCTTGCTGGAAGTCTTTTCAACTTCGAGTTCTCTCGGATCACGAACTAAGTCCAAATTACTGTTTGTGCTGCTCTTCAGCAGCTCAGCAGCGCTTGCTCCAGCACTTTTGCTGTCTTTCCCTCCTTTTGCTTTTCTAGTAAACCAAACAACCTTTTCCCAAACCCGAGAACGAGATTTCGACGGCCTCTTTAGAGTACCGTTTACACTCGAGCTCGAGTCACCTACAACCTCCTGGAAGGAATTGTTTTCATTCGGTTCCATCTCTGAGATTGCTATTTATATCATGATTTTAAAAGTCTTAAATTAAATAGCGGTTAATTCCACCCTCATGAAGGGCTTCGTTGTTATTTGCAAAACTAAACCGACACAATTAAATTCAAGCTTCTTCCGCAGCGCCATCTTTTCGTCATATGTGCAAGTCTTGCTGGGTAATTAACTATAATATAACTCCCAATAAAAATTAACAACACTTGAAAATATTAATTAAAAATATTTGTTACAAATCTAGCTTGATACGGAGAAAAATGCGACATGTGGCCTTAGTTAGTTGTATAAAATACAATTTATGGATGAAAAATTTGTGTTTGTTTTTGTAACGCGTTATACCTCAAATACTTGTTTAAAATGACAAGGCAAAAACCGTCCAAGGGTGACTAAGTATTTCATTCTACCCACCTCCCCGTCAGTGCCAAAAATAGCCATTTGAAAGTGAGGCTATATAAAACAGTTTCGTCCAGAGTGACGTACACACCCGTTCGTATTGCTCCGAATCGTCGTGAAGGAGCGTCCTAGCTTGTGTATATTGTTTTCTTTTTAAAAAACCAACCGTTGTTTCAGCCTGCTGAAGGTAACATTTTGTCGTTTCTTACTCTTATTCATCCCTGTACATAACAATTTTGATTTATTTGGCAGCGACGCGCGAACCGTTGCCAGTTTTCGCCTCGTAACATTCGTCAGTGCCATGCTATGGCGGTGTCTCAGTGAGATTTTCATGTTTTAGGTGTCGAAGTGAAGTTTCCTTTCCAAGATGCGTGAATACAAACTGGTTGTTCTTGGTTCTGGAGGAGTTGGCAAGAGTGCTCTGGTAATGATAGCGTGAAACTCCTTTAAATCTGTCTATGAAACGAGAATTGATGTTCTGTGTATTGATTTCTCACGGTAGGAATATGAAGAAGCAGCAATATTCTAAACTGTATCAGTCGAAGTGATTAGATCTTTTATTAAGCTTTGTATTTTCTCTTTTTCTTTATCAGACTGTTCAGTTTGTGCAAGGAATTTTCGTCGAAAAGTATGACCCGACGATCGAAGATTCATATCGAAAAGTAAGTATATTCGAAGTGAGAATCAATGTCGACCGGCGCCCGTTTTTCACAAGCCGATATTCTCTTCTGACATTTCGTGTCAAATTTTTGTTCTTTTACCCCAGCAAGTTGAAGTCGACGGGCAGCAGTGTATGCTGGAAATATTGGACACAGCAGGAACGGTAAGTTGGACCACTATTTTGAGAAAGTTAGTTGGGAAAGAGTATCAATCCAACTTTATGCCATGAATATGTATATTTCTTGTCAAATGAACAGCTTGCTGTTACAAAACTCATAACAACTTCTCTATTTACCCATAGCATTTTATAACTTCTTCGGAGCTATGTAAACAGGAATAGCTTTGGTGTGCGAAAATTTTCCTCTAATCGCTCGGTGATGTATTGGTTAGGTGCAGAAGTCTGATGTCGGCAAAACCATATTTTATTTATTTTGAGTGTGCTTGCAAAAGAGAAATTGGAAAAAAATTTAAATATCGGAACCTAGAATGTTTGTCAAAAATTTTCACTCTCTCTGGATTTTCTCTTTTACTCAGAATTTAATCAGCCTGTCTGCCGTGCAAGAAGGTTTACGTGTTAAGTAATTAGCCCTAATTAAATTGAAAATACTTAATCTCACCCCTCTATTATTTATGGTTTGAATATTCTAATTAGTTCATCTTGCGTGTAGCCAGATAAGCAAATTAAAACCAATAATTTTACAATCATGTTTGTCAGAAAAAATGATATTGAGCCTGCTCTTCCTTAAAAATTTCACCCATGACTAAGGTTAGGTTTGATAATGATTTTATGGAGATATATGTGATAAACTCCAGAAGGAGAGGCAGTATTATTAGCAAATGTGTATATCTGGCTATTGGGAGTTGAAGGCACTCAAAATTTGTTAAATAATTGGTTTGGTTTAAGTGTTTGTCACATGCTTGATGGTTGATGGCTAGTTACTCCCATATCCAATCTTAATTAAGATTAATGTCTATATATTTGTGCACTGGCCTCTAAATATGAAATCTGGTAGCTTTTCTGTCCTCATAAATGTTTTGGAAACAAATTGGTGTTATTCATTTGTCATATAATTGCATTTGGTTGTAAAAAATTGGTATATATAACAAACCAAGAGGAATATGACTGTGGTAGTCTAGGAAAAATGCTCAAAGTAATCTTAGATTGTATATTGCATATTTTTGTGAAAAATTATATTAATTATATATCACATTTTGGCAGCTGGTAATATCTTCCTGCTGGAAAGATATCTAACATAAATAGACTGCACTTGGTCTTTTCCCTTCTGTAAATGGAGTAAAAATATTTTTATACTAGTTAAAACTTAAATGTTTCTCACAACCCAGTGTTCAGATTCCAATCATACCCATTTGTTATCTACAAGTTCATGTTTACTTTCAAACTGGGAAGATGCCAACATCATCAAACCCTTCATAACACAGCTTTCTCAAATTTCCAACCCCAAGAACTGTAGTAATTCTATTTTCCAGAAGTTTCCTTTACGTAGGGACAAACATTTACCTTGGTTTGAAGTATTCACTTTGTTTAATAGAGTACTCTTAAAGGTTTATACAAATATTTGTACCTTTTTGGTAACATTAAATATCTCACAAGAATTGTAAGTACTAAAACCTCACTGGACCATGACAGAACTTTCTAGGTAATGGGAACATGCCAGAACATGCTGGAACACTGAAACAAGCCAGAACACCACAAAATATTGTTAAAAATAACACAAATGAAAAAGAAATGGAAAGTATGTGCAACATGGGTGAAATAGTTGAACAAGTTTGTGGCCAAAATCTCTGCATGGAGAGACATGACAAAGCCTCTGCACTGAAAATTGCCAACTAACCCACTTTCATGAAACTTGAATACAGCAAACTGAGAAAAAAGTCTGTGATGAGGAATAAGTGATTAATGAATTTACACATAAATTATAGTATGTTGCCTAATTTTTGCACAGCATAGAAAACTACAGGATAGATTGCTACCTAACAGACCAACAAAAACATAAATGCTTTTTTGTAATATAAAAGGCAGAGACATGACCAAAGATTGAGGTGATTACTGCAGATTACAGCTGCAGAAATAAAAATGGTACACTTAAAAAAGACTTTTTTTCCATGTTGGATGAAGAACAACACAACTGCAATGCATCCATGACACTAGTCTTCCAAAACATCTATAATTAGGTTACTGGTCAATGGGCACAAACTGAATACAATTTGAGTTTTGATTTTTATACATTCTTGTGATTAATATTTATGGGGTTCTTAGTTTTATTATTATTTTTTAATATTTTAAGTGGTGGTCTAGCATGTTCTGGCATGTTGCAATGTTTCAGGTTGTTCAAGTGTTCTGGCATGTTTAGGTTTTCTGGTGTGTTCCGGTGGTCTAGTTTTCCATGTTTTTAGTAAAAGCTAACTAGAATAGTTATTGCAAACCCTCAGAAGTTACCTTAGCAGTCTTTGAAGTAAACCTTTTTATTTGCCTTGTAATTGAGCATTACAATTCTCATCATGTTAATTTTGAGAATTTCCTTTTAGATCAACCAATAATCTCCTAAGTGATAATTTTCTTTATTCACATCACTCTTCTGTCACTCATGGGAGTTAAAGTGTTAATGCAACTCTAATCAAGCACTGATTCCACAGAGTTATTGTTGTGATTTACAGGAACAGTTTACAGCCATGCGGGATTTGTATATGAAGAATGGTCAAGGCTTTGTTTTGGTGTACTCAATCACAGCGCAATCTACGTTCAATGACCTTGGGGACTTGAGAGATCAGATTTTAAGAGTGAAGGACACGGAGGATGTAAGTGATGACTGATATGTATCCCTTAGTTTGTTAGCTGGTCCATGTTATTAACACTTCTGTACAAGCATGTGTTTGCCCTCTGAAAAGTAAGAGGCCATGAGTTACACAAACCAGCAAGAAATCTTCTTGGGGTCTGACTCTGATAATTAGTGCCAGACTCACGACAAACAATGCAACCAATCAGGACCCAGTTGTTCAAAGGCAGTTAAGTGTTAACCCAAGGTTAAATTTTATTCTGAGTTTCTTTATTCCTTTATTCAAAAGCCTTTTTGGGATAATTTCTTGTCTTCCTTTTAGAGCCAAATAGTCATATTCTAGACAAAAAGAATTTGACTGAATTTTCTTTTAAAGCTATCAAATAGGAAATCAGATTTCACACTAACCCTGGGTTATCTTAATCCAGCTTTGAACAACCTGACCCAGATTTCAAGACTTGTTTCAAGTAAAAAATCAAATTGCAGGTAAATGAGAGACTAAGAAGCCATTATGTGGCAAACAAGCTATATTTTAAAAGAAAACAACAGCAACAAAAAAGACCGAATTTGAAAGCTGTGTGGTGATATAAGGTGTAAACAGAACTATTTACATGTGTTAATTTTTACATAGGTTCCAATGGTCCTTGTTGGTAATAAATGTGATTTGGAAGATGAAAGAGTGGTTGGGAAAGACCAAGGACAAAACTTAGCAAAATTATTTAATAACTGGTGAGTGTCTATGTAACTTAGATCCAATCTATCAGAGGGTAACAACATGTTAGTTGGGGAAGGAGTTGTCAACAGCAAATTTTATGCATTTTTTCGGAAACTCACAATGTTATGAAATGCAATCAGGATATACAGAGCTCTTGGCAAAACATATCATAGGAAACAAAAGGACAAAAAAATGGACTAACAAAGAGAAATAGCTAAATATCTCGATATTGATGAGGGACATAGGTAAACACACAATGTCAACTTTGCTTGTTGAGCCAGGAGCTTGGAGAATGGGCTAGAGACCTTAAGGAATGGAATAAGGGATATGGGTTGTAATGAAATGAAAAATCACAAACAAGTGCTCTGAAAAATTTGTGTTGCTATCAAACTCCCCTTGCATGATATTTGCAGAAGTTTCCTTCCCACCCTCCTCTCAAGAATAGCATTCACTGCCATGTAGGTTTTACTTTTAACCCTTTAACTCTCAAGATATGACTGTTAATTCTGCTCTCTAGCTGCTTAACATTTCCTTGTAAATTAGTGATAAGAACTTAGTGCTAGATCAAGATAACAGCTTCTACCTGATAAGTTTCAATATCCTTGTTGCCTGTTTGCTGGTTAATGTATATATATTAGTGGAGAAGTTTCACATTAATCTCTTCTGGGAGTTAAGGGTTAAGTTCTCAGTGTTACAGCCATTTTGACTTTCTCATCCCATTTACTATTTTCAGCGCCTTCCTTGAAACATCTGCAAAATCAAAGATCAATGTGAATGAAATATTTTACGACCTAGTCAGACAGATAAACAGAAAAACACCAGAAACTAAGAAGAAGAAGAAGAAGAAGGGTTGTGTGCTGTTGTGATGATTCCATTTGAACATTTTTCAGTAGAAAAACTGGAGATCTGCTTCAGATGTTTGTGACTGAATGGCTTATGATTCAGGCTGAACATCCAAAATTGTTTGTAAATTATTTTGTGAACGCTGCTGGCAGAAGATGGGAAAGGAGAGATCAGACAGTAAACTAAAGTTATCATAACAGACTTGTGGTTGTTTTACATACAAATTGTAGGACACCTTGGGAAATATTTTTAAAATACAGTAAAAACATAATTTTTTTATGTTGAACATGTACAGTACTTACTGTAAAATCTCTGCTTGAATTATGTGAGTGCTAGATAGTAGACATAGTCTTGGGGAATAAGAGAGAGATTGGGAAGGAAGTTCTCTAAGTTGTAAGCTTTTTATTTACAGTGTTTTGTGTGGTTTTCCGACGTTGTAAAATTCATGCGTTTTTATGCAATTTATTTCTTTTATCTTTTTTCTTGTTTAAGTGACTACTGAAATAAACTTTTTATATGTTAAGAATTGCTCTTAGACGTTGATCTCTACAATTCGTAGATCAGTATTCTATCATGACTTCATGGAGAACACAATTCCTTAACTGTCTTGTGATCATTGCCTTCGTGTGTTGTATGATAATTATACAATGATAAAATTACTACAAATCGTGAGTGGAATCCAGAAATCTTTGAATTCATGATAGAGTGCAAATTATCCAGACAGTCAGCATTTTTATTTGTTACGTTTTGGTTCATTGTTATTTGTATTTGAATCAAGCCATCATTTCCATGCGCATTTTGACATGGCAAATGATTTGCTTGAGATATTACTTGAACTGAAGAGAATTAAGTATGGATCACGAAAGTCCCACTACGGCCAAAAACTATTGCAACAAAGGTTTATAAAAGCCAATTTTATTTGGATTGTTTTCATCAATTTATTCCTATATCTCAGATGATAATAAAACGTAGTGTGAAAGAATCTATGACGTGTGTGTTGCTTTTTACTTAGCACTGTTTGTTCTTACTCAAAGAAATCCTGTGTGTTACGAAATGCAAAAAAGTTGTTGCCATATTGTAAATTTTGCGATGATTCTTTCGGTTCCTTCTAGCTACTTCCTCGTCGTATTAGAATCACCATATTTGACCGCGTTTGATGTAAAATGGATGATGTCAAAGAGAATAATAACTGTGATGGGGCCTTTTATTCGCGCCGAAAGGAAGTTTGGATGATCATTCTTTTACCGATAAACGATTTAAGGTAACGTCTATAAAAAACTCGTTACCAGGCTTTCTCTTCTTCCTGCTGTGCGGGGCGATAGAGGGCCCTTCCTCATTCAAAGAAGGCTGAACGAAAGGACAAGTTCTCTCTCAACTATTGAGCTTAATGGCTGGCTGGGTTCTTAAAAGTAACCGCTGACCTCTGAAACTCTTCTACGTTCATAAATGTCGAACGTTTGAGACACGTGACTTCATATCTCATGACTTCAAGTCTCCTTGGCTCGTCAGATGTTACACAGATATATTCAAAATGTCCATCTCCTGCAAATAATCCACAAATAAAATAAATCTTCCGAACGAAAGCCCCCTGAGATTGATTTCATTCGAACGTGGGAGACCTGGGCAAGACTCGAAGTAGTTCTTACGCTGAGTAACCCCACCCAGGGATATCCCGCGCGTCTTGGGAACTCATGGGACGTCTGTGAATTAGACTTCAAAGTCGTTATGCTGGTTATGCTGCAAAATGAATGAGACGGCAGTGGGGTAACTTAAATATATGACTATGAGTTTCTTGAAAGTTGGTGAAATTGTTTTAGCACCATTCAAGGTTTCCAGGGGTTCTATATCCATGTTGTCACTGAATTGAAAACTCTGATTGGTTTACGTTAGTAAGGCTTGTCGTTTTTGAGCGAAGAATGATGACACAGATGAAGGACTTTTCGACGTGGTGAGCGAGATATTTTAAAACCAGATCCAGACAAAAAGGGGAAATAATAATTGAAAAAGAGACGATGCGTCATCACTCACTAATTTTACTTCAGACTGCTAAGCATGCTTAATTCGGATGTTAGCTACAGCATAATGCTGATGTCATTTCTAAGCATGGCAACAATATCATCAAGAAGAGTGTTCACCTTGTTTTCAGACATTTTTTGTAGATAGGAATCTCTTCAGTCGTTGCTAACAACTGATGCGAGATCCTCAGGAAAGAGGGAAGTGTTGAAAAGTATTACCCAGACACTCGTTCATGAGAATAGAATGCAAGTTTCAAAAATCACACAAGAAATTACACGTAAGTAGCAACTCGTTACTCCTCTGATACAGTATTTTGAGTCAAATGTTGCTTTTTTTAAAAGCTACTTACAGGTTTTTAAAGATATCTATGAAGAGGACTGAAAAGTATTTTCAGAATAGGACACGTTATTTTTGGAGGGACAACTATATTCAGATGCGAATCGATCATCGTAGCCGATCGATGTACCGGCGTTTTTCAATCAAAATCAGTACATTTTGGAGAGCGACTGATTTCTGGTAAGAACGCATTTTTGGCATGGAACATACCTAATCATAGAACATAGATGAATGGTTTATTGTCCAAGAGAAAGAAAGGAGTATTTCTTTGAAGAAAACACAATGTTAGTAACAAATTCGCCCCCAAATCTATATTTCCTTGTTCCTAGAAAGTTATGGGGAGCCCCCTGCTTTCTTAAAGCAAATATCTGTGTCTCTTTTTTCCCAAAAGGTTGGTGGAAAGGGCTCTAAAGTTTACACTCGCCTGCCCTGTCCTTTTAAAGTGCGACATACTTGCATTTAGTGTAATATCTGTTGCAATTTAGGCCTAACTGTTCAACTTTTGTCACTTTTGCGTTCAAAACAGGAAAGGAGATATGAAGTAGCGTTGGTTTTTAGTAATAAGCGTGGAGAGGTTTCAATATTTTCAATATAATTCAATATTTCAATATCCAACAACCACAGGTGGTTATTTAACATGCCCGAAACAAGTAACAGTAACGAAAGAAAGTATTGGATAGTATCTGAAAATTTAATGCTCATAACCGGCCGGATGAAATTGAAAACAAACTTTCGGTGGAGTGTTTTGATGCGTTTCCATTCTTTATTAAGAAGATTAGAAAGCGTTTCTGTAAATTGAAATAATGATGAGCTGGAACCTAACTCTGGCTCAGGATTTCCGGCAAGTTTAAGCACTGCATCCGTAGGAGTTTTTTTTCTTTTCCAGAACCCTCGCTGCTCTTCCTTTATCTGATACAAGTTCTGTTGGTTCTCTGCAGAAGCCAGTAAGTGGCAATGAATTGATAATTTTAGCACCTTATTTAGTCTATGGGGTACTGATGGCGCATTATTGAAGTTGTCCGGAAACTGTGAAAAGAAATATTGATACAAATGACTTCTTTACGTGTTATGATCCGGTAACATCAGTTCTTGCTTATTGATTTTTTGCATGCAAAATTGCATATGATACGCTGTCTTCTGCTTGAAACTGGGGTTATTTGAAAACTAATCTGAAAATCTTGAAACGGGTTATTTGACCTATTTAGGAGAACTGAGAACTTTTACATCAAACGTTTAGAACCGCACTCTTTTGTAAAATGTTGTAATAAGGAGTGTCCTTTGGTAAAGGAGCTTGAAATTGAAGGAAATGTGGTTTTGAAGCATAGTAGCAGGAATTCCTTTTTTTGAAACAGAACGTAATTCCTGCAATGGCTAAACGTTTCTGAACAGAAACAGAATTTTGAAGAAGAACGTTATTTGGAAAGGGGCATGAACAGATTGAGAACGCAAACGAGGAAGGGTAAGTATTTTTATTGAGAAATGTTTTGTTCTCATTTTCAATTTATAACTTTTACTGTTTTGACCATCCAGTTTGTTTTTGTGGTTTTTTTTTTTTTTTTTTTTTTTTTGCTGGACTCAGCTGTACACAAGTGGTCACCCCCCCTTTCCGTGTTTTTTCCACATGATGTAACTTTGATGTTTGCAGCTCAGAACATTCTTGCCTTACGGCCAGCAGACGTTACGACATATGCCCCGAGATAACATAACAAAGAATTTTTCAACACAAAATAGACAAACAGCTGCTGAGAAAATCCTACAAATGTTTCTATTCAGCAGCACATGTTCCACTTCGTTTTGTTGAAAAAGTTTTATTTTTCGTAGCTTGCAATCAATCCCTAGCATGATTTCAGAAAATAAAAAATTGGACTGTATACAAATGAGATAGTCTACATGTAAAGTTTCTCAAAAATATGGGATGATTTATTGTCTTCAGTCCTTCTCCATTTCCAACCATAGTTAATCACAGCTTTTTGTCAAAGTGGTTTATCATTGGCTCAGTATTCTGAAGCTAGAGTAAAGTCGCCATAAACTACTGCTTGTGGTCTCAAAATGTGCACTTTTCACCAGCTTTACGTCCTCAAATAAATTCAGTGTTATTTTAATCACACACTCTCCTGTCACATCTACTTTGTGTTCGATTATGTACTTGGAACTGAATTACACTATCAATGACTTCTGTTTTAAATAGGATTTCGCTAGGGGCGAGCAGTAAATTAAATCGCCGTGGGGGGTGAGTTTCTGATTGAAAACCTTGCTGCGAAGAAATGGGCTAAGTACATCAAAAACAGCTCGTAAATGTATATAACCGTGAGCAACCGATGCTATTTAGGCCTAGACTATTAACGGAAAAAAACTTCGAGTATCTTCTCCCTAAATTTTCATACGCGGGTCGATTGCAATTACATACTACCTTACTAATGATCGGCAATTGCACCGAGAGATGATCATTGCGCTAAGCTGTAATTGCTCACTCATGAAGAAAAAGAACTAAGGTAAATTTTATATTTAATCGAGAAGTTTATTGTCAGGATGAAAAAATGGCCCAGAATTGCCGTATATACCCTGTGAAGCCTAATTTTTTTGTTGTATTCAGTGCACCCGTATACGGGTAATTTTTAACTTACATGATCTTTATTTGATAGGACATAACTTTAGTTCTTAGATACCATTACAATTAAGTTGTTTCATAGAAAGGCTTTTGATCATCCACAGAACAAAACTACTACATCTAAGAGCAGAATCGCAATTTTGGTTGTTTTAACTCCACCCAAGATAAAAAATTACCTTTTCTGTTTTTCGAATTTCAAATTGACAAAGGAAATGAATCTTAACTGATTTCTATTTATAGCTTTCTTAAAGAAAATATTTTTCATCACGGGGGCTAAATGTTCAACCAAAATAATACCGAAAAACCTAATAAAATTGTCTCACGAGCGGTATTTTTAAGGTGATATTTGGTCATAACCAGTTTACGTGGGTTAAAAAAAATTTAAAAACTCTGGTTCTGTGTAAAGAAAGAACGTGCTTGAATCATTTTCTTTTGCACAGTTACCAAAATTTCGATTTTGCTTGTATTTTTGGATCAAAAGTTACATTTCGGAAATCGAATATTCAATTCTAAGAATCTCATTAACTCAGTTCGTAAAAATCGTGAAAATTAAAGGTGTCAATATTCACTTGTTTATTTGACAACTTTGGACATATATCTCGTCAAATTTTAGGAACACAGCAGATGGTATTGCAATCTTCATAGCGGTGTTACTTTTGTCCTCAGATACAAAACAAAAAATCACCTGGGCGGACATATAATATATTAAGTGCCAATGAAAGAAACTTCTTGCAGCATTTCATTTTCTACTTAAAGTCGAACAGCATACGACGTAAGGATCACTCGTCGCCGGATTACAATCGTTTTCATTCTAACCAGAAACTTCAAGTAAGTATAAATTGCTTTTACTGTGACTTTTTTCATCCTTGTACTTAATTTAAAATCTCAAACAGAGCCGTAATCAGACATTTTAAATGATGAAATTTAGTCTGCTGTTTGTCGCAAAATTGTGCGCCAAAATACTTTCTCTTTGAATTTTAAAATCGGAATACTCGAACAAAGTTGAAAGCTACTTATAAACTTTACACAAGAGGAAATTGTTGGTTTTTCATGTAATGGATAAAGTACACAGCGAACGCAGTAAACGTCTGTTTTGTTTCTTATCTGTCGATGGTGCGAAGGGAAACACGTCATACCTTAAATTATCTTTTATATTTCTTTTTTCACAAGCAGAGTGGCTTAGACGGAAATTTAGAATGCGCATTGATCAATGTCTGCTAATATGTGTTATTTTTTTTGATATCGAAAACTTTTAATGATAAGGGATACCCTTCTCTATTTAAACCAAAATCCGTGAAAAAAAAAAGATTGACTCGATAATTTAGGCCTTTCGACTTTTCCGGATAGAAGGTGATGTTGAGACAGATAATTATAACATCATAAAATTTAATGAAAACTGGAGGAAACTTTGCCTTTTCTTTAGATTCTCCTTGCGCACTAAACCTACACTGCATTCTGATAATTCACCTTTTCTTCCTTTTTCCGGAAATTGAAGTTCCATTCATTAATAATCTCCGTAAACTGTGTCTTGTTTAAACGGGATATCGACAGGACTAACCTGAGTTATTTGGGATCTCTTTCAAAGCAAATAAATGGCGTTTAGGTTTATTTGCAAGACATGAACGCAAATAGAACACTATTGCACGAAATTGAATTCTCAGAAACTTTGCAAATGCGATATTTTAATTTACATTTTCGTGAAACACAAAATGCGTATATAGCGCTGGAAAAAAATTGACCCGCATGCGCAGACTGCATTCAGCTTAAAGGGAAATGAGCAAACAAATAAAATTATCAGACATAGGGAAAGAAGGTGATCGCTGAACAACTCTTCACGCACCGGTTTCAGTGTAAAGAGCATGTAGGGCACGTTCAAGGCAACTGGGGCTCAAGCTGTGCATTTGATTGAATTTTTCAGAATGTTTGAGGACAAAGTAATCAACTCCACTCGCAGATTGTGATGGATGTCTGCGTATGACGTAAAAAAGCGACAAAAATACGAGGCGAAACGTACGAGATAAAGAACATTTACGAAGGAAAGAAGAAAAAAAAACAACATCGAGACAGTGGTTGAAGTTCAAAATATGAGTATTGTAGCAGTGGTTTTGCTGTCAGTTCTGGACGTATTCGCTGCCCTAACCAACACCGCTATCCTATGCCTTGTACTGCCAAGAACATGTATGCGTACAGTCAGTAATTTATTTCTCGTAGGTCTGTCATTGACACAGTTTTTGATGACGGTCTTAGTGATTCCATTTTCAATAGTCACCCTCTCGCAACAGTCATGGCAGTTTGGTGAAGGATTTTGCCAATTTCAGGGATTTTTTACTATTTTTCTCTCCATTTCCTCTGCCACATTCATTTCTGTTATTGCAGTGGACAGATATTTTTCACTGGCTAACCCGATGAGCCATACTGCCAGAGTTACATCGACACATGTCCTCTTCACTTCGATATTCAACTGGTTTCGCGCTGCGTTTTGGGCAGCTTTTCCTCTTTTCGGCATCGATGGACTCAAGTACAAATTTGTTCCTTCGATAAATGGCTGCAGATTCCGTTTGGATCTTAAAGGCTCGTACTCTATTTACTATTATTTTATCGCCATGGAGAGTTTCCTTCTCACGTCCTTCACATTGTGCATAATGTATTTCAAGAGCTTTCAAACCGCGCGCAATAGCGCTCGTCAAGTTCGACCAGGGAATATACAAATCCAGGTTTTACAGAATGGCGAATTCACTTCGGTAGCACAAACAAAAAACAGTTTTCAAAGTTTGAAAGCGAATGTTACCTTGGCACTAATCATTGGGTCTTTTTTGCTGACGAGAGGTCCGCTGGCGATTTTCAACATCGTCACCAGCTTCACTAGTGAAGGATATTTTTCCGCCGGTACGGAAACGACTGTGTATTTTATGGTATTTTTAGGGCCATTACTAGATTCCCTTGTGTATGTTTTGCTCAACCGAAAGCTGCGAAAAGAGGTTTTTCTTATTCTGCGCAAGTGTGTCAAAAAAAGATCGGTTGAAGAAGAACCCAAAGACATTGTCGATTATTTGAGGACGCTAACTGATAACTATGTTTCTACGAGAAATTCATCCACAGAAATCAGTTGAGAAACCGTGAAAGACTGATGAAGATGCAATCGAAAAATCCATTTGGTCTAAATGAACCTAACATCTTCAGTAAATCTCAAGATTAGAATTAAGCAAAAAGCAGCGATAGGAAATCAGTAATGCCATTAAAATAAGGGCGAGAAAGAAATTTATATTCCTAGATTACATGCTTTTTTCTTTATCTATTTTAAATTGTGTTTCAACAGCAAACTATAAAATTTATCATACCCCATTCTTATGTTAATATGCCTCCTCGGTTTTCTATTTCAAAATAGTTAAATCCAGTGAAATGGAAAGATTAAAAGCTTGCCTGTTCGCGTATGCGGGAAAGCTTCTAAATGTTTTGCATAATTGTGAAAAAGGAAATGTGATAATCCCCGGCTATTACCGAGAAAACTCTGCTTGTAAATATGTGAATTACTGTTAGGTTCTATAGTGAAACATCTTTAGAGATTTATGAGAAGTTCATAGATTACTTCTTGAAAATTTCCTGAGTACGGATAGTAAGACTGACATTTTAATGATCAGTCTTTGAATAATATCGCTTTAATCTTGCACAGGCCTTTCAGGCGCACATTAATTCATAATTCCGGTTTCGATTTTTCAAACCGGACTCAAACAGCTGGGAATGAATTTTATTTTTTGATGAAATCAGTAGCGAATAAAATTTACCGCCTCTATATATAAGGCATAGCAATCATCAGTGAAACATTAATTATACGAGAAAATCAATTTGTTTTTACGCGCATTTTTGAGTGTACAAATTAATCTGAAGTTTGATTGTATCAGGTCGGTGACATGTGCAAATCCGGCCAACGTTTTCTCGTTGTGCGATCTTGCTTCAGACAAGTGTTTACCCTGGTCAAATTTAGTGACATGTTCTTGGCTTAAAAATGTCAATTCTGTGTAAATGCATCAACATGTAGTCTATATTTCAAGGTGATTTCCTGTGAAATCTCAGACAATTCAGTTTACTGTCTAAGTTCCAAATAAGTTTTCAAGTTGTTTCCAGAACCTAATGTTCTAAAATAGCATACGCATTTAATCTTAATTCGACTAATGTGGGCAGTTGAATAAAATATGAACAAAATTCTTGCAAACATAATTAATCGTCTTTGTTCTTGGGGATCGAGCTACTGTAAATTGCGGTTGTTTCAAACCAAAGAAGGAAATAATAAACAATTTAAAAAAATCAACAACTGAATGTTCAATGCACTCTGTTTCTCTGTTTTAAAATAATAATCGGCTGCTGTCACACTGCGAATTAAATTCGTTACTTGGTTACACTGCGGAAGAAAAAAAATGACTGCATCTTGCAACTGCTAAACAAAGATCAATATGTTTGTGCCTCATTGAAGAAAATAATTTGCCATTGAGATGAGGCATCGAGATGAATTAACTGGTTACATATTGTCGCCGGAGTGAGCGCTTGTTTGAAGTGGACAGGGTTTTTCAGTCTCCAAGATGGTTACGCTGAAGTTGCAGCGACCTTGTGTTCAAATGCACAAGTTCCTCTTCTCTTTTAATCTGGCATGACCCTTCCCCAGAGAAAAGGAGCTATTTTAAGAATTAAGAATGTTTTGCATTCTTTTTACAGAAATTTCATCGGAGAATTTAAACTCTGTAGTACGCGCTTGAGAAAAGCTCGCAGTGTCTTAAAATCCTACTCAGCTTAAAGAGAGGGAAAAAAAAAAAAAACAATGAAGACAGGAAGCAACCAATCAGCTTAGGGTTACTATGCTAGAGGCTCTCTTCAACCCAATCAGGATTCCGGAAACAACTTTGTGTATGTTTTTTTTTTCTTTCTGTTTTTGTTTTGTTTTGTTTTTCAAGTATCGTGCGATCATAAAATAAAACCGTGAATACAGCTGCAGATCTTTCACCTTAGCGGTGTGTTGTTTTACATAAGACAAATCATCGCTTTCGAATCAATTACTGTTTTCAGATTCTCCAGAACTTCTCGTGAATGCTAAATTAAATATAAAGACGAATAAAATCGATAGGAAGAGGTTTCCAAGAAGAAAGTTTCTTGTGCACATAAGTTGACCTTAATTAGATGGATCTGGGTAGATTGCAGCCGCCTTTAATCTTCTGACTTTTCATATTTACTAATGCAACTTCTATTTTTATCTTTCATGAGTACTTATTTACCTTGATAAGTGATTTCTATTTAATGCAATAAAAGAGCACAAAGTAAAATGGAGAAAATATCATCAATTTTTTTTTTGTTAGGAAATTGTTCTTAAAAGCGATGCCTCACTCGTGTGGCAACAAGATAACATTAGAGCTTTAAAAATAATTTCTACTCACGTGTTTCTTTGTATATTTTCGACCCTGGCTTTTTGAAAAAAAAAAAAAAAGCACAGACAATCCATTTTTTTGTCACTTCACTTTCAGGGACCTTAAGAAAATCCTGACATTAGAAGCATTAACGCTTTAACCATAATGTGACAATGACAAGAACTACAGATGAACACGCGCATAACAAATTAGATGGGAACTCCAATTAACAACGTGGAGAAACTAAACATGGCTCGCATTTTCATTTTCAGTTTTAGAATTGATGCCCGGCTTTTTACAGTCAGCAAAAGAGAGCTCTAACACCGACACATCAATTAAATTAATCTAAAAAATTGCGAAATTTATAAATTTCTTTTTCAGTCGTCATTTTCGATGCTGCGGTCGTAATTGTGTATGATTCTTCATTATATGTTGCGAAAATAAACGTTAAAGACTTTACAGGAGGTAATAATTATCGGCTCATGTATGCGTTTTGTTTTCAAGGACTTTTGGTCAAAACAAAGTTGCGACCCGTATGCGTGGACAAGATTTGATCGATTAGCGCGATTAATGTCAAATAATTACAGGAATCTGAATTTCACTTCCTTGCGAACACTTCATCAGTCCCGTCGCTAGTCGCTTAAGCCCTTGAGCCAAGACGTCACTGAGAGACTCGCCCTTATCCCAACCTTCCAGCAGATGATATCAAAGGGCAGAGCCTGGGGACTAGCATTTGTGTTCGTTCACTCTGTAAGCTTTACAAATTTACTGTTATAAAACTGATTCAGTATAAAGGGGGTAAGTTTCCAAAGAAACTGTAGTAATTTAGTTTTATCAACTGAGTTGATAGCGTAAATTAGCCACCGTAAAGAGTTTCAAAGCTGATGTTTCGAGTGTTAGCCCATAGTCGGAGCAAATGGAGGAGTTGTGTGAATCGCTCTGAGGGCTAACGCTCGAAACGTTCGCTTTGAAACTCTTTACAGAGGCCAATACCTTATCAACTCAGTTGATAACACTAAATTACCCTGATTCAGTGTAACCCTTTCTCCCATCGAAAAATGACTTTCAAGAGCTCTCTTGCAGTAATCAGAATGATTGTACAACTCATTTAAAGTAAAAGAATGTGCATTTATTACAAATATCGCACATCTCCTCAGTTAAAATAATGTACACCTATATATAAATCGAAAGGTTTGGCTAAACTTTCTTCTTGCAGTAAACACTGAATACTGTAGTTTGAACATGTTCGTGAGATTTTCCACCGCGTGAAATTCGGAGAAAAAGAGCCAACAACGTCAAAAAGCTCTAACGTAATTTTCTCGTTCACTCAGTGTGGGCAGAGGTCTTTGCCTTGACTGCATTTAGTTATATTGAAGTTAAATAATAATAAAAATAACTTTCCCTTTGATCAAAGTTAAATATTCATATCATTAACGTTCGCGTTTATCAAAAATTTTCTTGATATCTTTAACTGGAAGGTATCAAGGTTAGCACTTGACACAGTGAGAGTTAGGTATTTTAAAACGACACGATTGGTGAGGTCTGTATAAGTGGCATTTGTCAAGCTTGTCGTGGTAAAGACTCAGTTTGAGGGAAATAAAGATGAGTGCGGAAAAACCAAAGTAAATTGTTGTAGTAAACTAAATCGTGGAATCATTGTTAATGATAAAAATAATACTACAACTAATAATGATAGTGATGCTACTAAAACTAATGATAATTCTGAAAATTTCCTTCTTGCTCCTTCTTTCTATAATTTGATCACAACCTCCAAGAAGTCGATCGATTCAAATGATATGAAGCTTCAGCACACCAATGCCGAACGCTTCCTCGGATTGGCTGATACTCGAGCCAATCCCTTAGTTAAAGAAAGTCACGTGTCCGCCTCGGATTGCCACATGCCCTATGCACTATCACGTTAAGCACGATTTAAAGTTCGGTGAAAACCAAAATACTGCCAAAACCCTGATTTCTTATTTCAATAAGGACTGCCTCACGGTATGCATCCCATGTATCACTAGAAGTATTTCAGTCAATGGAATCTTCCACCGAACTGTTATCCCACCCATTCCCAAAGGTTGTCAAGTCTCTGCTGGTTTCCTCCAAGTAAGATAAATGCCTAGTTTTTCTTGTACCAGGGGAGGGGTGATTAAGAAGAGGCTGCATCTGCCCCTTGTGAAGCTGAACTTTCGAGCTCATCTGAAGCTACTGCGACGTCTACCACTAGGGGTCGGGTGGGTGATAATGACACACCCGTCTTCTCTTGTTGGCTCGACTGATCAAGTTGATCAGACTCCAATGATACCTCTACTATTATTGGCGGAGAGGACAATTGTAAGTCGATCTGTTCCTGATTAGGAGTCTTCGCAACGACCTTTTTCACTTTGACATTATCTACAGCAGCATCTCCGTTTTTTGATTGTGTGCTGTTCACAACATTGGTCTCAGACGAGTTAATGTCGACGTCTAAGGCTTCGGAATTTGCTTTGGATTGAGCGGTGGAAGACTGGGAACGATGCTCATTTGGGGACTTGGAACCGTGAGTGATAGTTTTGTGGGAACCTTGAGCGTCTGATTCCTGAGCTTCTTGAGAATTTCCTTGATTTAACAGCACGTTAATAAACGAAGGGGAAACACAAGGAAATGCATGTTGGGCCATCCTGACTAAATCCGCGTTTGACTGCGATTGGTGTGCCTGTGCTCGCAGGTGACTGATCGATTCTCGTTCGGGGTGCGTCGGCGAAGGCAAATCGTCAAGGTCGATCATAACGACATCGTCTTTAGACGTACTGGCCTCCTGGTTCCCGTGCTGGCTACCCTGTGAATAAGTTGATGAGGCTGTTGAAGTAGTACATTGCGACGACTGCACATTCCCCCGAACAGGTGGTACAGGAACACCAGCACGTATAAAGGAAGCCGGTGGGAGATGGAAGCCAGACGAAAGGGGGAGCTGGGGACAAGGATGATGATGAGTGCAGTTAGGACCGGTTGTCTGAGTTAGTAGAGGAACCGATCCAACAGGATAAACCGGTTTTGGAACGAAGGGTTGGTTGTTTCTGAAAAAGATACCTATATATTTAAGATTTGTTTCATAGGACTAGCATACTCATGGCATTCACAACCACTTGACGCAGTCCTAAACATCATCGTCATTACAACTAAATTTGCGCAAAATCTGAAATAACCCTGTTTTCCATACCTGCTATAAACCGGTTGTATAACACCAGGATAGTGCTTTTGTCCTTGCAAGGCTAGTCTTTTCTCCATTTCATACCCTGCGAAAAAGACAAACAGCTTTCGTTAATGCTGTCGCATTAACACTTAATTTTTTTAAATTTTCAATCCAAACAAAGCGTTGTTTTGCTTCCGAACCAGTTCATTTCCAGCATTTCTGGGAAAGCAATTAAACAGTTTATTAAAACATAGCTTCCTTCCTCCTCAGGGGTCGAACCAGAAAACCAACTGGAGTCAATGATCATACCTCGTTCTTATCAATGGGTACAGTTTTCCTTGCGCTTACGCCAAGTTACACCGTATTTCCCTGCCGTGGCAGCAATTGAACAACTTGTACTATTTGGTACAAACAGCAAGTTTATCCGCGCGTGGCTCAAACTACGAGTTGTCCCGCACTCACAAAAAAATGCACATCTCGTGCATTGCCAAAGGTTCTAAATTTACCGCCCCTAACAAAGGTTTCATATTTCCGCATTTCAATGCATTTCCCCGCATTTTAAACTCTCTTAAAAATAATGTTATACATTTTGTCATGCTTGGCAAAGGATTTGAAGGGGGGGGGGGGGGTATGGAGGATTTTCGTCACATAGTCCTTCCATTTACTCTCTGATATTCTTATGACTTCCTCTCCCCTTTTATTGACTGTTAATCAGCGGTCAGTTTTCTACAGCCCCTTCTTTGTACTATATGGCGACGACTGACTTTCCCCCCCCTTCCCAGCCCTCCGTCCCCCCTGAAAAACATATGATCCCACCTAAATCCCCCCCCTCCTTTCCTAGGATATAAATTAGGACTGGTCCTTCACGCTGATCTTAACGATGGATGACAACTGGAACAGAGCACACACGTCTGAATACCTCTTTTGGCTTCTCGCTTCTCTGCCTTTGTCAGCTTCATTTCTTTTCTATCCACCAGAAGTGAGTCGTGCTTAAAAGGCACCTGGAAACCAACCAAGGCGAGTGAAACATACTTCTAAAAGATCTTGACAAAGTCAAAATGGTCCTATTTTAGACACTAGTGACAGATTTTAGAAGAAAGAATATCACTTGACTGACCTTGGAGATCCAAGAGTTACACTGTCGACACAGTCTGACCAACACGGGATCACTGAACTGGTCAGCGGCTGCTGATAAGTCAGCCGCGGGAGAAGTAGCCTCCTTTAAAAGCAAATAAAACGAATCAAACAAGAACTCGTCGTGCGATTGATTACTTTGAGGGAGAGGGTGGGGTTAGATTGAAGAGGCAGTTGCCTTAAAACTTTGGGCGGTTATCTATAAACTGATGTGAATAAAGAAAAGCGAAGTGAAACTCACGAGGAATTATAGAACTCTTTCCGTTTAAAAACATTTCAAAAAGTGCAGTTTACCTTCTCACAAATTAACTTCATTATTTCTTGTTTGGTGAAGTTTGCCTCCGGATTGAGCTCGTCGACGATTCGATCTATAGAGCAGAACAAGAATTATCGCTGATTTGATCGAAGCTCAATTTGCAGAGCACCCTTGGAAAGAAGAAGCAAAATTTCAGGGCTATGTCGAACCATAAAGCAGGTATGGGAAATCTGCAAATGATTTAATGTTATAGTTCTTTACGTTACATGATTAGCAAACGTTACATAACCCAGTCTTCACAAAGAGGAGAGTAGGAAGATACTAGTGTTGTGATGTTGCCTTTTTCTGCGCTATTGTATACTAGGATGGAACGCGGAGAAATTGGCTGATGAAGTAACCCCTTAAAATCTCCAGGTAATTTCAGTTTTCATGCCACTAGCTGCCTTCAAGTTACAAATTGTTGCCATCGCAGAATCAGAGAACAACTTAAAGAACACTTAAGTTACCATCAGCGTACAATACTTACTAGCCATGCCTTGCTTCGATATTTGTCGATCATAAATCTTCTTTTCCATTGTCCCTGTACTGATAAGACGGTAAATATGAACCGGCTTCAGCTGTCCATAGCGATAAACCCTATAAAAATAAATAAATACAAATTTTGGGTCAACTCAGTAATAACCACGAGGCCACTTTAATTTGTTTCGCTCCAAACACAAGGCTTTGTAGCTCAATATGCAGAAGCACCTGAGTGGTCTCTGGAAGGTTCAGGCTGTAGCCAAGTGAAAGCCTGTTTCCTTTTAACATGCTTACCAGCCAATCAAAACACAAGATTATATCAAAAGGAGCCAATGATGGAGTCTTTGAGACTCTAGAGTAAAAATAAACAAACGGCTTGAAGCGCGGGAAAACGCGAGTTACCAGGTTGCGGTCGATTTCGTCCTCAATCTGATTGGTTTAGATTGTATGGCGCGAGTTTTCTGGATCAATCACATATTAAAATGAAACAAAACCAAGGGAGTTCCGAATGACTTTCGACACTCAATTGAAAATTGTTCTGGCAGTGAAGATCAATTGTCACTGATGACCTGTGTTAAATATAGTAACAAAGAAAAGAAATTTATCGCCTGATGAAACAAAAACAAAATGGTCTTTTCATACCTACACACAGCCTGCACATCATGACACGGATTCCACGAAGCATCAAACACAACAACACGGTTTGCACCAATAAGATTGATACCAAGACATCCCGCCCTGGAAGAAGGACACGAGGAAATTTAGAATACTGCAATGTACATGCCATTCGTTGAAACTAAATTAAAAGAAAAGATTTTTACCAAAATAATAGTGATCAGTTTTAACTTTTGAACTTTTATCAAAAAGTGCTATTCTATCCTATTCATTTCGTAATCACAAATTCGGTTACTCATGAGCCAGACTTCAAACTAGTTTCCAGCTCTGCACAAAACCATCAAAATACTAAAGTTCTTTGAATTTTTGTATGTCTTCAAGAGACACTCTCCAAAGACACCCAACATTTAAAGGCCTCAAGAGATACGTTTTTTCCCTCTTATGGCTCTCTGTCTAATAAAAATAATGTAAATGTAAACTCTTCTCATTAATAACGGTGATTTTATTGTCAATAGGACGTTGAAAATGATTAAAAAGTCACTTCAATTAATCTCCAAAATCCGTGGGGACAGAGTGCCCGTTGGTTGGTTGATTTGGGCAAATAGCAAGAGATTCCTGGACCAATCACAGAGTGAAGCAAAAGCTTACTCTGAAGTACTTTGACACTTGACAGAAAATTGTTCTTGTACACAACTATCGCAGACCTTGTTGACAACATAAACAGCAAGACATCAGTGTTGTCTGGAGCGTTGAAACGATTGATGAGCCTTTCCCTCTCTTGTGCCGAGGTGTTCCCATCCAGCCCTACGAAATACAACCATTGGGACCATTGACTCTCTGCTCATGCTCACATGTATCAGCAGTCTCTCTAACAATATGGGTTCACCATTTCTCGGCCGCCCATGGACGAAGGAAGAAAGGATCGAAGAAGATTAAAATAAAGGAAAATGCCGTGCCGCTTCGTAACTCAGTAGATAGTGACGCCCAAATATTATCTGGTAATTCATGGTCCCCTGGCCTAAGATTTTTTACCTTTCATAACAGAACAAGTAGAAGTGTAGAACACATTCAAAAAGTACAAAACATTAGCCATGGCTACCGTAGTTGAAAATGGCAATTAACAAAAAGGAGCTTACGATAATAACTCTTGTTCTTAGCCCATCTTGTAGACTTTCCCGTATCAGTGACCCGACCAGGGAAAAAAGGAACATCACGCTTAGAAAGGAATTCCTCAATCACACTCAAGGTGGACAGGCTCTGACTGGAAGAAAATAGAAATAAAAATACAAAGTTGACATAGATGACTAAAATCCCATTTTATTATACCTCAACATTGAACCTCTCATAAAAACACACCCCTGGGGATAAAGACCGACAACTTAACCCTTAACTCTCTAACCTCTTTCAATGAGTGACACACAACTAATTTCCCTTCTACCATATCACCCCTGAATCAAACATCAAGGCCACGAGCATAAACGAAATGATCCCCAACTAAAGACACTTTTGACCGTTAAACAAATTCTCCTAATCTGCACGTTAGGAAATGAGAGGAGAACAGTATAGAGAAAAAGCATACTGATGTTAGGGTGTAAAGAGTTAACACTTCTCCAATAAATGATTGACATGAAACTTCCCACAGTATATTTTCAACACTCCATCAACCAAAATAGCAATAAGGAAAGTAATATCCAACTGTCTACCATTGCTGTATCTCGTCCAGTTTAACTCTTTAGCTCCCAGAAGTGACAAACATGTTACTATAACTTCTCCCTAAAATATCTATACAACATCCAGCAAACAGGTAATGAGAATACTCAAACTTATCAGGTAGAAGTGGTCATCTTGATCTAACACCATATTCTCAAAACATATTTACAAGGAAATATGTCGCAGCCAGAGGGGAGAATCCACAATTAGATCTTGGTAGTTTAAGGGTTAAGAACAAGGTCTCAAAGCTTAGTGTAAAGTGTTAAAACAGTTAGGAAGAGTGAATGAAAACTTTCTTTACTCAACAACTGAGTCCAAAATTTACCATCTTCTGTCATGTACTAAGTGAAATACTAGAGAGTAGCAGTGCTCAAGAGAAAAAGCAGATTATTTGTTCTTTTTAATTTTAAGCTTCTTGAACCTTACCTAAAAATGAGAATTTTTTCTCCCAGTTTTAAGCTTTCTTCTATAATCTCCATCAACACAACAAGTTTGCCACCATTTTTCATCACTCCAACTTGGTAGTCTTTGAACAGAGTCTTGGCCTGAACATCAAAAAGGATCACATGATTGAATTATAAATTCTCATACAGACCTCACTAAATTTGTATGAGTTGGTGGATTTAAATAATGCATCACAACCTTCTCTCTTCACAGACATTTCCCTAATTATTCCTTTATCAACCTTGGCAGGCCACACTGATACAGACAGACACAGAAATATTTTCTTTGGTTGGTAAACCAGACAAAGATTTCTCCTTACTCCTTTCACTCACAAGATCTCATTAGTGATTCTCTTTTCTGTCTGCCATATAATTCTTATGATGATGGTTGGGAAAATTTGGCATTAGATCAACTAATTATCCCCAAATTGATACTTTTCTTTATTCTCATCACTTTTCTGCTTGATATTGTATTGATATTGTAAGAAGAAATTCTGTCTTGATCACTCACAGGAGTTGAAAGTTTCACCAATGAACTTCTTTGGGTGAACAAAAAGTATGGTAATATGCTAGAATATGGCAAGAAGATAGGACAAAAAATTAACTATGGTATATTGCTTGATTCAGTACCAAAATTATCATAACCAGAATTGGGAGAGATGTATGTAAGCCAGTGAAGAGAACTATTGTCAAGATCTCAAGAGTGAAAGAGAGATCAACTCTGGAAATCATCTGCCCGCAAATAATTATTGCAATCATTGCAGGAAGAAATGAGTTAAAAACATCTTTTTGTGCCATATTACCTCGCTGTTCAAGTATTCACTCATAAAATAAATATCGGGATTTGCCCCCATTTTCACATGAAAAATGAGATGACTACAGAATGTGTTACACAAACAATTTCTTTTCATGACACATGTGAGGCTGCACACGTTGAAATCTGAGAGCAGCAATGACTAGCAAAATAAATATTCATCCATTAAAAGCTGACTCACTCATAAAAACTGATCAACTCACCCATGTCATATCTCCCACAAGAACACAACTGCGATCCATTTGTGCTGCTACTGTTTGAATAACTGACACTGAAGTATCTTGTACACTGCGGCTTGGTTGAGTTGTTGTGGTTACTGTCTGTTCTGTTTGTGTGGTAGCTTGAGAAGAAACAGGGACAGGATCAGTTTTAACTGTCTGGGAATTTGCTGATGATGGAAAATAAGGAGATACAACTGATCCTGAAGAATGATTCTGTGAGAGTCCTGCAGCACTTGAATTTGCTCTCGTTTCTTGGTTCAGTGTAGATGTGGTGGCAGACATTATGTCTGAAGGAGAATTCCTCTTTGAACTTTGTGATGATCCATTAGAATCTTCAAGAATTGTCTGAGAGAAAGAAATTATTTAAATTAGTGTAAGCAAAGGCAATTTAGATTAAGTCACAGCTTAGCCAAAAAAATTTGGTCTGTAACTTGCAGCATGGACCTCAAATTCAGTTCGTAAGCAGCATTTACGTATTCTATGCTTACCAAAGGAGACTCATTCCTATCAGCATCCTTCATATCCAGTGAGTGGTAAAATATGTCAGGATGGTTCCAAATCTACCAAAGGATATGTTTTATATTGTAAAATAGTGGGATATATGTCATCTTATTTACGTGATAAGTAGGATTATCCAGAAGATGTTACATAAAGTAATCTTTTGTTCTTACCACATTTTGATCTTATCTGTCACATATTACCAAAACAGATGACATATTAACCAAAATTATGTGCTCTTCTTTGACTGGGAGGCATCTTGTAAGAACTGCTTGACTACGTCTAAAAAGAAGTAACAGAAATAATTGAATGTATGAATAATTATAAAATTAATGATATATAATATTATATTTTTTATCATTTTTTATAGTCTTTATCTGGTTTTATTATTAAGTAACGTTTGCATTACAATTGAAATGATCATGCTAGTACATTTGTACAAGGTGGTGTCATGTGTTTTAAAACCCTGGTTGATGGGATTGATGTAAATATTAGAAAATCAACAGAAAAACGATTCCCTCTTTACGGGAGACGATCAACAAATGTGTTGTACAGTTCTTTCTGGATAGCTGACATATTAACCAAAATTAAAATTGTTTGTTTAGGTGTTATCTGATTTTGTTTGACTGGGAGGCATCTTGTAAGAACTGATCAATTTTTCAACTCACGCCATAACAGAAAAAGAAAGTAACAGAAATGAAATTGTTCAAGGATTATGAATAATTATAAAATTAATACATAAATAAATTCTTGACTTCAAGTGAACAAAAAACAGAATAAATGCCTAGATCTTAGAACCTGACAACTCCTCAGCTTGGGCAAAACCAGTTAAATCAATAACCTCTAACCAAACTAATAAAAAGAAGGCACCTGGAACTACTCTTATTGTGTATTTCCTTAGTTTTTGGGTTTGCTGTTAATTATCGTCTGAAAGTAAGTGTATTGAAAGAAGGTCAGAGGAAAGTATTTTTCATACTAACACAAGTTCTTTGAACTATTTTACCTTTGCACAAATCCTTCGAGCAGACTGTGGAGTACATGGGCTCTGTATCTCATAATCTTCACATCCTAGATAACAGCGAAAAAATTTATTATAACCTGTACTTCTCTTGACTTTATGGTCATACTCTACCATTGCTGTCACATACTGCAACATTTTAATCAAAGGCAAACAAATTTTGTCTTCATGGTGATTCTATAGAGCTTAAAAATCTTTTTCTTAAAATCAGAGTAAGTGAATAACACATCTCCTTAAAATATTCCTTTTGGCTTTCTTTTTCCTATTCGATAAAAGCTGTTGTAAGCAATGCACATTACATACAGATCAACAGAAAGTTTGCCAAGTTTGTCTTCTTTCACTCTAGATCAAAGTCAGTATCTGAGCGACTGCTTACCTTCCCTCACCCCTCCCCAAACCCAACAACAGTTGACTGATAACAATTTAGGGTTGTTATTAGGTAAAGGGGAGGGGTAGGTGCACAGTTGCCAAGATACTGATATTGATCCTTCAAGCTTAATAATAAATTTCCATGACTTTCATGTGCCTACTCTTGTCTTTATTGCTTTCCTGAGCCAAACGTCACAGAGTTAATTCAGGATAATGTGTTGATGAACCCTGTATTTAATACTTACTGATGGAGTGCTGTCAGAGCATTGTCCATTGAGTATAGGTCTCTCAAACATGTTGCAAAACTCCTGTTTGGTTCCCAGAAAGTTGGGTCGGACAAAGTCTACCATGCACCAGTATTCCTGAAGGTTGTTTTGCAGTGGATATCCTGTTAAAACGACCCGCCGTCTAATGAAAAAAGATTTATTACATAGCTAGTAATACCATTATACACAGTGGCCTACTAGTCAGTGCAGTGGACTCCAGGTTGAGGGGTATGGGTACAGACCTGGCTGAGACATTGTTTTGTGAGCTAGTACAGACTTTACCTTAATACTCATGAATAAGAAAAGTGTGTTTGATCGCTAGTAATTTTTCTTTGTTCTGATTGCCCAGATAAATCTAGGGAAAGTAGACTTGCGAGGCTGCTTTCATTCAGTCTTAGTTGCAAAGTTGAATGAAGCAATCAGGTTTAATTTTAGCTCAACTTCTTGGTAATGGACTTGATACAAGAATAACAGGAAATGATAACAAACTAAGGAACTTCTTGATTGTTATACAAATTCTCTTTGTCAGCATATTAGAAAATGTGCACATGGAGGTAAGGAGAATATGCATACTGACGTTCATACCTGGTGTGGATCTTCTTTAGTGCCTGTGATGTATTTGCCTGGTCATTCTTGATTCTGTGCCCTTCATCACAAATGACTAAGTCAGCACCGGGTTTACACAGTGCTCTCTGAACTCCTGTGAGTTAAAAAGCAAAGTTATAACTTTAAAACACTCTATTTCCTTGGCAAAAGATGTTTTTTTCTCTGGTCATGAGCAAGGGACAAAGAAAAATTTTGGGTCCCCATGAGGAATCGAAAGTCTGACTTTGTGATTCCATGCTCCAATGCTTAGCCACAAAGACTCTACCATGGGCAAGGCCATCACAAAGTCCTTATGAGATGCACATCCTGAATGCTGCTAGGATCAGCAGTGTACATAGTGTCATTTTTGTAAATAGAATTAGAGAAATGGTGAACCCTATTTCCTCCTCTTAAGAAGCTCAGTAAACAAAACATAAATACAGTCATGTCGAGAAATTTCTTCACTCTTTTTCAAGTGTGACAACACTGATTTTTTAAAACCAAAAGGAACCCTATGTAATAACCATAAAAAACAACTTACCAATTAGTAGTTCCATGTGTTTTTCCTCTTCATCAAGATCTATAACTTCTGGTTCACCATTCATTTTGTCAAGAGTTGGTGATTTCTTCTTTTTCGTTGGCATGCTCTTGGCACTTGACATGGAGGGTGTCACAGTTGACAGAAGTCTATACAGCTCATAACCCATCAGAAGTACTCCACCATTGTGGTTCCACTCACCTTAACATTTGTGGCATAAAGAAACATTGCACTTGTTACATGTAGAAAAAAGGAACTCATAAAAAAACACAAAAAATAACTTAACAGTAACAAGTTTGGAAATTTGGGCCATGAGGTAAAACCCAAACACAAGAGCCTGCTCGCAGACTAAACAGACCACTGTAACAGGTCTTGTAGGCAGCAGAAGACAGCTGGTAAGCAGCCTTTCTTGAAACTCCTGAGGTTAATTTTGTTTTACTTGTATCCATAACAATTTGCAGGTTGCAAACCTGCTAAAAAAGGTTCACATACCTATAACTTTGGCCCTAGCCATTGTAGTCTTGTGATTTTCACCCAACAAGTACACCTCAAATTCTCTGTAATGAACTGTGCTAGAATCAGAACTCTCCACAAAGGTTCCATTGCTATCTGTAATGAGCCCTGGTTTAGGTGGCAACCACATGTTAAACTCCGCTTGCCAGTTTTGTATTGTGTTAATTGGCACAACACAGAGCACTTTCTTGGCTGTGGTGTATCTCAAGAATATGTCAATAAAACTAACCACTTGAAGAGTTTTACCAAGACCCATTGAATGGGCTAAAATACAACCAAACCCTGTGCTGACTTTGAAGCGTTTTAGTGTCTCAACAAGGTTGTCATACAGGAACCTGATCCCACCAATCTGTGAGCAAAAGAGAAAAAACATATTAATGAATAATTATTTTTTGATATTATTTAACCCTTCCAATCCCAAGACCTCATTAGCACTTCTTATTACTGTCTGTCATACAATTTTTATGATGTTAGTTCAGAGAATTTTTTATTTGATCAACAACTAATTGACCTCCTGGCTGACTTTTTTGCTAATCTCATCACTTGTCTGCCTGATATTGTAAGGAGAAATTCTGTCTTGGTCACTCATGGGGGTTAAAGGGTAAAGGTGGTTTACTCATGAAAGCAAAATAAGCTGTTTTAACCTTATGAACCATTGAGAGTGACAAGCATCTAATTTCTTTTTACAATATCAACTCTGAATCACACATTGTGGTTGCAAGAAATTCTCCTTGTCAGCACTTTAGGAAATGTAAGGAGAACTGTATGTGGAATATGCACAATAATTTCTAGGGTGTAATGAGTTAAGTAGTGGCATATTCTACAGGCAACATTAAGCATACAAGCTGTATGATGTAATAATTTTTTTGAATACCCTACCTGGTGTGCTTTTATAACTCTAGCAATCTGTGGGGCAAGAAAAATGTCTTCTTCATCAGCAGGATGACTGACATTAACAAGCACTCGTCCTTGCAAATCAGGTTTATTGAGACTGTCATCAACATGCAACCCACTGTTTTCATAGTCAACATCCTTCCGTTTACAAGGAGTGGCATCATCATCATCATAATCTTCATCATCATCGTTATCACTGACATCATCAACCTCTGAATCTGAACTAATAATCTCAATAAACTCTCCATTAACATTCTCAGCTGCTTGCTTTAAATGATCACAGTTAACAGCTGCAGTGGAGGGTCTGGAATCTTCATCATCATCACTATCAATAACAATCACATGCGGTTCAATGTCTTTCTTCTCTCTGGCGTCTACAGCAATTGGGGTTGAGGGCCTCGATGAAGCACTCGTTGATGCTGAGCTTAAATTTTCACCAATTTTAGAAGTACTAGTGGAAGATGCTGCTAAGCTTCTTTGAAGTTCAAGTCTTCGGAGTCGCTCACGCTCCTCTTTTTGGGCCGAAATTGTAACCTCTGTCAGTTCATCTTCGCGCAAAATTCGCCGAATTCGCTTTCGTTTGTTGGGGTCGATCTGCTTTCTTTTTCTCTTTGTTTTTACTTCTTCATTATTTTTTGCGGAAGTCACTGTCTCTTCAGCATCCAACTCTTCTCCATCTTCTTCGTCTCCTTCGAGATCGTCTTCGAAACCAAGTAAACTATCGTCTTCGCTGTTGTAGCTACAATTTGACAATCTGCCTGCGGCAGAGCCGTTGTCCTCCGCATCACTGTGCACCTGAATTTCTGCCCCATTACCTTCCATTAGAAACTATAGGATAGTGGATGACTGATTGGGTTGTAAAGTATCTTCGTAGATCGAAGAAGAACAAACATCAACGTAGCAACAACTCAAACACACGCTGCAACTTCACTTGAATTTTCATGTAAAACTCGCTCAATTAAGACTAGTCAGCATTAGAGCTGGAGAAAAACACAAGTGTGAAAAGGGATCCCTAAACATCCTTAATAAACTAATCGATGATCCTTTGAAGGAAGCTACTTTGTTTCACTCACAAGGTCTATAACAATGATAAAAGGGACATACTTCTTTCCTCCTCTCGTCTGCAATAAATCCGCCATGTTTGTATCGACACAATAGGAATTCGTAGCCAGGCCTTCATAGCAGGCTGCAGGATTCCTTAGGGGCCGGGTGGGTGTCGGAAATGACTGTGCTCTCCTATACCACGATCACGCGTTCTTTTCGAGATAACAGAAACTAAATTTCCAAGTCTGCGGTCTCGTAAGATTAAATTGAACGCTTAATCGTGGATGAAGGCACACTTTGGAGAGAAAGACATCTTTGAAGTGTGAGAAAGAAGATGAAAGGGATATAGAATTAAGTGATGGGAAGCTAGTTAGGGTTGAATGAAAATATTGCATTATATATTCTACAGATTTATCGAACGCTTTGAAACATGTAAAGTCTTTTAATGTTGTCAGTCATTCAATTAATCAGCTGCTTGGTCCTTTACCTCTATGCATTGAGTTTAGTGCCATTTGGAACCGAACACTTCAAATTCCTTGACAGAGAAGAATTCATTTTAAGATATTCTGCCCAAATATCCACAAGTTGGCTTTGCAATTGTCATGGCATAATCAACAAAAAAAAATTTAAATGTGAAAGGACTTAAAACTGATCAACTATGGGTTACTCAAATTAAAATCAAAGGGGCAACAACAATGCTTCACACAATAAATTTATTTCAAACCAAATTAAAGCACACTTAGATGAAAGTTTCTAAAGATGCTACACATAAAATTACAAGCACCAAGAAAATTAATAATGTCATTAATATTATCAGTTTATTTGATTCCTTAATAAAACATTTATTTTCACTTCCACCAAAATCCCCCTTTCCTGATCCTCATTTAAATTAATCCTTAATTAAGACCTGCATTATAAATAGATATTAAGTATATTTTGGGTATTGAAATGTTTAACAAAAACTACAGTAAATAAAAGAGTTGTACAGAACAAAACCCTTCGTAACTCTGTGGTTGACTTCAGGATTGCAAAGCATAACTTTAAATACCAAATTTGAACCAGAGGTTTAAACTTGGTGTTATCATTTTCCTAGAGTACCAAATAAATAGTTTTCTGGCTACGAAAATAACTGAAACTAGATAGAGATGTGGAAAATGCTAGGAGTCAATTTACATTGTGATTGGTGAAATAATTCTTGCAAGTCCCTTGGGTGTTTTTAGAAACACAATACTTGACTAGCACTCATTCAAAAACTTTTCAATGATTTGCTCTAACCAGAAAGCTTTCTTCAGTTCTTGATTGTGATTGAAAAAAAGTTATCAACAAGATCCTCCAATAAAGATTACACTGAAAAATTTTTCTACTACAACAAACTAAAGTCAGGGTTGTCAAAAGAAGCTGGCAACTGGCGTATTTTACAATCTGCTCTGAAAAACACATTGGCTATTCCAAAAGCTGGTGGTTCCCATAGCCTTTGCCTGGAGCTTTTCACCTCTAATGCTGCCTACTTTAGGAAGTAGTCCAGTTGCTCAAAATCTTTTTGACAACCCTCAGGGTAAATACAGCTGAATTCTCCTTTTGGAATAGAATCAGTTCCAGCATAGAAATACCATTTACTAATTACAGTATCTCCTTAATATGGTATTTTTGCCCTACCAAAGCACTGAAATATTTGAAAAATTTCACTGTTACACCCAGAAAAGGAAAAACTAGTATGGAATCTTGAATGACAGTTCTTTAAAATTAAAATAACTTTTACTGAACTGAAAATCTTTCATGAGAAACTTAAAAAGTACAAAAAGCCTGCGTCTGAAGATCAAATCTGGTCTTTGTGAAAAATATCCCAAGCAACATGCAATAATCCGTTTTACATAAAAATATAGCATTATGTAAGAACTGTAACATTACAGATAACATAACAGAAATATAATCTAGCATTAAGTATAGGCATCATAAGTAAGTCACATACCACTATTAATAATAAAAATAAATGAATTTCAATTCACATGCATGGCACATTGTCCTGTACAGTAAGAGTTTTACTGCCAGTAACACTATGGTATTGTTGATTCAGTTGACAAAAATCCAAGATACAAAGGTGTTGGAAAAAACACAGGAGATATTCTTGCCAGCAAGAATACTTTCTTTTAGCCCAGCTGTTAGTATTTTTTGCCACACTTTTGTATCATGACTACAACTAAGTTATGCTAGTTTTAGCCCACAGCCATACTTTTCATGAGCAATATTTTACAACTTGGCACAGCCAAGAAAACTGCTCTTCCTTACAATAAGTGCAAGTAAGCACTCAGAATACTATGATAGTTATCACCTCTACATGTGGTGGAACCTCAATAACTTGAATGGATTCTCCCTTGATGTGCATTTTGCAGTCAATCAACTCAACAAATTCCCTAGTACTGTGAACTGTATTAATTTTCATCTGCAGTTCAAATTGTCGACTGAGGTTCTACCATATGCTTTTCAAGCAACGATTGTAAATGCTCAATTTTTGTATGTAAATTTTTCATTAGGATTTCTAAAAAAATCTAAGTTTTTTGCAGCAAGATATGCAGACACAAAGAAAAGTCACCTTTACTTAGTTATCAAGTCAAGGCACAGGATCATTTAAAAACTGCACTCCAAATTTTCTTATTTAAGTCCTCCAATGAAACAAATTTCAGTCTCATTCTCTTAGCAACCATCACACTTTCATCACTCCATAACATACCCACAAATGAAAACAGAGAAATTAAAGATATACAATAACACTGGCTTGTGAACAATGATATTAAAATGTACTTCAAATCTTAAATCTTTAAACTGGTAGAGAGAGCATGTAGTTACAGACCAATCATTCTAAATGCTAAGCAAATGCCACTAGGGAAATTCCCTGTGTTGAGCTCACATGAAAAAAAATTATTGCTGTTTTAATATCAACAATCAATTGATACTGCAAAAGCAAGTATAGGAGCTGACAGAACAAATTTCAGCCCCACAATGTAAACACAAAATGAAAGACTGAACAAAACATTTAAGAATTCATATTTAAAGAAAAATTTATCTAGTTTGGCCAAAATGCTCCTCTTCAAGGAAATTTCACCAGAATTAAACCTGCTACAAGTATGCTTTCATCCCTAACTTTCCCTTACTGTTAGTTACTTTACCAATAAATATTATTTTTACTGATGATGATTTAAATAAATAAATTTTTTACATCAACACTGATTGCAATAAGGATAGCAGAAAATTACTTAAAAGAGAACAAATTTGACATTAATCTAATATATATTGACTTGAGACCATTTCGGAGGAATAGTCTCAAGCAAAATTATGGGAATCATTTTGATTTAGTCCTTGAGGGAATCACTGATCCATGTTGTTCTATACATTAGCAAGCAATTTATAACTTTAATAGGCGGGCATTGGTTTGCTTTAATTTTACCATAACAATAATCTTCTTTTCAGTAGAATGTAGCTTACAGTCTTAAGTTCATAGCTTGAAAAACAACAGATAAGGAAAATTATTTTAATCATTTTCTACTGTGCAAGCTTGAAATTCTGATTTAAAATGACAACATCAACAAATAGAGTGAAATAGAGAAAGAAAAATTGAAATCATAAAAAGTCTACCTACAAAGGCATTGAACTTGATAAAGGAAGTAAAATCTCTCCATGATAGGATATATGAAAATGGCTGATGTGAACAGAAACCCTTATTTAGAATCTTCATTCAAATCCACTTGTGTATACTTAATTTTATATTCCATTAAATAAGGGAGTGGTCATAAATACAATTTCAGTCACACAATCCAAAGAAATTCCTCTGTGTTTTAAAATAAATATCATGGCACTTCTCACAAAATATGTGCTTAGAATATCACGCTAGAAACCATTCTTGCTCAACAAATTCTTAACTTTTTGAGGCAATGACTAACTCATAGTCATTGATGTGGTTAGCTATTCACAAAACATTGTAAGTGACTAATGAGCTAGACAGATGTTGTTCAATCATAGTTATGCTGCTATATAAAACAGCTGTTCTATCTGACCACCTCCCATTTCTTCACCAAAAGTAAATCTTACAGTGCAGAAAGGAAAAAAAAAGCTGTGTTCCCATTAGTAATGAAATGTAAATTTTCCCTATTTGCTTACTCATATGTAAATTCAAAACTTTCTATTTTCTTTTCACTGTGTAGTTACTATCACACAACTAATCAAGAAATAGAATCAGACAGAGCGTTTTGCAGCAGCTTACAAGTTTGTTCATCAAACATGTTCATATATTAAACAGTTCTCAGGGAAAGATATATGCTTTGTGGATATTTGAGCCAGTTAAATTTCCATTTCTCAAAAATTCTATCTGACAACTGTCAATCTAAATGGACTAATATTGTTAAATATGTAACATGAAGGAAATCAAATTTGATACTAATGAAAGTGGAAACACATTTCTGACTAGGTAAAATAAAATTCTCAAGTCAGTCAGAGAACTTGCTTTTAATTTTCCAAAAAATCCTTCCATTGGCCAGTTCAACTGGCCAAAAATTACTGATGTTCAACATAAATTCAAATGAGGGAAAGAAACAAAACTCAAATCATAATGATCAGTGTAAATAAAAAAGAAAAGTGTCAAATTATTTTTAGTTATGATGGAATCATGCTTAAACTGCAGATGAGACTTAATAACAAGTACATCTTGACACATTTTTCATCATGTAAATAATAACTTGTCCCTTCAAATTTAAGTCACAATGTAGTTAAGCTGATAAAATTCCCCATGACAACTGTGTAGTTGTCACAAAGGTTAACAAACATTAATATTCTAGATCACGATTCAAGACTCTTTCACAAGACACCTAGATTTGTTTCATGCTAGAATAAAAAGTACTCACTTAGATTTCACCTTGAACAATTTCAAGCGATCATACACATTTAGATTTTTATGGCATACCAGCTGAGTGCAAGTTGAATTGCCTTGACGAGCTATTATGGTTGACCATGCCAGGAAAATATTCCAGATTCGTACAATTCTGCCATACTTTTCTGTCATGGCAGCTTGGGTTTGGGGCTTCATCCAATTATCGTACCAGTGATTGATTGTCAGCGAGTAGTGTACCCCAATGGTTTCTGAAGAATGGACTTCAAAGCCAGCCTTCTCCAGTTGAGTGACAACCCAACCCAATGGACAGCTTGCATCTGCACCTGGGAAGATATATTTTGCCATAAATAGACCCCAAATGAAATCTTCCCACTGCCAGGTTCGACGCAACCCAGCAATTTGAAGGAAGAAGATGCCATCATCCTCCAGCATGTCACGAACCTGGGCCAGGAAGGATTGAAATTTCCTCACACCAACATGCTCTGCCATTTCCAGACATGTGATTTTGTTGAATTTCACGTTTGGTATATCACGGTAGTCTAGGCAGAGAAATTTACTGCGGCTACCAAGCTTCTTCTCTTCTGCTACTCCCTCAGCCCACTCTACTTGACGATTGGCTATAGTAACGCCAGTTGAGTACGTTCCGTGATTTTCTGCTGCATAATTGACCAGGGTACCCCACCCACAGCCGATGTCTAAATGCCGCTCGCCTTCTTTCAACTGACACTTTTCGCACACGCTCTTCAGCTTGTTCACCTGTATATCTTCGAGATTTTCCGTTTCATCTCTACATATTCCTGATGTGTAAATCATCATGGGGCCAAGAAATCCGTGATAAAAGTCATTGCCACGGTCGTAGTGATCACAAACTTGTTCGGCGTCTTGATTCCTTGAATGAAAAATCACTTCAGGAATAAAATTACAGAGCAAAAACTTGATATGTTCAAATGTCAGTTCGTAGGTACAGAATTGGTGACGGTTTTCTAAAGCTTCTAGCACATCACATTTGAAGTCTAGCTTGCCATCAGCATAAGCCTCGTAAAGGACTATCATTGGTATTTTTCGATTGGCGTATTTTGAAGCGAGAACCTGGTCTGTGAATTCAATGAACCGTTTGACATTCGTTGATTTCGTACCGCTTTCAGCGACACACATTCGGTTGAATGCCACCATGAAGACACCAAATACTGGCAGAAACAAGACGGCGAAGGTTAGTGGATAGCACCAATAAGGCAAACCCAAACTATACTGTACCAGGGCCGGAGTGACAAAGAGAAGGCCGAACAATGCTTTGTATGAAATTTTGTGCCACGCCAGTTGATCAACTCCATTTAGCTTTTTCCCCGTCGCAAAGCCATTTGCTTTCGGTCCGCCGTTTCGAATTCTCTCCATTTTGATGTAAAGCCAAATATTCTCTTCACCGGCCGGCAAACAAAACTAGGCAACTTATACCCGGCGAAACTTTCAGCGGATTATGGAGTAGTCTTCCGATGCCGATAACATTGAGTGAACTTCACCCAGCTGCGCCTGCCTGCAAAATTTATCAACAGTACACGTGTCGTAAGCGATCACGTGATCATGTTGAGACGGCACTGGGAAAACCCGAGGATCGTCTGGTGATCCGTCCACGAAGTAAATCGAATCTATTTTACTTTTCTGTTAATCTATCAGTCTCGCATTGTTGCCCTCGATTTCGCTTTGATTACGAGCGCAATAGGACATTTTCTCAGCCGCGAAAAGAGTCCGGCTAAACAACAATGGATTTATTTCTAACAAAGACGGTTGAAGCGACTTCTGAGTCGTCTTGAGAAACGTTATAAAATTGAATTAAGGTGACGAAATCGCGTTCCCCTTATTTGTTTTATCTCCTTATTGTTTAAGTTTTCTGTTTATGTTGGGAAAGTTATGTTATATAAACAGTGAATAATTAACCCCGCGAAGCTGTGCTACGCATTCACGTGGAACGCAGGGACATGTTACAAATTTCACTGAATTTAAATGGTTTCCTTTTAGCCCCTTCTTCCTCAAATTTTCGATTGAGTGTTTTTTCCTGAGATCGAAAATACAAATCAAGGATTCCTATTGGTCTAGTCAATCTCGCTGACTCTGGTTTCCAGAATTTACCAAAGCGACCAAGATCACAGTCACCAAGGTGGAGAACTGTTCACGCAACAATGAATGTCTACTGAGGAAAACTTTTTAAAAAGGCCGCAACATGCATATTTCTGTAGCAGAGCTGAAATTTACATGATAAAGTTTTTCCGAATCATTACACACCAAACATTTTTTTTTTAGCTACTTCACGTCACGTACGTTTGCGTCGCTAGTTTTCCTCCGGTTATTTAAGTCGAAAGAAACAACAACTCCATTTGGGTGCGAAATCTTTCGTTTGAAAATAACTCTTTTTGTTCTCCAACTGAGTGAGGGTTTCTGTTACTCGGAGATTGTGTAACTCGTACTTCCTGACGCCTATTTATACCGCGTCAGATAAAAGGGCAGCTAATTAGGGAGCGTATAAAAGGATCTCTTGTTGCAGCGTTTAGATCACCCCAGATGAAGGCAATAGACAGAAGAGTCGAAACGTTGGGTCTATGAATGTAACTTCTCGGTTACATTCATTAAATCTTTATACCAGAGTAGCATCAAACCATGTCTGATTGTCCACCTGGTTGCCATGTGAACTTTAATACACTTCGGAAATAGCCTATTTAATTACAACCATGCTAAAACCTAAGTTTATTATTCTCTGACAGAAAATATTCATATGAACAAAGGGCAATAAAGATTCGTCCCTCTGGTAAGGAGCGGACCTACCGGCCGTGCATTGGGTTAATATAGGCCATAAAATGAAGTAACAACCTGATCCAATATTTGTTAAGAATCAAAGTCGCCAAGCAAACTAGATTTAGCATCATGTAGAGTTAAGAACTGGACTGAACTTTAAAGCTGATTTACGTTACTCCCCCGTGAATCTTTTGACCCTAAGAGTGACTGGTATCAAATTTCTCTTTCCGAAATCACCTCCTGATCACACATTAAGATCACGAGTATATCAGAAATGGTCACCAACTCAAGAAGCTCTTGATGGTTAAAAAAATTTCTTTTTGTCAGCACCTTAGGAAATTTATAGAGAACAGTACAGAGAATATGCATACAAAAGGTTAACACAACTTACTCAGCTCTCAAGGAATCAACCACAGGAAAAGAAACGGGAATGGGTCAATGTTTAGCCTTTTTAAAAGAGAGACACGCCCCCTTAAAATGCTTGCTTTGCTTTATTTGCTTCATTAGAGTCCTTTGTGAACATCACTTACGCACGAGGAGCTAACTACAAACTCCAACTAACCCACAAGACTCTTGAACACCTCACATGAGGCGACAGCCATAGTCTTGAAGAGATGGTAAAATCGGCGTGGGTAAGTGGATCATGCGTCTGGAGAGTTGATGGCTCATGTTGGTGGATTATTTTAAACCTGCCTACTCACATGTTTCATAATCAAACACAATTGACAACCCTCGAGCCACCTACCCTCATGGGAACAGCTGGATACTCAGTGAATACTTTGGTCTCCACGATAAGAGTTGGGATGATTCAAACAAACGGATTCTCCCTTAAGCATGAACTCCAAATTACACGGATGTCGCGGTATTTTTATTGGTATTATCAGCTGAGTTGATAACGTAAATTGGCCATCGTAAAGAGTTTTAAAGCTGACGTTTCGAGCGTTTCGTCATACTGGGTGTCAGTTGGCTTCTTCGAATTGAACAAAAGGCGAGAATACTTCATATTGTTAAATATTTTCGCAGGAACTTAATTTCACGAAAATGGAACGGGTATACTTCGCTTCGGCCAAATAAAAATCTTAAAAGGACCCACATTTCGCGAGTATTGTCGAAATACTGATCTGCATCAACAAATAAGAAGTCTTAGATTTGCACAACTGATTTTCAATTTCCATAACAATACTGTAGTTTCCAATGACATTATAACAAAACGAAACTGCAAACAGTTTGACTTCGTCCTTTGCAACAAAGCAGAGTTATACAAGAGCGCAGGAAATTGCCTCAGGAACTTCTTTCTCTCCTATCTTTGGCAGCGTAACACTTTCCCTCACTGCGAAAATCGTTAAATATAAGTCTCGCGAAAGGAAGTAACAAAAAGATATTACTTCATCGTAACCTTACCCGAAAACTATTGCGGACACAAAGTGCTAATTTTAGTTAAGCAACGTTTAGCCTTTTTTATCAAACCCGCCTCTTAAACAGTCTTCGATTAGTTGGACCTTTATCTGACCTTATCTGAACATTCAGTTTTAAACTCAACCCCGTCTTATAGAGAAAGCCCGAGGCCCCCAGGTTGCGTAAAACCGTAGTTTGGGTTAGCCTTCGTGTAAATAACCAGCCCACATTTCAGTTTCCCGAAGCCTTCTTGGCAAATTAGCAATAACATTATTTTCAACTTTGATAGAAAATGAAATGAAATGAAATCCGAAATGGTTCGCTCAATGTTTTGAACGAATTTCATTTCCCATGTTCTGTCTGATCTGTTCCATTCGCTCAGTTTCAAAACAGCCGTATGAGGTAAAGCGAGGAAAAAGGCAGGGTATTAGGTAAAGAAGAGCCATCCAAGTTATATTTAGCATCGTGGTAAACTACTACTCGTATGGTAAGTTAAGATGGGCGTGAAGGAAATCCGGCCGTAAGGAATAACCTCCCTTTACACTCCTACTCTAGCCAAATTATTCAAGTTGCTCAATGTGGTAACCCCCCGGCCATCAAGCATCAGTAACCTGTCACGTTCTCTTTCATTGTTCATTGAACCAAAAAGGTGAGAAACTCCTTATTTCAAAATACAAAAGCCCCTCATCCCTCTTATTACTAAATATCCTTGGCTCCTTACTCCACCTCCCCATACACAATGACTGATCTCTAAATTCCCGTGAGTAAACTCACAGGCAGCGTGGGAGGTATTCTAATAAAGTGAAGGGCAGTACAATGGAGTTCCGCTTTCCGGCTTGGCTTAATCTACGTATTATAGGATCTAGAGTCAACGAAACTCGTTTTTGTACTAGTGGTTAGATTCTCTACTTATTCTGTTGCAGCAGGTGTTTTATGGGCAGCAAATGACGATCAACAGATCGACTGGTGTTGTAGCGCAAGTGTGACGTTTGCCTGCCTCCATAACAACAACACCAGTTTGTATTCCTCGGTGACCAAAGTTCACCTGCGTACATGAACGGGAACGATGAAATGTTTAAATAAAATTTAAAGAATTCTCGCATTACAAAGTAATCATCACCCGACATAAATGTGAGGATCAACACGGCAAAATATGCATCAATATCAATCTGCGCAACTGCGCACCTACCCCTCTCCTAGCCCAACAACGGCCAACTGATCACGAATTAGTATTAATGTTGGGTCTAGGGAGGGGTAGGTACGCTGTTGCTTAGATACTGACACTGATCCTAAAATATTGTGGGAGGTAGTGGAAGGTTACAACCTTGCACTATACCCCTAATTCCCAGGTCCTTCTCTATAAAGTTTTGCAATCATTCGTGAGTGAAACACAATTGTTCTTCTGTAAGCAGCTTTTAATGAGGTTTCCGTGCTGTAATTAATTTACTTTCAGCTCAGGTCTCTTTGGAAAAAGCATGATATTTACATTAGAACGAAATAACAAGCAAAGCTGTATACAAACTGTATAAACGAACTGTATAAACAAATTTTCACTGATCAAGATGAACGTGGCTGTAAGGTGAAAATTCTCCTGTTGGGGAAAAAAGTGGATTATTGTATTGAAATCCATTTCGACGAAAATTCTTAAAACGCAAATAGGCAAACTTCATATCTCGACATTGAGTCTAAAAATAACACTGTTACGAACGAGAGAGTGATGAAATGACAGCATGCCATTTTGCTAAGTAACTGTGATAATCAAAGCCCGCGGGCTCAGTGTAGAAAGTCGAAATTAGCGCTACAGATGATCAGCTGGTTTGCGGCAGAACGGACAGCAATTTTTCTGTAAAACCAAAAGCTCGTAATCGTCTGTGTGGAATAACTGGAAAAAGATTGGAAGAAAACATTAATTGGGAGTGTCTATAGATTACTTTGGCCAACTTAGTCCGGCGAGCATTTATTCAAGCCGGTGAGGATGAGGAACTAGTCACTATTTATTAACGGGGGGGAAAGGAATTCGGAAGATTTTGGGGATGGCATGGTTTTCATAGGGAGGTTTACCACTCGTAATTTATCACTCGACCCGCTGTACTAAAATGAACAAAAACCCGACGTAGAAAACTCTGACTTACCCGATTACACGACGAACAAAGTGTAATGGAGACATCGGGGAGAAGTGATCGGTAATATTGGTATTTTAGAGGACTAGGCCACTTCTTTATGAGCACCTCGCGGCTGTTCATGGCCTGTAAAGTTGAGCGACCTACGCGGACTGGGACGAACTCAGATCCACCTTGCTGTGGGCGGTAACAATTTTAAAGTAGACATAAATTTTCTCGACAAGACTTTTACAGACAGATGGTATACAGTTACAAAATAGTGAAAAGAAATTCTGAAGATCAAGAGAAGCTTTCAGAATTTTAGGTGAAAAGAGATGATTATCAAAGAAAACCTACCATTACTGCATTGATAAATTACTCCAAAATAACAGGAAGTTGCAATTGTTTCTATTTCTAAGAAAATGAAATTGAATAGGACCAAAATAACTGAAGAAAGAAGTAAGCATGTGAATTTCCTCAGACCTTAATTTTCTTCAAGAAATTAAACTAGTTTCCTGTATGTACACTTTCCATTCTTTTGTCTAAATTTGTGAAGTTTTCTAGGTTAGCCATCAATTGGAAAAAAGTCATTAAAATGAAATTTTCACCAGATGGTCGACAAAAACAATTGAGACGGCCTTCCTTAATTCTCCTCTCAAGATATTTGCATGATAAATGATAACAGATAGTTTCAGGATCACAAAAGGCCGCTCAGCTTGCCCAACTTGCAGCAGTCAATTCAGACAAAATCTGATTCATTAGAGCCATAAATTTAGTAACATATAGTTGGGAAAATTGTGTGATTTAATGAATCAACAAAGCTTGGCGTCTACTTTTCGTCAAGTGCCCCGGCACATTTCGTCCAAGTGAATCAACAAAATGAATAATCACGGCCCTTTTCCATAGAGATATAAATAGAATCGCAGCGATTTCGCCTTATTTACATTTATTACATTTTTTCTTCCGTATTGGGGCAACAATAAGCCGAGCGTTTAGTCGGGCTACTGAGACACTTCACACAGGTTGTTGCATTCCCAGCCAGTGTATCTTCCGCTGAACAGCTATCCAGTTTTATTTGCTCAATGAAAACAATTTTCTTTTCCAGAAAAAATTAAAACTTTTACGAATTCCAGGTCTATCCTGTCATAGATATAAATTATTTAAGTTCAAAATACGGTTTTCAACTACGCATGACTTCCTCGATAACAGCTGCTTTTATATTTTTACTTTTTCTTTCATCACGGAAGAATTTTTTATGCTCCTATCTTCACTGGAGGAGAGTTTTTTCCACTTTCCCCTCGTTATTCCGAGTAATTAAATTCATAAACGACCAAAAATTATGAGGTTGCAGTAAATACAATAAACTATATGAAAAAGGGAAGAGGTAAACACACAAAGGGGTCGCTTACACAAGGAAAATAATCCGCGGCTTTCATTAACATTAGACGCGAACTCATCGTATTAACGATACATTTATACTTTCACACGCCGCGACAAAAGAAGAAATCTTTGAGCGCGTTTCAAATGGACTGCAGCGAAATCACTTGTTTAAATGGCATCGCGGCTTACGTATGACGCGAACTTACATTGCGCGAGCACAATTTTTTCTCGCGCTTGAGGTCGCGCTTGTGCGTTCCTCTCGCGCTCGCAACCGGTCGCACAACTCAAATCTCAGATGCAAACATCTGCTCACCTCAAAACTCATCAGCTTAGCTGTAAACGGATCCTCTTCTTCCTCTTCGGGGGTTTCATCTGTGAACTGCAGGGACTGAAAGTCTGGTTTGTTGTCAAGGAAATGTTTCAAAGCAAGAATTGAGAGCAGTGTTTACCTATTCATTACTCAGGATTTGGTGAACAAAGAAACAAAACCTCTGGCTGAGTACAGCCTGAAAAATCAGAAGTATAGTGAGGTGCAAAATTGATATTTTAGAATTCTATTATTAGCCAAATAAGGACTATGTGAGGTTTGATATGGTAGGAATTTCATCGTTAATCAGAGCTATGAACCACTTTTTAATATGGGTCTATCCCTTTACACCCTAACATCAGTATCCAGATTCTCCATTCTGTTCTCTATAAATTTCCTTTGATAATGACAAGAAGAATTTGTTTAAGCATTATAGTTTCTTAGGTTGGCGATCATTTCCTTTATTCTCATTGCAAAGGATACCTCCCATATCTCTTTCCTGCCAGTTTGAGCGCTTCTTTTCTTTGCTCTTGGGTGGTTCCGCCTCGATCAGTTTCAAAGCATCCTCATTACTTCGAAAAAACCAAAAAAAAATAAAAAAAAACCCACACTGAGAGACCACAGTCCATTTGAAACGTTGAGTGGGGAAGGAGAACTACAAATCTGCACACAGTTTCTTATGCTCAAATTCTCTCTTATAGTTTCTGTTCAAAGGAATATTTTCGGAGGTTTTATGTTTTTGGACAAAATTTGGAAGGTAACATGCTTGCCGTGTTGGATTTTCGATTGCAATGTTTTCTAGCATTATTATTTTGTGCTTTCTCCAGGCTTTGTAAGTTCCTAATAGCTTTGTGGCTCAGGCGGAAAAAACGCCCAACTGGTACCTGGGTGGTATCGCTCTGACCATCACTGGAATCTCAATTCTATGTGACTTCGGTTTCTTAACTTGCAAAGTATATGAGAGGACCAATTCGTCACTGTTTATCCTCTAGAAAAATATAACAATTTATGAATGCTAAGAAACTCGCATCACGCTTTTTTTTTATTTTGCCAGCTGGCACTCTGGCGGTACAACAGGTAAGTGATGTGAGCGCGTTTGGAAGTCCTTGGGACTTCGGGCAAATTTTTTAGAGCCAGACGTCTCACACACCTTGCACACGCTCTTTTCGCGCGCCGACTCGTATTTCGTGTGCTTGGCTGCTCGCATCGCGGCGCTACACTTTTCCCCGCCAAGCTACATTACCTGATGCCATCTTCCAACACAAATTCGACCAGCGGGAGTACCTCTAAAAGGAAGAGAAAAAAAAAATTAGGCGTTGAATTCAATAAAAAGCATTAATTACCATGTAGCCACTCAAAATGAAACCACGTGATCAAACCTGAGGTGAGAGTTTAAGACGCAAACCCTGCATTGCACTTGATAACCCATTCATGCTGTTCCAGTTACAATAAAGTTACGACTGCGTATGGACTAGTTATTAATTACCACGGAGGAGGGGGGGGAAAGGAAATTTGGGAGATCACATGGTTTTCAGGGGGGGAGCAGAAGAGGGATCAGTCGGTGCCAACGAGGGGGGTCTATAAAAAATTGACTGCCAATTAACTGCCACCGAGGTAGGGTGGGAAGGGGAATATAAGAATATAAAAGAGCCTATGGGGGGATTAGGTAAATTTAATCGTGACACAACCAAAATACTTTGTTCCCCCTCCCCTGGGGATAAATAATGACCGTTCCCTAATAGTACCTGGGATAAAATCTTACCGAAAGACGAAAATGAATACACAAATGGCTGCCCACAGTTGATGCACTGGTTTCCTTTGTTGTTCAAAAGAGGATTCGTGGTGGAACAGCGGTAACACAGGGGAAGAAGTTCCTACAGAGGAAAATGAAAAGAAGAGGTTTTCTTCACTGGCTAAAAAACCTGATGACGATGACTGTGATTTTTGTGAAACAGGTTTTGGACAGTGTGATCATTTACCTCGTTGTCGTGGAAGGGTTTCGAGCGAATGGTTACACTTCCCAGGTCAATAGATTCTTGAAAACGCAGAGGAATCTTCAACGACTGCATAGAGAAAACAAAATAAAGCAAAAGGTGAAATAAAGCCTAGCTATATAAAGTGCGTAGGGAGAATGAAAGAGAAAGAAAAAGTTTCCGCGCTCCGGGGCACTACAACTGGGCTACAGAGACTCGACATTGAGCTAAGCCGTCATTAAGTTCATATGTTTTTCTCGTAAATATCTCGGAAAGTTGCCACTGGAATATAATTTGCAACTTTCTCGAACCGCTGAAGTAACTCACCTGTAGCTTGTCGTAAGCTGTACGTGCCATTTTATACGCCCCTAAATTCTTGCTTTGTTTGGCGAGCGCGAATAACGTCGAACTACACAACAATTAAGGTCTATATTTCACTCAATAAATTTTACTGCGGATGCAACAAGTAGATTCTCTCATATCAACGTGTACACTGCAACGAAAGACGCGTGTGTATCAAACAGTCTTAATATTTCAGTCGTTGTCGCTTTTTTTTTTGCACAAGCGTAGATGTAATTCACATTTTGAACAGCGCTCACAAAGCAAGCTTGTTTAGTTCAACTGTTTTCTACGTCAAAGGATACACTCTTGACACTCCTGGTGGGATTTCTTTCACCAGCATATGTAGCAAATAACGAGCGATGTTGAAAAGTGTCTCTGGAAGATGGGAAGTAAATGGTTCATCCTAAAGGCAAACGAACATAAGTCTGGGTTAGATTCTCTCAAGTAATTGATCACTGCGGTGTCCTTACAGGGGGCGTTTAGAGCATCAAAAATTAACAACAAAGTCTTACAGTGTATCTTTGAATAGAGTGATATAGATGATAAATCTCTGCTTTCTCCTGGTACTCGTGAAATTTGTCCAACATTTCATAATCAGGTTCACCCTGGGAATTTTCTGTGGAAATAGATAAATGGGTCAGTTAAAATAGAAGAATAATCCGTTTTCTTTTAATTTGTCTTAAAGGAAATGATTGAATTCATCATAATAGTGTTAACCTATTTCAGTCTGTCAGAGGGAACGGGAACAATCGAAATGTAGCCTGTTTTTACCACCTTTTCCAAGGACCGAGAGAGCTTGGCAAAAGCTAGATAAGCGTGCTTACGTTGGGTGAAAATGCGTTTGTTTTTAAAATACCCATTATAAATTTTCTCATTTATCTCTGGTTACATATGCTTTCCAACGACTGCATCCTAGCTAACAGTCACACTTTATTCCGCCAATCTGATTGATTGAGAGCATTTCGAATGCGTGTTGTAAAACTAAAAACCAAAGTAGTCGCAACTGAAAAAAAATACCACAAGGTGCCAATGGGACCTGATGCGCAGGAAAACGCGGGTGACCGAGTTGCGATTGGTTTTCATTCTTTATCTGATTGGTTGGCGCGAGTTTTGGAGACCAATCGGTATTGAGCAAATGAGAGCAAGAGCGAAGCAATACTGGATCACACTCTATGTTCGATTAAAAATTGCTGGCTTGTTTGATTTTAAGGTACCTTCACCACCGACCAGGTCCAAACATTGTACTGACAGCTTCCAGAAGTAGTATCCAGCATCGTGATACCTGTGAATAGCGAAACGCAAATGTCACACAACATTCTCATAGATTACATTATAGCAACAAAATGTCACTCACACACGCACCCACCAGTGCTCAACTACACTTGTGACTCAAGAGACACAAGTCACACGAGACTCTGTCACGTAAACCACAAAACTAACCTGTGTTCTACGACAGCGTTGTGACACAACTGTTCCAGTACTTTGACCGCTTGATCCCTCCGCCCGGCTTTGTGGAAAGCTGAGAAATCACAACGATAGAAAAAGATTCAGCCGGTGCTTTAGTCCAATGAGCAGGCGATTGTTAAAATAATATAAACATGTTATCCACGAAAGGGCCTCTTACCTTCCTGAGCTTCATCAAATCGGTCATTTTCTGCCAACCAGTTTGCATACGGAACAAATACATCATCCTGGAAAAGGCAAAAGATAAATACTTATACGTTTCACCATAATCATATAACTCTCTAGTTACCAAACAGACATTAACAGACTTTCATATGAACACAATAGTGCTAGTTCCTGGGAATAAGATTTACATTTGGAAGAGCACCTTATATCTCATAACATTTGCGACCTTCATAGCTTAACTGAATGGAAATATATCAAACATGAATATTAATGAAAAAAGTACTGTGGCCTACCTTAAATTCTGGATGTTTTTCCGCAAGTTCAAATGCCTGAAAAAAAAATTACATCAAACAGAATCAGTGCAGTCAGTTAACTCGCGTAACCCAGCTCGCTACGTGTCACTTGTCCGCGCACATCAAGGATTCCAATTTGTTCATCACTCCAACTTCACGCCTTCCAGTTCACACACCATTTCACAATAATGTATTTGGAAAAGTTCCTTTGCTTTTCTTGTAAACAGGCAAAGGACACCTTAATAGAATTAATACAGCTCTGAATTTCAAGTCCTACTATGATTAGTATACAGCAGTAGATTCTGTGCTGATGCCTCACTGATGCAACAGCATTCCTCTTCCACACATAAAATTGACTGGTTTCACAAATCATAACATCAGACTTGTGAATAGCTAGTCTTCCTTTAAAAAGTGTTCCCCCAGCTGATACTTCAAAGGAACATAAACTGTTCCTGGCTGACAAGACGTCGTTGACGTGATTTTTTTCGAAAAATGGTGGAGTAACAGCTGCAACTGACTTAACGCAATTGTTTGGAGTAATAAATCGGAATCGACAGGTAACAAGAAAACAAAATTTTTACTTTTCCGTATTGTGCTTTCCGATCTGAAAGCTACAGCACGCTGGTTACTTTCACAAGATATGTACTTTGTCCTACCTCATCCCAATGTTTTGTATCCACGTGAAGTTCCAACAGTGATTTGATGTCACCAATCTTCATAAACATTTCTGACGCATACCCGTGCTACATAGTACAAAAATAATTAACATTACATAGAGGAAGTGCTTTGGGGGACGACGTTGATGATAAAAAGATATTTTTCCTGCAAGTGGTTAAAAAATGCACAGTCTGGCAGTAGGAATTCTTTAGGGAAGGGGTGTGCTAATTAGCCTCAAATAACCTGACCACCCTTCCCTTTGCAAAAAAGATAATAAAGCGTAGTCTGACAGTAGGAATTCTTTAAGGGAGGGTAGGCTAAATTAGTCCAAAATAATCTGATCACCATCGCCTCACCCATGAGAGTTTGCTAAAACGGTAATAAATTTAGCACATTGGCTGCCTGTCCTCTTGCTAAAGCATGATCTAGTGACATATCTTGACAATACCTGATCCATTTGTTTGAAGAAATGAGCACACTGTCTTATTCCCTCGGTGTCTGCTTTGTTCATATTTCTTCCAAGTTCAAGTAACCTACAAAGCATAGGTGACACAAATCTGAGAAAACGCGCGTACTTTCTTTCACAGACGTATCAGTAATCACTTGTAAAACGAAACTCGACAAATAAAACCATTAAGGCTGTTCCTTAGCGAAGAATTAAAACTAACTTCTCGACCCATCCATGTTGTCCAATAATTTCAATAGCTTTGAGGTTTTCGCCAGCAGCAATAAACATGTCCCTGAAATGAGACAAAGAGAAAGAAAAATCACATCTCTCTTAGAAGCTAGCACAACTGTGGCCATGTTAACTTTAGCTCTTCTCTGGAGCAGAAAATTTAACGAAAAGAACTGAATACGGTGCTTTCCTGAAAAAAAAAAAAAAAAAAAAAAAAAAAAGAAAAAAAAGGCCTAAGACTTTTGAGAAGTCACCTTGAATGGTGGTTTTGAATTTGTTAAAAATAACATCATAACCTTGGGAAAAAAAGCAATAACATTTGAACTCTACGAGCTCTTGTCTCTTTGATATTTACTACTGCGAGAAAATTCTACATCTTCCACATTCTGTTAAAACTCACACGGCAGCTTTGGGGTCATTTGTTGTTTCACACCACTCAGCTTGTTTCCTGATCAGCTGTTTCACATTCTTAGGATCACTGCCGCCGATGAAGTCCTTTGCATATTCAAACTGCCTTAGGTCGGTGAACATCTCCATCGCCTGGAAAGTATTAGTTAACAATCAAATCTCGAGAGTCATATTGATAGCTAGTATAAGATTGCTCGTTACCATCCACCTTCAAAAGACGTACACTCAATCGTTTAAAAATAAATAAATAATTAAATAAATGAAAACCTTCTCATCATGTCCAGTTTTCTTGTATAGCTTTCCAGCATCATGAAATTTTCCCTAAAATGAAAGGTTAGAGATTTCGTCAATTAAAAATATAATGTTATAAATATTGGAGGGTAAATAATATGGAAAATGGCATGACATCCACAGTACTTAATTTGGGCGAGAAGGGAAGACAGAGTCTAAGAGATGCTTCCAGAAAGTTAAGATGGAAATTCACGGTTTCTTTAAGCCGTGCAATTGGATACTAGAACTGCTCAAAGCTGAAGTAGAGAGGTTTATGTTACAGGTACACATTTGGTTGGTTCTCACATGCAACCAGTCAGACGATAAATGCATACACGACGTCGTCTTTATCAAATAAAAAATGTTTACATGTCACCGTGGAGCTGTAATACAGTTATTGCTTGACGCCTGTGTTTTTTATCATGGTTATTGCCAAATCTTGTACACAGCAACATTAAAATCTTACAATCATAGAGATTAACCCTTTCAATCAATCATCAATCAATCAATCAATCAATCAATCAATCAATCAAATCCTTTATTCTAAAACGTTAGTTATTAGAACTATAAAGCTTGTGGGGTTGTTTGACCCCTTAGAGTGATAAGCATCTAATTTCTCCCAACAGTTTACCCCTGAATCAAATATTAAAGTCATAGGAAGAAAGGAAATGATCACGAAATCAGGAATCTCTTGATTGTTAGACAAATTCTCCTTGTAAGTATCAAGAAATGTAAAGAGAACAGTGTGGAGAACTTGCACTCTGATGTTACTGTGTAAAGGGTTAGATTAATCTAACTACTGACCTGATAGGCATAAACATCTGCGAGGAAAGCCTGCTCATCTGTCTCTCCTTTCTTTTTACGTTCCTGTTGAACAAACACAACAATCACAAGTAAATTTTATGTATTTCATAATCTGACCCAAATATTTATCATAAAATTACCGAATAACTAACCTCAATGTTGTGGATTAACTCCAAGTACCTCAAGTCCCGCACTCTGATGAAGGCCTGAAAAATGTTCGAAAATAAATTCAACTGACAATCATCTCTGCCTGCTGCTACAGAATAATTCACAATTGTTTAGTTCTTGAGTTTACCACCTTTCTAAATTTCACACTTCTAGCAAATTTGCTAGAAATCAACAGCCAAAGTAAGTACTTGGCACACAACATTGTACACAATACCTTTTTAGCTGTATCAAAATCCAGGCCCTAAAAAGATCATCAAACACATTAATGAATTTCTTTTCACCAAAATGAGACAATGTAATTATATAAGTAGTTAATGGCAAAATATTGCACTTCCCACCACAAGCAAAATTTACAGTTGATTGTAACATCTCTTCAAAGGTCAATACTTGCTTCCACTCACTTGACTCTTGGGTAAAGTTCCTATTACACCTTGGGTAAGTATTAAATAGATCAGTGTCATATACATGTAACTCACCTCCATGGCTTCCATGGCTAGTGCTCTCCAGTCTCCCTCAGTCACGCCAAGGCAGGCAACTTTGTATGCATCTCTGTTAATATGTAAAGAAACACAATGGTGAATTTGTGAATATCCTGTGTAGAACACAAGCAACTCTTGTGCTTCCCTTGCACTCACCGAGATTCCCACATGCGTTCATAACTCAATATACACACGCTAAGCATGGACCATTATTCTTTATTTGCCAATGATCCTGTGGTTGACAGAACTGAGCCATCTCCACTTGACTTCACCCAAATCAATCTGTGATCCTCATCCCCAGACTCCCAAGGTTGCACTAAAGCCAGAGAATTTTGCTTATCAAATCTCCACATTACTCGTTCACATACCCATGAGTAAAAAACCAGCTTTAAGGTTCTAAAAGTGGTACTTAATTTTTGCAAATCATAAAATAAACAAAAAGATCCTTTAAGTGAGTAAGCATCACTGAATTTTTAATAAAATAAGTTTTACAAATTTTTGAGATTACCTGTATAATTTCTTTTCCAAGTACTGATACATTGGAGCAGACTTAAGCAAAGAGAGAAATAAATTTAACATTAACCCATAGTATCTAAATATCAATCTTACTGGTGCAATCAATAACACAAGCTCATCCAACAGTTTATTTCTTTAATTTGCTCAAAACCTGGCTTTAGTGTTCTCTTTGAACAAGTTGCTTGGAAAATAACTTTTCCATTAAGAAGCTCCCTCATTACTTTTCAAAGTGAATATAATTGAAGTCTTGAAAAGAGTTCTGTCGTTAGAGGTTTTTTAGAACTGTTTCAAGGGTTTTAATGAAGGAAATAGTTATGGAAGGGCACATTCTATTGACAATAACCATTGTTATATTTCACTACACCTTACCTGTGGCACTTCAACTGCAGACATGGTGTACACATGAAGGCAGAAGATCTTAGATCCAGTGAAACCAACGACAAAACCCTAACCAGTGAATAAAAATTCACGCAGGAGTGATTTCAATGGAAAAAGAGCACTGAACAATTTTTGGACAATTTGAGATTACAGTCACAAACCTGTGAAACAAATAGACTGATGCATGTACTTTGCAAGAATAATGCAATGAAAAGGAAGATCTTATGAAATATTTCACAAACCTGTAGTTTTTGTTGGTGTACAGGAAAGTTACTGGCCTTGATATTCAGCATACCACCACCAGAAAAACACAGCATGTCCTGGAAAAAAATACAGCGAGCAGCGAAGGTCAAAACTAGTGTTCTGATGTATGTTATTTATCCAAAATATTCTCTTGAATGTTAAAAAAAAAAAGACTGTGAAAAGATAGGGTTGAGTGTGAGGTTTTTTCTTCAGAGCACTCTCAACTGAATCTTGAATTGACAACTGACTGAGCTGGCAAAGCCTTGAAGAGAGAACATAGAGTTTTGCCAACTGCTGTTTCTTCTTTATACTGTACATACTGCATGTAGTTTTACAAAAAATCATGCCATGTGATATGGAAACTGTACAGTATTTGGATGGTGTGATATTACCCACAGCATCCTCTGTCAGGCTAAAGAATGTCTCAAATCACAGCCTTTTTTTAAAATTTACCATGAATTACCTCATTGTGGGTATTCCAAGCAACACTGTTAGCATTTGGCTCCTGAAAGAGAAAGACATCAAATACTTTAAATCGGTGAACAAAGTTGTACAGATGTTTCTCCTGACCTCATAAATTCACAAGGTCAGATTAACCAGGAAAAAATGTGATTCCTTAGGCGAGCAACATTTGACTGTTCTTTCTCACTAGCACACTGAGAAAACCTTAGACTTGCTACATTTCTATCCAGTTAAAAAGGAGAAGCTAAATTTAAGGCTTTTCCTGGCCATGAAATTACAATTGTCAATTAAGACTTTGGGTAGATTATTTTACCTGGAAGAGCAGCTCATTGTTATTGAGGCTATACACAAGACAGGTACTGTTTTCATCCACCACAGCTAACTTGGTTCGACTGAAAAGCAGAGCAATAAGGATATGAGATGGAGAGTTTACAACAATAAATAAATATAGAAACTAAATCATGGTCTAGTTGGATAAGATTTATACTATATGTCTCTTGAGACTATAAGGTTACAATTAAGGATAATATTTGTTCCTGCAACTCACCTTGAACTTAAATCCAGACAGCGAACACTTGTCTCTTGTTTCAACAGCAACAGGGGGAATGGATTGTTGATAAATATTTTCATGATCTGGCAAAAAAATTACAACAGTTATAACAAACTGTCTAAGAGTCATCATCTCAAGTCTGCTTACTTGTTGATGTCAAAGAGCTAATGTTAAGGACATTGCATCTCTGAAGAGTACAACAGTCATACAACATACATAGTTCAACCATAAAATGCAAACAGCCACCAATTACACCTTATTAGTATAGGTAATAACATGATTTCGAGTGCAATTTGGTGATGATAAACATGAGTAAATTTTTTCAGAGACAACAAAATTGCATGAGCCTGTAGGGCAAATGCAATTTATAGTCTTAGATAAATTTACAATTGCTTATTACACCAAATTGCAGGAGAAATCCTGTTATTACTTGCTAATAATGTATATGAAGAAACATCACAGAAAGTCAAGACAGACAAAATTTTGAAAGCAAGGGTGCTATTTTTTAATTTGCACTCGTGTTACAAACTTTGCACTTGTGTCACAAGAGAATGCACTTGTTTTCAGTCAATCAGAAGCACCTAATTTTTTCATGTACATTATTGTACAACAACAACATCATTACAGCTCTATGATTATTGTACCTGGCCATTTTTTAAGCCAACAAGGAGACCCTCTCGTCCTGATGGACCACCAATCACTTTGATGTAACGTATCAGTGAATCCATCACCCACTCCCTACAATTAATACAAAAATGAATGAAATAAGTGCAATTATCACACAACTCTATATGACACCAATAATTTAAAGTCATGTTTACGTACTATTTTCACTGGCAAACACATTTGCATTGTTAGGACTTAACAGTGGTTAAAAACTATTTTTTGGTTATTGAAAAATGTCCACATAATAGCCATTTATTAAGCCAAATTACATTTCCCAATAAAAGACAGGTGCCATTCAATGGCAATCACTACCATGCATTATATATACAAAGTTCATGCCCTTGCTCATACAAAGTATGTTTTAATTAATACTTAAAGTAAAAATGGTGATATTGTCTACAATAAATTATCAAGCTTGCCTCTCTTTGATCCCAGTAAATGCTAAGCATTGGAGTCTTCTCTCCTGAGAATTTAAGAAAATATATGAATTTTCCCTTTTATTTTACCAGTATGTTAGAAATTTGAAAAAAATACAAATTTTTGTCTTGGATCTTTTGCAAGAGGAAACCTCTGACTTTGCAGAAGAGCCATTCATTATCAAAGATCCTTATCCTTCAGCACACATCCCACACCAAGATGCATACACAAGCACTTCATGATCGACTGGTCCTCCCTATTAAAGCCCATTTACAGTATAAAATCAATGTTGGTTTTGGCAATAAGTGGTCATACTTGTTAAATTAAGCTGATATATTTTTCTACCTGGCAAAGAATGATGTGATTGGAGCAGGCAACAAGCAGGTTGCATTCAAACTTGCGCTCAATCTTTTCCTAAATTGAAAAATACACTTGAAGTTATGAAATAAAACAGCAAGACCTAATTCGGTATGTGAGAAGGCAATTTTCTGTTTTCATGTTTTCTGCTGTGAAGTCAATGTGTTAAAAGTGATGCAAAATAAAACACATTTATCCTATTCTAAGGTCTGTTCAGTTTCCCTGTTACTTCAGAGTCCTGGTAAGCGTGACTAACAACATTTTGGACAAATATTTTAGTTCTCTGACTTTTCAGCTCAAGTACAGACATTTGAAAACTCAGCTACATGAGGAAAATAGCATGTGAACAGAATTGAAGACAGTATCATTGCCAATGTGTAATATTGTCTAAGCAGAAGAACATGTCTTATAACTCTGATTTGTGAATCCATATAGTGGTACTCTGGTCTAATCTTTTATCAGAATCCAATGAATATTAGCATAGCAGAAGAGTTTAACCTACCTTGACCTTATAATGCATATCAGAGATGTCATCTGTGTTCAATTCATAAATAACTATTTTGTCAGGCAGTTGCACCTAAGGCAGTTGAAACAAAGAGAACCCATCATCCATCAGTAGTCATTTTTTAAGTGACTAATAGTATCACTACTCCTGCCTAGACAGGGATGCATCTCCCACTAGAGTGGTAAACTGAAATATACTTACAGCAAGTCTGTGTCGGTAGATAGCAATCTTCTTGACTAAGTCTCGACACTTGATACGAACTGTGGAAAAAGAGATCATTGCACATATATTGATCACAGTCACATGTGAAGGTTAAGGCTTATGAAATTGTTCAATTTTGAGTTCAAAATTTTGGTGCCAACCAAAAAAAGAAAAAATGTGACAAAAAACAAACTTTTAGGTAAACTTTAAGTTAACTTTTTAGGGCCACAAAGAAATTTCCAGGAAAAACCTGCCCTCATCATACTACAATGAGGGCATTTATCATTTTTTTTCCCCAAAATGTAATCTCTTAATTTTCAAATTTGTTTAATCAATCCTTCACCCACCTTTCTGCTCTGTTATCAAATGCTGTATAATAACATCTGTCATGTTGTCTCTGAAGGCATATCTGTCCATGTCAAAGAAGTAATTTGTTTCAAATATTGTTAAACTGTAAATAATCACAAACTATGCATATCAATATCATCATAAATTATTTAATTTAGCTATTTTTATTATAATTATTCATTCCAAGTCCATAGGAAATTGAAAAAACAACTCATAAAGAATACTTTAGAGGCTTAATTTGACTATATTGATTGAAGTAACAGCTTTTAGGAATTCTTCAATTCTGATTACACAGTGATATTAGCAAGCTCACCCACTACAAATATGGTTGAGGTTAAATTCATTGTTGGTTCTCATTCTTACTGTAAGGTTTGAGTATGAATGACTTTTAGCATTTGTGCAATGACAGCATTATACATGTAAGAAGTAAGAGACTGACAGTCACTGTCTGAGCATCACTTGCAATGATGGCATTCTTTAAAACCTAATAATCTAAGAGATTTTAGTGAACTGCATATGTGGTTTACAACACTGATCACTTCCCCTCGCAGCAACTTTGCCTTTACTGGTCAACCATAATTAAAGTCATTGTATTTTAATACAGCTGTTGGGCTTTAAGACCCAGTATTGGCCAGTATACATTGCGTGCCTTCATTTTTGTTATGGTTTTCAGGAGAGTGAGGCTTGCATTGTTTTCCCAAAGCTTGTGGAATAATAAACATAAAGTTAATGGCCACTGATGGCCAATGCTGCGCACAATGCATACTTGTCAAAACTGGGTCATTAACATGGAATACAGTTAACAAAATGCCTTGTAAATCTCCCTCTTGTTCTCCTACTTATTAGTTTCTACTACATAACTGTAACAGTTGTAATTGACACTCACCTGTCTTTGTACAAGCCATGGACAGTACTGAAGATCAGTTGATAATATGCTATTGTTCCATCTTGACATCCCAGTGCCTACAATGTCAAAAAGAAACAATGGCTAATTTAAGGCCCATGTTGACTCAAATACCTTGTTCCTAACAAGATTCTCCTTTTGCCTTAAAGCAAGTCATTTGCTGAAATCACTGATATGATTTGTAGTCACCTCCCAAATGATAATTTTCAACTACAAGATTCATAGTTCTGTGATGCATTGAGCATTACAATAGACCTATGACAACTAATAAAAGAGTAAAGGAGGTAAGGTTCAAAAGAAACTGTGTTACGGGGTTGATGAGAGAGTATAAAAAAGTAATTTGGTATTATCAACTGAGTTGATGATGTAAATTGGCCACCCTTAAGAGTTTCTAAGCTGATGTTTTGAAGCATTAGCCCCTTGTCATGGTCCTGAAGAAGGGCTAGCACTTGAAACGTCAGCTTTGAAACACCCAACAGTGGCCAATTTACCTTATCAACACAGTTGATAATACAAAATAAACAAATAAATGTGTCAATTGAAATATTTGTCAGCTTGGTAGGCTGATCTTATCTTTATTTGCCAAAGTTTCAGGGGAACAACCCCCTCCTGTTGATGTATTGAAAGGTTTCATCAAAGTGTGAGTGATATCCATATACGTTGCCAGCTTATTCTCCATCTTTTTGACCCACCATTTCTCAAAATCAAAATTTCTTTTCACAACTCAAATCTCTCTTACCACATAGTTGGAATCTGGCCTTACTCGGCAGCACCAAACCCAACTTTGCTGTTCTCCCACAGATGTCAAAGCCACTCCTTCTTTTGTGTGAAGAGTGCACTAAAAAAACGAAAAGTAAACCTCATAATAAGAGACTTGTTAAAGTACAGTACTAAGTATTTTGCTCATGCACAAAACATTTTCACATGACATTGCACCAGCCACATTGGTGTATCAAAAGAATGAAAAACTCTGATGTCAATAAGCTAGATATACAATCAATTCAGTGGAAGTCAACAGACTCTTCCTTTAGTTTCAATTAAAAATTATTTGACTTTGTACGTGTGTGTTATCTCTTGCACAAAAAAGCTCTACACTGTCACAATCTGAAAGGATTACTTTCTGAAAGAGATCACCTTTTCCATAGTCTATTAGCATTACTAAAGACAGAATTTTTTTCCAAGATCATCTGTAATGGCTGTTAATTTAATTCCTTTGGAGACTTTTATTATGAATATCATTTGATAAAAAATTTCTCTGTTTAAACTCACTTTTTTGTCAGATCCTCCAATAATAAGGTATTCACCCTTGGAGAAAAAGCTTAGACAGCATGGGTCATACCCAAGATAACGATCCTTTCCAACCTTCAACAAAACAAAATGCAATCCTTACAACTGCTCCCTACTGGTTAATGGAAATTAAAATGCATTCATTCTATTATAATAATAATTTCCCTTTTTTTTTTTTAGTACAATAACTGTTATTTTGTCTTCGCATTAAAAGAATGGTTTTGAAGATCACTGAATCTTTTAATGGTAAACACTAGTGATCTTGCCTGCGAATGTACCGCAAGGTGATGACAAGCTGACAGTTAACCCTTGAACTCTCATGAGTGACCAAGACAACATCAACATAATATAAAGCAGAAAAGTGATGAGAATAAAGAAAAATACCAATTGGGGGATTATAAGTTGATCTAATAACAAATTCTCCACACTAACTCCACAAGAACTGAATGGTGAACAGTAAGGAGAATTACTAAATTGAGATCTTGGGGGTTAAAGGGTTAACCAGTACCTGTTTTCCACTGAGCTGATAAAAAGACAGCTTCTGAGACCAATCACCAACAGCTAGAATGTCATAAGGTTCTTCTCTATTTATAGAAAACAAACATGTACATCCTTACTCAGTTATTAGCAGAAGAAGTGATGAGCATTGAAGATTCAGTAACAGTTCTATGGATAACCTTGTGCTCTTAGAGTAGGAAAATTGAATATTCAAAATGTCATAAGATTGGAGTTCTACTTACTTGGATGGATTCCAGCTCAGTGTCCAGACAGGAGATCCACCAGGCCTCTCAATCTTCACTTTTTCTTCTCCACCCTGGTCAAAGGTAAAATTACAATCATTGTGACAGTCAAATCAAATTATTATCATGACTTATTTTTCAAAAACTGCATAAAGCCAAAATGGACAATGGCTTTTCTGGGAATTAACAGGGCTTTAGCAAGGGGAGCCATCCTTTGGACAGTAAAGTGCTCTAATAGCTAACAAGCCCAGTAACACAGCAATGATTCCCCTTATAAAGACATTTAGACATCTGTCTTTTTGAGTTAGCAATAAAAAAGGGGAATGAGGATGATGGAAACACTCTAAAGTTCGAAGAAAATCTACCACACCATCTTGCACTAAAAAACACATTATACGCTTACATGATGGTAAGCTTTGTGCGTGTAATAACACTCTGTATCCACCAGACAAACACCAGCATCTCTCTGTTATTATATAACTTATAATTTTTTAACACATCACTCAAAGTATTTTACAATGGCATGCATGTAGCGTATGTCCCGTGAAGAGGAAAAATTGTGCTTCTTACATAAGAAGAAATCTGAGGTATTAAAACACAGTAAGAAATGTTTACCTTGTTTCTTATGCTGACAAATCCGTTGAAAAGACCAAGAGCCAGGTATTGCCCATCATTTGTCCAACTGAAAACAGTGCAATATTTGCAACTTTTAATTCCTAATAATACATAAGTTTGGTTTGAAATATTCTAGTCTGCCAAAGGATTTCCTGTGTTTATCATTAATTTCCATGTTACTGTTAGAGGATTACAGTCAAAAAAGTATCTTTCTGTAAGTTTGTAGATCAATTATGGTTACCACTCACCTACAGGCAGTCACTCTTGAGGGAACTTTGTGCTTCTGAACAGACTTCTGTTCTGGAGACCACAGACCTGATAATGAACATTATTAAGTCAAACTGTAGAACCAATTACAGCCACCCACTTTTTCCTAATTTAAAATTGATCTATTCTGACCCCATAGATATAGTAAAAAGTGCTTCATTTTGACTTTTTAACTCCCAAGATCCGATTATTAATTCTCTCTTCAACCGTACACGCAAAAAAATCGTATATACGCATCTGGCTATCCTGCATCAGAGCATATGAAATTTTTCTGCGCAGTTAACGTATACGCGAGCGGTACTGTAGCTGCTTGTAAATTAGTTAAAGTTTCCTTGTAAATTAGTAACAAGAAGATGGTGAAAAGAACCCTAACCTAACCCTAACCCTAAGGATAGTTCGATATCCAAAGTAACATTTAACAGTTCTATAAGCATTTGAATATAAATTTTACTAAAATTCTATACTTACCAAAATCATTCGTTGTACAACTTGCAAGTTGCTGTGTGAGGGGATTGTAGGCAAGGCACTGGATAGAGTCATTATGTCTGAAATATTTCACACCATTTAACTGTTGATAGCTAGAATTTAAATCTCTAGTTTACAGTCTCAGCCTCTCAGTGTAACATAACTGTACATGTGTTCTTTTCATTTAGACAGTCGGAAAATAAATAACTATAGCCACCTAATTTATATCAGACAGCTACAGGTGAGACACAGGAGAACATAGGACAATAAAATGTTAAAGTCCCTCGCTCAGGCACGAGTTAACTCTTAAACTCCCAAGATCTGATTGTTAATTCTCCCCTCTAGCTGTTACATATTTCTTTGTAGAGAAGTTACAAGAATTTGGTTTTAGATCAAGACAACAACTTCTATCTGATAAGTTTGAGTATTCCCATCACCTGTTTGCTGGATAATGTCCAGATATCACCAGGAGAAGTTACATATGAATCACTTCTGGGAGTTAAAGGGTTTAATAACCAATCAAGGAGAACATCACTATTTTAGCTCTCTACACTAGTCCCCTCTCTCTCCCCTTTCCCATACAAGAAAGAGAATTTGGAAGGTTGTCAGTCTTTGCTGAGGACAGGAAGTGGTGGACTGTGAGAGAGCACAGGTACACAAGCATACACACAAAAAAGTAAGCCAAGATTGAACATAGTCATTTATATCAGTAGACTCTATCCTTGTCATGATTTCTGGTGGGTACCCGCTCAGTTCATGTTTAGGCTCTTAACGATAACACTGATCAGGAGTAACAATGACCACTTACGTATATTTAAGAATACCCTCTAATTTTGATGTCCAGATTATAACACTTTTGTCAGCTCCTCCAGATGCAAATCTTTTTCCTGTAACAATGAAACAAAAGCGTTATGATGTATTCCAGGACAACAGCTATCAACAGTCAACTTGACCTCAGCAAAACTTTAGGATTTCCAGGGTAGTGGTTAAGAATTAGACTGCTAGCTGAAATTTAATGAAAGGCAGCTCAAAGTTATTATTTGATTTTGAAGAATGTTAGTGTGTAACCTCAGAAGTGCCAGTTGTGCTTTACAGAGCAAATTCACTAGCCAAAAATCTATCAGGTGATTACCAATTTTTTAATTTGCAAATACTGCCAGCAGCCAGTGCTTAGTGACAACCCATGATTCCTGTGGCTTTTTGGGCAAAGAAGGAATTGATTGCTTTTAAGTTACTTTTTTGGTATAATTTGAAATGAAGAGCTGAAGGTTTCTTTTCCAGTACAACCTGGCAGAATCCTAGCTCATGAGAATGCACACCTTTTCAACATACCATTATCCAATCACAAGCTCAAGAGGAAGTGGTGAGATATGTGAAAGAAATAACAGTCATTCTTGACAGCAAGATTGAACGACTGGAAAGATTAAACTGCTTCCAAAAGTCTTACTCCAAGTGTTAGGAGAAGATCGGAGCAGAACAAAATTACTTGACTGCAAAAATTATTTACTGCTCTCAATGCAAATGTTATTTGGACAATTTACAAACACAAAGCCTCTCACTATTTATTACGACAAATTTACATATCTTGTGTTCCTTGTATCTTTTTTCACAAGTATAGTATAATTTCTACTTTAAGGATCAAAGCTATACCTTGTATCAAAGTGTTCAAGGGCAAGAGAATACTTTACTGATGTTAAAGATAAAGGGGTGTCTGGTATCTGGTGTCTGATGTACATACTATTTGTGCACAAATGAATTGTAAGGGAAATGAACACTGTTTCATACTATCCGCTATTTTTTCTGAAATATGGGCGAAATGTGATAGAGAAATTCAGCATCTACAATAGCACATGTAATTTATTAAAAAATATATAAAAAATACGTATATATAGCTATAGCTTAGATTTACGCTTTTTACATCTAATCGTCTTAACTTATTATTGCTATTTTGGATGGATAATCCTAAATTTCCCTACACCATACTTCTGTAGTTTTTATCAAAAAAAAATATTTTTTTTTCTAAATAATTTGGCTATTTTGGCGATCGAATTGCAAAACAAACATAAAACATACCATCTCTGGAGTATGCAACACAATACACGGTTTCTTTGTGACCTTTGAGGGGCTGAATGAGTGTCCCATCGTTTGTATCGTAAACCTAAGAAGAATTTCCGCAAACGTCACGAAAATATTCAGAATCGAGATTAATTTCAAATCAGAAGACGTAGATTACCAAAACACGGTTTCCAGCGGCAACGATGAGTTGACTTCCATCGGGTTTGAATGCAAGGTCGTAAATGCTGCCATGTGAAAATATTCTCGATCAGAATTGGCACAGAATAAAAGAACGATGTATGCAGATGTAGTAATTCTTACCACTGCTCAACTCTGTCCTTGTCGTGGACTTTATCGACCCATGTTGGTAACGCTCTCATTTTCCACGAAGAAAAACATAAAATTTTTCATTTGCGCAAAGAACCATGGGATGAAAAAGAGAATGCTGCTGCTCGCAGAGTATCATGGGATTCCAAGTTGTGTGTAGTGGCGGGACTGAAGAGAGGTTCTTTCCTGTTTCTATCGTGTCCTTTTTTAGCGTAAATACTGGGGATTGTTAATGGGATTTTGAGAAATGCAATCAGTCACATAGCCTGAATAAGGTTCTTTTGCCGTATATCTGGGTCAAGTGTTATGTATTATGTGGGTCTGTGCTGAAGACCTTTGGCACAGCCTTTTCCTCTACGGACCTCCCAAGCGGTCAATGACAAATAAGTATTTTATTTAACTTAATGATGTCATGTGCTTGTTATTAATGTAGAGGAAAAAATTCAGCATCATTCTTGGTATCCCACAGATATGAGAAAAAATAGTATCGGTTCAATCTAAGAAAACTGCACTTACTGCGCACGCAAGGGCACACAACATTGCAGGCGGTAAAGGTGAAATTCACAGACTCCCCGCCTTGACAGTTATTATACATGCACTTGGGTTTCGGTTTACGCAGCTTAACTCTATAGTCTAGCGCATGATGGGGTGAAGAACCTCCTACAGTGTCAATACTAGTTATTTTCAGCAGACTGCGTCTATATTAATAGTCGATGTAACTATTGTAGTGAAACAAGTGGCTACTGTTTGTCATGGATTTTCGTATCGTGCTCATATTAAGCAGGTATTTGTTGATAAACTGAAGCATACAAATGTCCTTCAACTCCAAGGTAGACTTGCTGACCGATAAATGGTAATGCTGAAGAGCCTCATGGAAGATTCTGCAAAGGTTTTGTCGGATTAATGGCTAACTTGCAAATCCCGTATCTCCTGTAATAAGTAAGTACCTTTCTTTCATGTTCTAAGATTTCCTCAATGCTGTACATAAAAACTTTGGGTGGTATGGGATCGAGCGGAGAGCTTCTGGCAACGTCCTCGGTATGTTTATATAGATGGCTGAAGGGAGTAAGTTTCAAGAGAAACTGTGGTGCTGCGTCGGTGAGGGAGGGGGGGGGGTGGTGAAGGGTACCCCGCGATAATTAAGTTTTATAAACTGAGTTGAAAATGTAAATTGACCATTGTGAGAGTTTCTAAAGCTATCGTTCTGAGCTTTAGCCCCTCGTCAGTGAGAAAAATGTATGTTTGCATGGTTGATCATTGAATTGGAAAAGTTGATTCTGTGTTGCCAGTTTACTCACTCAAATGACTTCGTTAGCAAGTAAGCATCTGTTTTCTTTCTTGGCTATGTTGTTAAACAGTGATGAAACATACTAAGAAGCCAGGACTTTACCTATATTGATCGGCGCTCATTGCATGGATTCCATTGACAAATTCGATGGTGTAGATGATTCCCTTGTATCGAGAATGGTTCGTAAATGAAGTCCATATCAACTTTTTTTTCCAAAACTGCGTATTACACTATAGCGGAGCCCGCAGCGCGCGCAGCGAATCCCAACACCTATCAAAAATGGTAGTAATTACAATATCTCATTTAGCCGAGAAAATTTGGTTTATTATGGAATTCTCCACTCCTAAAACATCTCGTAAAACTGTAGTCTTGTGGTATGCGGGCCGGAGTCTATAAATGAATATTAGTAAACCCTCACGGAAACTGCCAAATAATTCGTTGAAACCAGTGATGGACAAACGTCCCATCCGGTGGGAACTGGATGCGATTCGCCTACTTTCTTCATGCTATGGAAACCGAAATAAGCTTCGGCGATGTGTTGCACTTTCTATCTGTAATTTTTATCTTTTTTATCGTAGCCTGCAAAAGAAACGCTATTCCCCATTTTTTTTTAAGTCGAGCGAACGCAAGCGCGATGCGAGTGCAAAAAGTGGATCCTCTCGTGCGTGACTTGTGTTTCACGCTCGCTCGAAGAGCACATGCGCGAGAATTTAAGAAAATCTCGCCTGTTTTGTAGACTTGAAGATCAGGTATTTTGAATGGATTAGTATGGATTTTAAAGGTTAAGTCTACAGACAGACAGGCGTGGATTTGGAGAACCTCCAACCATGCCAACCCCCGTCCCCATCAGTTTAGAACTGAATCAGTCAGTCAGAGACATTTGTAGGTATATCTTACCAGAACTTTCGTAGGCCAGGCAATACACTGTATCTCTGTGTCCTTTTAACATATCAAGCAGCACGCCCTCGGCTGTATCGTATACCTAAAAATAGAAAGGATGCAGGCATTAGTCCAGTTTTTGCGCTTAAGGCGAGATAACGAGATTTGAAGTTAAAACAGACGAGAGGTAAAACAGATTACCGAGGTGGTGAAAGTGAAGGGGTCTATAAATCACACATCCTTGACAATTTCTCATTCATTGTTCATGACTCAAAAACTTACAATTGATGTTCTGTGTGGTCGACAGTTCCAAACATGAGACATCAGTCATTAGTTATCACCTTGCACGGTGGGGGATTTGGGTGTGACACGTGGTTTTCAGGGGAAACGGTGGGTGTTGGGGGATCAGTCTTCGCCAACATTAAGGGGGGACCATAGAGAACTGACTGTCATACCAATGAACTGCCAGTGTAGGGGGAGATCTTAAGATTGTTACACAGCCTTATGGGGGGATAGGATAAATTTTGTGGTAGTAGTAGTGTAGTATATTAATGACCCCCCCTCCCCCCTCATTGGCAGTCAATTTCCATAACCCTATAGCGCTGACTGATCCCCACTTCGTAACCCCTAAAAACCATGTGATCTCCCCCAAAATCCTACGACCCCACCCCCTCCCCCCAGGTGATCAATAACAGTTGTTCCTTTTCGAATAAAATCAAATGCGAATAAAGCATTAAACTCCTACAAGTGACTGATAAGTAAATTCTCCTTACATCATCAAATTCTTCGGTAAATCTATAATGAGAATAATTTAATTATCGGTTTTTGGTCGCTATCTAGTGGCTGAGTGTCTCTCTCTCTCTCTCTCTCTGAACGTTTCGGTCTTCTTTTATTGTAACATGCGCATGTCTCGAATGAAGCCAATAAAGAGATGATTACTTAAAAAAAAGACAATACAAAGCAAAATAAAAACAAACAAACAGAAAAAACGGTCGCGCTCAATGTCATGAATAATTAGTGAAGTGTGAGTGAAATTTGTGATATTACTGAATGGAAGAAACAACTATTACCGTAATGTGTAAATGTGTGAAATGCAATCAACTTATTACTCCAAGGAGCATCGAGTGTAAAAAATTTCAAAAGAATTTCCGGTTCTGATTGACCCTGCTCCGAAGGCCGAAGGCAAAAAAACGTTGCTGCCATGGAAACGTTTTTGGCGATAAATTCCTCCGAACGTGAAGATCAAACGTTCGAATTCGACCTGTACCGAGAAAGACGTTCGGTTGAAATGAAAGCGATCGGAGCCATGGACAGCTTGTAATGTCCATTAGATCAGCGCATTATGGCAAATATATCTTTAATAAATATTTGTCTTTCCTGCAATAGATATTTCCGGAGCTTGGTTCAAAGCACGGCATGTTTTTAGCCAGGAATAAGGTGACTGTGCGAAAAAAAAAAGACGATCGGCTTTGACTCATTTTTCATAAATTAGTCTTCTATGCTAGCATTTTAAAAAGTCAAATCGAGCCTGATTTGTTGATGTTTTTTTTCATCGGAAGCACCAACTTTGTCCAAATTTTGCTCGTAATTGCATCAAGATCGAAAAAGAATGAGAGAGAAAACCGGATAAATTCCGGAGTCCTAAATGAACACACATACCTCAAGAACGTGAAATAATAGCTCGAAAGATTAACCTTTACCCCCTTAAAGCAATTTATACTTGTGGACAATAAAGTGCGTGTTATTTGAACCTACCATTTCATTTTAAATCTTGTTTGCTGGATTTGAGGTAACCCACAACCGAAAATTGCATTAATCCAAGTTAACGTAAGTCATATCGCGCTATAACAAAATTTTTCCTTTTGATAATTCTGCGTACTTTTGAACATTTTCTGTAAAAGAGCCTCGATATACCGGCCCTTAGTCCAAGGAATAATTAAAAACATTTAGGCTATAATCACATTATATTTCAAACTCGTGGTGAAAGATGTCGTGAGAGCCGTTTGAAACCATTTAGTTTAGTCATGACATGCCGTTGACAAAGAGCAACACTTCGCCAAACAAACCATTCTCGTTTGTAAACAAAACATAAAAAGACGGCTTAAAAAGAAATCATCTGATTCGTTCGTAACAACATGAATTACCAAGATTAAGTTTCCAGCAGCAGCAAGGATATATGATCCATTGGGGCTGAAGATTACGTCGTAAATCCTACAAAATCCAAAAGTAAATGTCTGATCAGAAAGCTGCTAAAGTTGACAAAAGCGTAAGCGCCATGCCGTCCTAATTTTTAATGGCTTCCACGAACTTCGAATGGTTTACAAGTTAATCCAATATACAAAACGCGTAAAACTCACCACTGAACCTGCTTCGATTTATCGACAACTTTATCGAGCCACAGTCTATTAACTCTGGCGAGAGCCATCTCAGTTAGTTGTACTGCGCTTTCCTCGTTCGCAAATCCAAACACTTTATCCTAAAAATCAAACACGGTTGTTTGAAAATTCGTGATTGGTGTCCGTTTACAAAACTTCATCGCGTGATCAGAGATCATAAAGATTGTTCAATTTTCCAAAAACACGAGTGGAATCTATTCGAATTTGGACAGGTATTCAATTGATAAGCGTCAGACCCAACTGACATTCCTGATCTCAAGAAATACTCCGGAAAAGATTGCATGACTCAAAACTTTACAATGTGTAACTATGTGTCAATAACTTCTTTCAAAATATATTTGTTACATAGTGTCAGAAACAAAGCTTTGTCAGTATGATCTTTGCCAAGATACCCTCAGATAACCTGAATAATAGGCCTCTGCAAAGTAGAAAAACTCCTATTTTGAAAAACACAGTCTTCAGCATAAAACCATCGAGAATTATGAACAAAATTTACAAAACAAATGGAATTTTTTTTTGATCGATGTTTCGAACACTTCTGGATTAATGTTATTGACAGAAATATAGCGATCAGTTGATTCTACGCCTAAAATAATAAATTACGGCGAGAAGAAAACTTTTAGAACAGGGGCAATTGAAGTAACTGATTGGGTTTTTGACAAACTTGAGTTCGCTAAAATGAAATGTTTATGAAACTTGAAAGCGATATGATCAGTGACAAGACTAACAAAGCTGAGGAGTGGGAACGAATCATCAAGTTAAAAAACTCAAAATAAAATGAAGAGAGAATGGCTTCTTGCTCTTCAATTTCCTGTGCATTCCACGCTAAAGCGAGCCCTCAATCGACCTGAACGCAAGTTTGGCCACAGAAGCCTGCCACAATTTGTGGTTCATAAATTATGCTAAACTTTAACATTAAAGAATTAAAGAATTACAATATGCAAATGAGAAAGAATCACGCAATGCAAGAACAGGAAGATCAATATATGGATCATATTTAGTACGTCAAATGTCGATATGTTTTGTCTTCTTACATTTCAGCGTTGAAATGACACGCGCATATGCTCTAAGGGCACAAGGCTATCATTTGTATTTTACTCCACTGAGTATTGTTATATGTCATTGTTGTGTCTATCTACGCTTAAGTTTATCCGGCCTTTTCAGGTGACTCGTGTCCGTAAAATCGAGCGGTTGATTGAGATGTGAATTAATGCATATGCGTGGTGTGGTGTTAATTAATGATTCTAAAAAAAACTCAAATCAAAAACAGATCATGTTTATGTTTTAATCCTCACGCGAAGTGGAAAGGTTTAATTAAGAATGCAAAGTTCAAGTAGAATTCCGCGACGAGTTGGCGGTGATCGAGACAGTGAATCATCGAATACGGAAGCAGAAGACGATGGAAAGGGAAGGGAACGGAAAATATCTCTAACGGATCAGGGGAAAGCAGCGAAGCTACTGAGGCAGAGGTTAGCCTTCGCGTTGGCGACCAACACAAAACTGAAATCGGATTCTAGTAATAGCGAATCTGATCAAGAAATATCTGGTAAAGATTTGAAAACGAGAAGGGAAAGAAAGACGGCTTTCATACCGCGAAAAAACTCGCAAGGTCCTCAACAAACCGCGATAAAACCGCCACGGCCACCACTAACAGATGGCGGCGGTATTTCACACAATGTCGTCAAAAGTCAAAATTATTCAGCGACGAATTTCTCCCTGAGAAGTGGCGTTCCATTTGAAAACAATGCTCAAGTGAAAACTTCGATAACGAATTTACCATTTCCAAGTCGAAAAGAAAGAGAGGGGATTTCATCTTCGGCAAATGATAAAGTTGTTTCCGAGGATGTAATTGATACGAGACGGTCACGAGTTCCGCCTAGCCACGACGACTCACCACCGAACAGTCACGGAAAAGCCACGAAAAAGTCCGAAGACAGTACCTCTCCAACCCATAACAGTCTCGATGTCATCTACGTTATAGAGAGTGAATTAGTCAAACTGAAGGAAGACATGCATCAAACGACGGAATATTTCCAAGAAATGAACGTGTCAACTCTTCAAGTAAAAAAGAAACTTGAAGAATTAAGGGAACTAAGAACCAATTCTGTGATCTAGCAGTTTTCAATTCTAACCCTAGGTGACCTGTAGCAAATATCTTATTCCGAACGTTATTCAGATGGGGAGATGAGAAATATCAGGATTATCTTAAAATGCTACAACTTTCTTGCTATGATAAGTGTGAGCCTACAATTTATGACAGCTTTAAAATGAATTTACATCCTATACTAAGATGCATTAATTTGTATATAACTTATTATTTATTTTTAACACGCTGTACAACTCAGAGACTTTATTCCGCGCTCTCCGACGGTTACACACACAGAATAATGTATCAAACTAACGTGTAAACTTGAGCGAAAAAACAATGGTCTGAGTAAAAAAAGAAAAAGAGTTTTGTCCAATCACTATATTAATTAACAATTCCTGTGATTAAGAACGCAATTCACACAACAACCGTCAAATAAATTCGTCATTGCAACACTTAACTCCGTTTACAACAGCATAGCGGTCAGGCGTAGAGTACGCGCCAGGGCATCAAAGGCCTGCGCGCCAATATCTCGCGCAATATTTCTAGGAAAACATGGGAAACAACCGCTGTCTCGCAAAAGAAGCGAAAGAATATTGAGACGTTCATAGAAATCTGTAAAAGGAAACAAAATTAGGAAAAAGGAAAACTCGAGACTTTTGAAACACAAAGCTTATTCAAGTACGGTCCTGTTAATTTACCATTAGAAGCAGGCCATCTGCCAGCCCGTTCTTGCCTAATTTAGGGCTCATCAAAAAGAACGATGTGGTATGTAACCTGATGGACTATCGACAACTTCCTCTATAGCAAGCTACATTACATTCAGATAGCGGCTGGATGAAGAGTGCTTTCATTTTTTATGTATTAAACATAGTGAATATGCTTTGAAAGGCAAGAGTTTTACCACAAGTCATTGAAATTAGATGTGTGAAAGTTGAAACTCACGTTTTCATCATCAGTTTTACTTGAAATGATTCCAAAAGGAGCTGGTAGGCTGGGACGGAAATCTTTAATTAAGTGAAATTTTACAAATTTCCCAAATAAATTTTCATTCCTAAAAGGAGCTGGTAGGCTGGGACAGAAATCTTTAAAAGTTCAAAGTTATTTATTACTCTCTTGAGTGTGCTCTCACACTATAAAATTGGAAAAAACTCGCTCGAGACTTCCTCAACGCTTGGTGGCCGCTCCCCTGAAAAGCTTCCTTAGCAAGACCACGTGACAAACACAAATCCATGTCCCTTGTCGTTAAAACAGCAATAGTTACTTTGCTCATCACCAGAGTTGTATGAACCACCTCCACCTCCACAGGAATCTTGGATGTTATCCCCACTAGCACCCCCTGAGTAGCCGCCTCCGCCTCCAGCACCTCCTCCATTTCCATACGCTCCTCCTCCCCCACCGAAACCCCCATGGGCATTATTGCTCATTGCTCGACCTCCCTCTCCACCCTGAAGGAATCCTTTACCACCCTCTCCTCCAGTTCCGTAGCTTCCACCAAAGTTAGCTGAGCTTCGGCCGCTGGTAAAAAATCCTCCACCTCCTCCCCCTAGGGAAAAACATCGAGAAACCTCGTAATTAACAACAAAGTTCACGTTTTGTCGTTATGTTGTGTTGTGGTTGTATTGGACACTGAAAATGACAAAGATCATCAGCCTACCACACTATGCTTGCTTTAGTATGCAGAGCAGGCGTAATTTTGAAGGCTGGGGAGAGAAATAAAATTTTTACCGAGGGAGCGAGCGACAGACGAAAGGAAGGCGAGGGAAGGGGTTAGGGCAATGAATACTACTTCTCGCCTTTCCCCGCCCCCTCCCCCGACTCTTACTCTAAATCAAACATGGCTGGTCGAATGAAAAATCGTGAGTTGTTTAACTCGCCCTAATCAGACGCCTGCAGTTCAGCCTATGTCCGCCTCTCCTGTTGACACTTGGCGTGATTATCAGATAATTATCCTGCCTTAGAAGGAAGGCATGGTCGGGATTTGAATAAATTACGAATGTGATATCACCATGCTCTCAGCCACGACAGTGTCTGTCGTTTAGTAAAGGTAGGATAATGATACCTCATGGCACTTGTGTCGCAGAAACAGCCTACTTTTTTTTATGAAGATTAAATCTGTTTAGTCACAAACTTCATCTTAGGCTGCTGCTAGCTAAACAAAAAAGACACCTCAAGAAAAGAATCTATAAAACAACTCTTTTGCTTGCTATTAATATTTTAATTTTTTTTAATAATTCCACTTTTACTGTCGCTGCACCTGAAATGAAAAGGCGCAATTTATTTATGCGAAAGCGATGAAGTGTAGATGTTACCATAAAAAACCGTTTCAACAAATTTACATTCCGTCAAATCATTTTTAGATTGAACTTATCGATGGATTCTCAAGTGTACCTGAGTTTCCATTATCAGCGGTGTTTGCTCCATTACCGTTACTTCCTCCAGACCACACGACTGAACTGGAATATCCTTGATTTCCGGATGTGCTTGTGGTGGCGTGACATTGAGTTCTTGAGGACTGCGGTGACTCCCTCCCTCCACCTCCCCCGGCTATAATCAGGGGGGTGTTGTCTGAACGTACCACGAAACTACCACCTCCCCCTCCAGAAGATGTGTAGATATTGATACCCCCTTCTTGGCCAACCAGGATTTTGAGTGTCTCGTCTGTTGTCAATTGAAAAGTGCCGATTATGCGCGCTCCCAAACCGCGATATTTTCCGGAGTTTACTGAATCGTAGCCACCTGTGGCGCCAACTGCTTCTATTTTGTACCGGGTGGTGCACGGTAAACGCCAATGCTGGATCCCCGCCACAAGTGTCACATGACCATCGTGACCCTGGCCTCTGTAAAGATCACCGATCGATGAAGGACCAAGGCGACCGCTGGCTCCAAGATTGGTAAAATTAGCCGTAAAACCTGCACCATGATCAAAAAGTGCAAACATTAACAAACGGATTCCCTATTTACATGTGAATGTTAAGTAACAGATCACAGATCGATGCCCCTAACAGGGCCACGAACAATGGCAAAAATCAAACAGGACGAGACCTGGGAGGAGTATTGCTAAACAGAGTGACTTTCAATTTGAATTAGTTCGTTAAAACGCATTTTCTTCATTTTCAGATGCTTTACGGCTCAGCTTAATTTGAGTTTATGTAGAAGCTGATTTATTTTAGTCAATGGAATATTTAGATAAAACTCAATCGGAATTTTTTTAAAAGAAGTTCTGATTCAACAAAAAACAAGGGCGCGGACTGTTAATAATCTACGTGGTATAACTCCGCTAGAACATCCGTAGACTGAAGTCTTTATAGAAATAAAAGTAAACATAGCTGACCTTGGACAGGACCTCGACGAGAACGAGGCTGTAAATTAAATTAAGAAACAGCTGTCATCAAAATCATAATTATGTGGATTTCAAAATTTAGACCGTAATTTTTTTAAGCTGTGAGTACACTGAAATAAATGTCCCATGATGCATTGAGTTCACACGGTCGTCTCCTTTGCAGCTGTTGTCACTCAACGCATTTTACACTAGTCACACGTAACCTTTCCAAAAGATAGATTATTTCTGACGTTTGAGCGACATGGGAGCGAATTAGTCAGAAACTAATATTCTGATGACACGTTGAAGAAGTTCGCGTAACATCAGGGAGGTTTCGAATTATTTTAAGCGTTTCGCGTGAAAGTTAAGTAATTCTAGGTCGGTCAGTCTTATGTTTGACCGCTTTTTTTTCGTATTTGTTGAAATTTTGGTACTCCAACTCCCTATAAAATATCATTACAATCATTGATTTTTCTTTGTAATTAGCAGTACAACCAGGTTAATTTATCCTTTCTTCGGGATTTTGTGCTGCTGCATTAGATGAAGAATACGTTTCCACACATTTTTTGCTACATCAGAAGAGTGGTTTTTCAGTGGTTTTTCGTATCTGGCGTAACACAGATTCTTTTCGTAGAACTCCTCGTTTCAGTGTGCGCATGATAAGATTTTATCTGGATACGAATACTAGAAGACTGACTGACTCATCCTAAATAAACTCTTCACGTTGAATGTCTCGTGTGAGTGTAGTCAGAATTTAAAGTTTTTTTTTTTGCCGTAAGTGAAGGATAAATTATGAGAGAGAACAACTCTCAAGGCCACTTTCACTTGAGTGCAAAATTGCAATGAGTGAACTTTTCGCCACAATATTTTCTACTTTTACCATTTGTAGAATTAAACGCGAAAAAAAATTGGGGGTTTCTAAGAGCCGATTACCTCATATGGTTGAAAGTAAATGAATCCTGTTTTGTTTACAAGAGCCACAGGGTCTGCAGTTTTATTTTTACTGTTTATGTCACACGTATGATTGGTTGTCCCTTCCATATGGTAGTTGTAAGATTGACACCTTGAGTCGGTCATACAATAAAAGGCACAGTCGAGTGATGTAGACACTTGATGAGTTTGCGCAATGTGGCCTCGAAGGTAATGGTCTGCAAAATGAAATCAGATGAAATGAACCCAAATTAGTTACTCAGCTTGTAGTTAAATGGAGTTTTTGCTCTCAGGGCAAGGTGTTTTGAGCGCAAAGTTCTCAGCATCACATTGTGAATTCTCACTGCTGGTAGTTTCTCATTTGGGTACTGTACACACGGTGAAAATATAGCAGATTTTGTTGTTGAAGCCAATGACATAACAACGCTGTAAAACACAAAAATCACTCTGATACAAGGTTGGGCTTGAACTGGCGTCTCTCCAAGCTGTAGCCTGACATCCAATTCAATAAAAGTTGGATTTTTACTTCAAGCCCAATATCCCACTGACACAATTTCATAATTTCATAGACCGGCGGTGAATAACATAAGTAAATAATCTTTAAGGAAGCAAAAGATGAATTACATCACTATAATTATTTTCTACTTAGGCACTATACAGATTTATTTACTTGCAAAGCCTTCAAAATGCATTTCCTTAAATCCCTGCACAGATGATGAAGAATCCACAAAGATGGGAATGAAACACAAAAAAATCAAGAAAGCCACGCACATCCTGGCTCCTTTTTGTGACATCAGTTGGATCATTACCGAATCAAGCTAAATAGTAAAAAAAAAAGTTAAAAATTTCTTACCAAAACAGTAAAAAGCTTTCATCCGTTATCATAAGGCTTAGGAACACAAATTGAATTCACATATTAAAGACAAAGATCCTATAATTGAGGAATGTTTCATAACTCCTTAGATTAGTGAAGGGAATTTTTCGCTAAAACTTATCTCGTACAGGAAAACAGAAACGAGAGTTGATATAGGAAGCTATCAAGCTGAAATTCTATACCTAACCTTAATATGATTGAAGCGAGCAGTTCTTAACACATCACAAACCCTTTTCATGAAAGACTGCGATGGAACATTCGTTCTGTTGCTAAACCGAACCTTGAATATAAAGACTTAGACATGATAGTTACTGCAGCTATCAAATTGAAACACAAAATCAAACGACGCAAAATGAACGACTCGTTGACTAGTAGGGACAAGTAATTAACAGCTTCAACTTATTTTAGTCACAAATGAAGGACATTCAGTTTTTTTTTATGACTACTGACAAAAGGCAAACCAAATCAAACCCCCCTAAACGACTTCAATACTGTAGCTTGGCAAAAGCAATTGACACCTTTTTTTCACTAAAAAGACAAAGGTAACAAAGATATTTGGTTTCTTACGAGATGCCTGTATTGCTATTAGAAAGGCCATGCGGTGGATCACGTCATAAGGAAATTATTTGAATTGCGAAATTACCAACCCCATGGCATGATATGTCAGCTTTTCCATCCTTATCCTCCTCAAAGCAATAATTAACATTAGGAAAAAAAGGTAAAGGAATGGAAGACCCTGGAATATCTGCTGAGATGCAGTATTTTCTTCAAACATGTAGAAAATGAGAAATTTCAGAAAAAAATTACTCTTTGGCCAGCACGCGTAACAGTACAAAAAAAAATTACCACCTTTTTTTATTCTTCTTCTGTTACGTGCGAGAAATGTTTGGTTCAAAAGGCCGATATACAAAGTTATACCCAAAATTAATACGCAACTGTTTACAGCTGGCACTCTGCTCATTAGATAGAATGTTTACCTGTGCTAAATTTTGGTTATTGACTATCGTTGTCGTCAAACGTTGCTCCCATAATCGATTTCCCCTTAAAAAGTTTGGAAATTCCAAGGCAGCAAAGATGGCTGTTACGTAGAAATCAAGTGCAAGCCTTCGAATATCAAAAATGAAAATCCATATTCCACATCAAAAATGTTCCGTTCGATATTTAAATTTTTGATAAAACCTCTCTTAACATACCATCCGATCAGATTCCCCTCAAGGTTTGCCAGCTTTTATTGATACTCAGATTATCCTGTCATTTTTTAAAACCTCTGAATTTGCAAAAATTACGAGAATACGACAGTAGACGAAGCATTGTTAGAATGAAAAACACCATAGCCTTGAGAACGTGCTTATTATCCCACCTTGTGCCCCGAAAATAACAATTATTGGCGAGTATATTTTTCATAAGCACAACCTTTTGACATCCGCCACCTACCTTTTTAATTTCACACCCTAAGCAAACCTCGTTCGCCTCGGAAAAAAAAAATTCACCAAATAAAGTAATTAAAGGTCCGATGCGTGTGGTTAGAAAAGGCTCGAATGCTACAATATGTGGTCATTGAAAATTTTTTTAATATTGTTTTCATTTTAAGTAACAACTGGCATGGTGCCTTATTGATGACATAAGTCGGTAAATATTTGTACGGCAACATGTTTGGAATAAAAGAGGACTTCTTTACATAGAATTACCGACATTTTATCCTTAAACGGTGCCGAGAGTTGCAAGCATCACTATTTTCAGAAATGAAATAATTTACCAGCAAAATTCCCAATAAGAAAAAAAGAAAATTTGATTGTTTATAAAACACTTGCCTAAACACATAATTTCATTTCGGATTCAAATTCAAATATATTCCGAAAAACCAATCAATACTAGAACACCATAAATTGTTTATCAGATACCGTAGAGTTGTTTAATGTTGTAGCATATTACTACTAAACTTTCAAATGAAAGCGAGAAAAATCGAATATTCAAGGGAAGTCCCAAATTTCAAAAACAAACTCCTTTATTCAGACGAGTGAAATAAGTTATGTTTATTCATCACATGTATATCAGTATCATTAGAAATATTGGTCAAATCTTCCAAGTCCTTAGAAAATTACTATTTGTTAAAATTTGGGCATGGATACGGTTAGAGTATAAAAAAACTGGGACTGGTGCTGGATTGGAAATAAAAGGTTATTTTCTGGGGTAAAATTAATGAGTTTGCAAATTGTTTTCATTTAAAGCACAGTCTGTAAGCTTTGTTATCATTTTTGCTGCAAAAGCCTTAAGCATGTGCAACTGAAGGATACGGTAAACTGACGCCTTTAACGTTTATCGTTAACGTAAGCCTTGGCCACCCTATCTGAGAGACTATGAATGCAAAGCCTGGTCAGTGACAAGAGATGAGATTTTCTCAAGTAGATATCGGCATTGATAAGCAGTGAAATTATAAGGAAAAATGGCAGCTAATTACTAAAAATCAGATTGAAGCGTTAGTGGTTCAAAAAAACCAAAATCAGATTTCGGATATAATGACTGTGTTCGCCGGTTTGTTTTCTTTCTACTAAAACATTAGAAAGGAAAAAAAAAATAAAAAGTCGTTCCATTTTTTGTGGCTAATTTTACAATTCTGACTCTACCAAACGACTACAAGATAGATGTTGGGGAGGCTAAACAATGTTAACAATAATTGACTTACTCAGAAAGTGTCCGAATATGTTTTCCAGCACCTTCGGTCTGTTGCCACTTAATAGTTGAAGAGTAAGTCGATGTGAGAGCGCGTCAATATTTACCTTTAATTAAGTGCACACGTCAAGCAATAATTTAAAACATGCATCTGTCCCATGAATGTTATAACAGCTGCCTATCCTGATAACTCTCGATATGTAAATAATTAAAAAAAGGTTGACGAAACATCTTTTTAGATAGATTAATAAAGCCATTCCTGTATTCAGCTTCTTCCCTTAACGATCGAAAAACAACTAAAAAGAGGCATGCTTTCAATTTGAGAGGTGTTGTCAAGTTATACAAAGCATGGAGAGTCCTTAAAACTATAACATATAAAGAAAACAGATGTCCCCCATCTTTATTTTGGACGCGTTTCGAACGCGTTTGTATTCTTCGAAATAAAAAAACCAGTTTAGAAGCGCCTACAAATAATACATGCTTATCTTTTTTCGGTTTGAAAAACTGATTTTCTCTTTAAACTATTCATTTCAGGCGCGTGTTTGGCTTCCTTCAATGCATAAAACAAAAACGTTAGGATCAGATAGATTGTAGGTGATGTTGTGAAAACGCAAATTTCGACAAAAATAAATTGAGAACAAGCATGATAATTGCTTCTTAAACTTTGGAAAGATATATCAGCTTTCTTGATGTTTATATTTCCTTTACATAGCTTTAGAAATTATGACGCCAAATTCCATCTGCTGATATCTAGAAACAATAGAGTCCTTTTGATCTTTTTCAAGTAGGGAGCCAAAAAGAAAAAAAACTAAAAAGAAAAGCTCTAGTCGATTCAGCTCCTTGGTTCTCAATGTAACATCACCACCTGAATACTAGTTAATAGTTTTTATGATCAATCCACAATATTGTAAATTAAAATGAACAATATAATTTAATTTAATTAATATATGTGAACTTAACTTTGTTTTTGT